ATTTCCATCTCTGTCAGTGATAAAGTCTGCAGCTCTTAAAGTGAATTGTACCGAAATGCCTTGAGTTCTCAATTTTCGGTTTCAACAAGAATGAAAATCTCATTTCCTCAAAGTCAAGTTAATAATAAAAGCATCATGAAATGCGCAGTTGTTAGGTTTTTCCAGCTGAGAGGTCAAACGAAGCGTCCTTGCGATTTCGCACTCGCGGTTAAGAGGTCATTTTGTGTAATTGAGAGCACCCAAGGCCTTAGGGCGTTCACACAGGGCACTAAAAGTCTGTGGAAATGGGGATGCAGCTCCATTAAGGGCGAGACGAACTCACTCGCTCGCTGCACCTCTTCTGCCATTCACATCATCGGCAGGCGGCCGACTTGAGATTTGATAAATCGTCCCGGCGGCTCACATCAGAGAATGGGATGATTTGTTGCCCTCGACACACGCGCCTCGATTTATCTCCCGTGCGCATGCCAAGCAAAAAGCCTCGCAGACCTTGTTTGCGTCTTGATTCTTTTTTTTGTGCCTACGACCTCTGCTGCGTAATTGTCCGTACTCAAGGAAATGGGAAGCGTGCAAATCTTGCAATTAAATAATCTCTCGTGACTAGTGACAGGAGGGAGCGCAATTTATTTTGCTCACTCCCTGAATATTAATTCAACTGAGATTCCATTTGAAAGTGGCCCTCAAATTTAAAGATTAAATTGAAAAAAATGATCAACACCTACTCATCCTATGTGGCCAATTAGCCCTCTGGAGAAATAAATTATTTGAAATTTTTGACCCTAAAAATTTTGAATACTCACAATCAGAAGTGAAAAGTCTGCCATGGTTGAGTTCCGCCCTTCTGGCTTTATTTTCCTAAAGTCAATATCATCGCCACTTAGGGGTGTGTTTTTCAATAATTTGAAGTACGATGAAACCAACTGAGGGATATATATGAGTCTCACACCAATGATAATTATTACCTTTGTCTGTGGAAGTGCTACGTGAAAATATTAGTTTTCATTCAACCAGAAGCTTGCTAAATAACCCCTGAGCAGATTCCCATGTGCAATTTTTATGGAATGATAAATACAACGGGTGTATTTTTCAATAATTGAAAGTAGGATGCGAATATTTTTCATGCCGGCTTCCCAATTGATTACATACATACTTGCTTGTACACAAGATTTTCCAGGAAAGCAAGGTATGTCTTTAAGCCTAAATTGTTTATCGAGTTCTCTCCACTGAAAGTCTCTTCATTTCATCTGGCATATTTCCTTTAGCGACTCAACTATTTGAATTCCCTACGGATGCTGCTAAAACTTTGGACTTATTTTAATTTGAAAGTATAATGAGGAAAAGAAAACTTCCAGAAAAGTGAATTTGCATGTTTCCTTTTGCACGAGCAGGAGAGTTGGTGCGTTTGTGAGAAGGTGGGCGCGCGTCAAAATATTTGGCCGAGTGCATGATAATAATCGGCATGCCACACTCTCTGGCTCCACATCCTCTCTGTCTTTCTCTATCTGGCAGACACTCACAAAGTGGCAACAGCTGACTGCCCTCGCCTCTTCTTCTCGCCGCGCGGCTATTTTCGGCCCTCTGTTTGCAATTCGCGCGCGCCTCTCCTTGCGCCGCTCCAACCACAGATACACGCAGGTTCGCGCCCTCGGCGTTACTGACCATAAATATGCGCCAGATGACACTGATCCGCCGGCCCAGCACTTCCGTTATTGTTTGCCAGAAGGCTCGGAAATCGCCTAAATCAATGCGAATATCAAACTCACGGGGAAGAACACGCGCGGGCACAAATCTCGGCTCGCAGAAAAGTCAAAAGAAGTATTTTTCAATTTGTGCCTGAAATTTTGAAAATCCCTGAAAATCAGAAGCTTGTGAATGACTTGATTAGTGAGGAATGGAAAAGTATTTGATAACAAAGGAAAAACAGATTCAAAGCGCTAAAAATTCGCTGTAGATTTTCTATTTAACAGCAAGTTTAATTATTTAAAAAAAAAACGAGACATTTCAAAATTAAAGAAGTAAATTTGAATTAAAAGATTATTTTCAAGACTTAATGGATCCGGAGCATTTTGACAAGTTACTTCTTGCGGCAGTATTAAAAGGTAATCAGATTTAATTTTGAATAAAAATTTTATCATCATCGAATATTAGTTCAACGCATTTGTGTTTAACATTCAAAATAATCATCCAAAATTTACTTTTTATTTTCTTTCGGAACAAGTTCTAAAAGTTTATAAGAACTTACAAATACATGTGATTAATTATTTAAAAAAAAACATCATTTTATTTAGAACCTTCAGTTGGAAAAGAAATGATATGTCAATAAGTAAAATATTGAAGGCCAAATAGCCCTTGTTTGGACACAAAAGTCAATATGGGCGCTCTTTGGCCGAACGTAATCAGCGCTGTACCTTTGTGTGGCCAGGCCAGGGTGTAATTCCATCTGCAAATGTGGCTGCGCGCACAAAAGCAGACTGGCCGAGGAAGCAATTAGGGAATTGCGTCTCTCTCGTTCGCGACGATGATGCACGCGCCGCCATTCAGACGCTCTCTTAAGGCAAATAGCCTTAAGTAAATTGAGTGCTCCAGCGAGCCCCGCGTCTGTAATCACCCTTTTCCGACCACGAGAACCTCAAGTCCCGAATCCCGCGCCCACGTTTCTATAATCGCAGTCGGCAAATTTGAATCAACTTGTTCCTCCTTTTCACTTCTAAATATATGTGCGCGCATTTATCATTTTAAAGTCTTTTCGATATTCTTTATTTTCAATTAAATATTAAATTTATTTAAAGCTTTTACCATAAAGTTTAGCATAAATAAGAAGTTGTTATTGAGGCCAATCTAAAGGTAAAGCAGCGTTTTTTGTTTTAATAAATGATATCAAATTTTAATTTATTTTAAAATTCAAATTTCTTATTGAATTATATAAAGTTCCATGTCAGCAAAAAAATTTATGATTTTTAAATAAAGTCAAATCTAAAAAAAAAAAAAAATAATAATAATATAAATTTGTGGTTCCTTCTGCACCATCAATAAAGGGCACAGGCTGACAAGACTCTCTTGGCCTGACATTTAAAAAATTAGATTTTTTTTAAGAAAACTCCAACAAAATTTTATAGGTCTTTGATATTCAGCTGTATTATTTATAAAGCAATTCTTTTTAAATTGTTTCTCTGAACCATGATTTTTGTATTCATAAAATGGTTACAATCACATAATTTACCCTAGTCTATTAATATTGAACCGGCCTGGAATAAAAAACAATTAAGAGCGAAATTCAATTAAAGGAACGGCAAAACGGAATAATTTGAATATTATAATTGTTTTGATCGTTGGGCTGGAAGAGCAAAAGCAAACGAGCAGCAGGCCGCGAAATCGGTCGGGCTGTGGATTTAAGTGAGAGCGCGCGGCGTGGTCGAATCGCTGCTGCCGTCACTTGACGCGCGTCGGTCTCTCGGATCAAAGGGTTAAAAGCGGGCGGGCGGCGCCGCGGCCGTTCAGTCGGTCGGTGCAGCATGAGCAAGAAGCAGGCGGCCTCGCAGGCGCAGGTGGCCCCCGCGATCGTCGACCAGGGGCCGCCGGCCTCCACCTCGTCGGCGGCCATCGCGGCCATTCTCGCCCAGCCGGTGCAGCAGGCCATCCGACGCGCCGCCACTGTCCTCCCCAACAAAGAGGTTTCTGAAATTACCACGAAATTTTGTTATTTAGTTAAAGAAAAATTTTAAGAAAATTTTATTTTAGAATTTTTTCAATATTATTTATTTACCATTGAAAGTCGTGTAAAAAATCAATTATTTTGATTTAGATTATTATTATGATTATTATTTTATGCTATAAGACTTTATTCACGATCAATCAAGGGTTGTTTAGTGTTGTTTTTATTGAAAAACGGCTGTTCCTTGATGGTTCTTGTGATTCGTTAATTAATGTTTTTATTTTTACAATATTTTTTTTCTGGAACAAAACTCATTAAGGAACTGCCGTTTTTCAATTAATCAACAGTAAAAATATCTTCAGTTTATTCATCTAAGTTTTTATCTGATTTGCAATTTACAATTAGAATGACGTATAAATATATGAAAATAAATTCAAAAATATTAAAAACTTTTTAAAAAGTACTTCAGAAAAATTGATTTAGTTTGCATTCGCGCGTTGCTTTCCAACACTTTGCAATTAGTGAAGCCCTGTTTAATTAGAAGGGTCTCGAAGCAACACGCAACCGGCAGTACACAAGAGTAATTGAAACGTGTTGGCCTCTCTGCCGTGTGATTAATTTCGGGCGTTATCTCTGCTGCGCGAAATTAAAAAGGCTTTCAAAATTCAGCAACGGGAAATGCGGCGTTCCTTTGTCCGCGATTCGAGTCGCGCATTTTTGTACGTTTCGACGGCCGCATTCAAGATCGAATTCAGGCACGGCGTGCGTGGAATTTCGCGGCTCATTGAGCTTTCGCCCGGTGCTTTCAGCCAAATTATTTGCGGAAAATGGTGGCAGGCGTAAAGTGGATTTTTCTCCACTCTGATTTGCGCTCTCATTACTGCTAAACTCGTTTTTGATAAGCGCGGCTCAAACTGTCAAACTACCAGCGTGGCGAAATTTCCCAAAACACTACCCTCGTCACACAACCAGCTCAGTTTTTCACCCAAAATTAAACAAGAATAAATACAAGATTTTGTTGCAGATTTTGCAAAAATTTATTTAACCTAAAACCAAAAAAATGGCAATGTAATTTTTGAACATTTTGTGATTTTTAACACTGAGAAAAAAAGAAGATTACAAAAGAACTTATTATTCTACATTTACTTGACCTTTGCAATATTAAGAATAAAAATTCTGACCTTTAACTTTCTAAATTTTTCATCTCTGATCAAATAAATTCAGATGAAAACTTTTTGGTAAATGCCAAAGGCTGTTTTCTGACAAATAATTTTCAGATTTTAATAATGGCTTCTCATTTATTCTTATTTTTGGATAATTATTTGATTGTTGGTTGTTTTTGTTGCAGGAGTTGGTGGCGTCGACGCCGAACCAGCGCAACTGGCGCGGCATCCTGATCGCTTTGTTGGTGATCATGGCCGTGCTGGGCCTGATCGTGTTTTCCATCGTGTTGCTGTCGCCGCCCGACGAGGGTCCCAGGGTCAAGGGCGACAAGTTACAGCGTGACCACCTCACCAGCCTCGACCTCCACCCGCCCAAGTTCAACGGCTCTTGGCTCAACGGTCAGTACCATTCATATTCACCCCAGTACTTTTATATTAATTTTCCCTTCTACACGCTTAATATGATTCTTTTGCTCAAATTTTGAAATTTTACATCAGTTTAAATACAGAATCTTGTTTTGAAAAAAGGCAACTCTCCACACATGGCCTTATTAGTTGATTTAATTTAAGTAAAAATAAAAAATAAACATAAAAGCGCTAGAGAATTGGAAGATAATTTATATGAATGTGAACAGTTCGGCTAGAAGATTTAAATTGTATCATCAATTTTCTGTTCTCAGAATGATCTTCATTCTAACCAAGTATCAAATATTTAGAAAGAAATAATACTTTTCTTGTTTGTTTATTATCTTGGTTGTTTTTGGGATTTTGTTGTGCTAGAACAGATAAATCATTAATTTATAAATACATAAAAATAGAATTATCGGAATTATCAATCAATCAAATATTTATTTAATCACATAGGCGTAAAATTACATACAAATTACTACAATTTACAAAAATTTGTCTTTTATAATTTTTCCAGCAGCTTCTAACAGACATATTTCATTTTTACGATTTTTATTATATTCATACCGATTTTGCATCCGCATTTTTCGCACATGCAAAATATCGTTGTATTACTAATTATTTTTTTCTTCCTACGAGTTAGTTATTGACTTTCTACATTTTTACTTTCCAAATTTAACCCTTTTTTGCACAAATACATCACACCACTCGCGATAAATTTATGAATCGCGTGATTGTGTTTTTGCGCCGCGACACATTTGATTGAGTCCGTGTGTGGACAATGGTCATTAGGAGACCTGTTATTTGCTGAATAATTGATCGCTCCGCGGCAGCAAACAAAGAGCTCGTCTCGTATATCCCACTCTCTACCGCTCAATAGAAATAAACTCATTCGCCTGCTTTCCGATTGCTTTCAACCCTGAAAGTGGGTAACAGGTGGCCTTTTTCCTTTCCACTTACTCCTTCCGCCTTTTATTTTTTGGAGAATGTAATTTATTGTTTTGTGCGCAGACGAAGAAAATGTACAAATCTTCAGTTATTGTAAATTTTTCAGTTTTAATTTTTTAATTTCAGTTACCTTTCTTTATACATATCTCTCATGAAGTTTCTTTAAAATTATAAGAATCTCTTTTATTAATTTTATAAGAAAAACCTAGATTGTTTTTTAATATGCAAGCTTAAGGATCCATAAAATAAATTTAAAAATGAATGCCTGAAATATTTTAAATCTGAAATTTTAAAAGTATCTCTAAAGCTGATGTTCACAATTTCAAATTAATTAAGCGTAAATTTTGTTATAATGAAGTTTTTGCGAAAAAGAATTATTGAAATAATCTTCGGGGCGAGAGCCACAACTGAATGTGGATGAGAACCGAGGGAAAATCCTCGATTTTTTTTTTACTCACTGTCAGTTTAGGATAACGAGGGCGAGCGTTCTAATGCGCGATGACGGTAGGGCGGGCGAGATAATTAGGCGCGGCCGTTTCTATAGCAACAGGTTCTTAAAAAGGTGCGCGGCCGCTCGTTTGGCCGGCCGTCATTTCCTCGAGACGGAAATTTGCTCCGCTCTAATTGCGTCCCCCTCGGTGACAGGGACACGTGTTTCGCATCGCCCGTTCCAAATTTTATCTCAAAATCTAAATAGGTCTTTTGCAAAAAATAATTTGTACTTCCAGTGGGTCCAGCGGTAAAAAATAAATAAATAATACAGCTTTTTCCATGATCATCTCCTCGAAAGTCAACTTCTTAAAAAAAGATCATTTTTTATATGCATCAAAAAGGTAACAATGGGCTTTTTATTTTTTCTTAAGAAAGTAATAATATTTAATTAATTAATAATTTGGTGAAAATAAATTTCTTAATTTATTTTTAAACATTGCGTATCAAAAACTTACTATTAGAAACGAAGAAATTTTACTGTTTCCAAGGAGAAAATTTTTATTTTATAATTTTGATTACTTTTAATTATTCAATTTAAATTTAACTTTTATAAATATTTTAAATTTAGTAACCGTCAGATTTGATAAATTAATTCATCGCGACGGTATAATTAATATGAGCTGCTTTATGACGTCCATCTGAAATATTTCCATTCCCACAACTTTTTATACGCTTATAAAGTTTTGAACCTTTTTGATTATTTAGTGGGTTTTCATCGTAAAAACTAAATTATGGCATTTCTGCTTATTGATGTCAATAAAAAGACTAGAATCAGCACGTAAAAGCACTTCTTTAAAAGAATCTCCAGGTTTTTCAGAGGATAAAAATCTGACCAACGCGTTTTGCATTGCAGATGCCGAGTTCGTCTTTCGTGATATCCACGGCGGCGTGTCCGTCTACAACGCAGACACCCTGAGCACCCGCGTCCTCATGACCAACAGTACTTTTGTGAGTTCAAATTAATTTTCCACTATTGGCGAATTCCGAGCACGTGCCACACCTTTTCAATAATAACGCGCCTCTCTCTCTCTCTGAATGCTATTCCTATTGATTGCGTCCCCCAATAACTTTTTTTTGATACCGAGTGCGGTCGGTCAGTGCGGCCGCCGAGGAGGAAAGAAATAATATAAAGGGAAACTTTTTTCCCTTCAGCCCCAATTTCTGCAATATTGGCTTCGTTTGCCTCCTTCTCATCTGCTCCTGTTTTCATTGTAGAGGCAACTGAATGCAGTTAACTTTAGCGTTTCCAGTGATCTTAATTATGTGCTTCTCGTCTCCGACGTCAAAAAGGTAAAAAAAAAACATATCAAAATCAGAATGATATTATAAAATTTTGGATTTTAAACCAAATTCCCAGGTGTACAGATACTCGACGGAGGCGAGGTACAGCATCTATGAAGTCACCACAGAGTAAGTGGAAAAGTTTTTTTTTAATATCATATCTGCTTTCTCAAATTTAGTAAGAAGAGGTTTAATTTGGAATCACTTTTGTTTTCCAATTAGGCATACGAGTTTTGCCAATTCTCTCTCAAGGTGATTTCCACTTCCATGTTGTCAACTTTTTGTAAGGAAATAAAAGAATTGAATTTAAAATAATAAGAGTTGCTCGTATTTTGAGACTTGTTGAGTAATTGAGTATTTTTTTTAATGAGATATATAAATTTGATATTAAACTTCAATAAATTAAAAATGAAAAATTCTTAGTTAATATTTTATTTTTAGAGATTCAAAGCCTAAAATTTGCAATTTTAAATTTAAAGGAACCACTTCCCGCTGAAGAGCGAAGAGGACGGCGAGAATGAACACCCTCACCTGCAGCAGGTGCAGTGGTCGCCGCGCGGCAATGCGCTCGCGTTCGTATACAAGAACGACGTCTTCTTCCGACCGGCGGCCAACAACGCCGACACCGTGCGCGTCTCCAGCAGCGGCCAGCCGGGCGTCGTCTTCAACGGTGTCCCAGACTGGCTCTATGAAGGTTCGTTTACCTCTCAACCCACAAAAAAATTTGACTTCATAAAAATAAATAGTTGCGCGATCACGAGGTAAAAATGAAAATTGTTCTGCTTTTTACAGAGGAGATTTTGAAAAGCGCCAGGGCGTTCTGGTTCTCCAAGGACGGTGCCATGCTGTTGTTTGCCACATTCAACGACACCGCCGTCGGTGAGATGCAGTTCTCGTGGTACGGCGGACTTGCCGAGAAGCTCCCTTATCCAAAGATGAAGAGCCTCAGGTATCCAAAGGTAAGTCTCTAGGCTTTTTTTAGAACACTTTAAAATAATAAATTAAAATTAAAATTGGGTCTGTTAAAAAATTAAAAACCAGATTCAACCTGCACATCAAATAAGAGAAATTTCAACAGATTCTGTGTAATCTTGGATGCCTTTTAGCCAGAAATAAGACTTTTTCACACTACATTTGTTTTTATTGAACATATTTAGTTGGAAAAACTGAGATATTTTTTGGTTTTCACTGCGAATTTTCATGGAAGGACACCAGTCTTTTTGAGAACCTCAGTTGTGGCGGCGATCAGTTGATTCTTGTACTTCCAGAGAGTGGTGTCGACCGTGAGCTCACCAGAAATCGCTCTAGTGCGGCAATCGTACTTCGTTTTTCCAATGCAATAATGTTGCAGGTGCGCGTCTTCCGTGTCCATGTGGTAGTTTTGGCATTTTTCTGCATAGGCCCAGTAAGAGAAGTCTAAATAAATATAAATTTTAAATTAAATATTCAAATGAGACGCATTCGAAGGTAACTTACTCTTGAAGCCCGATAGGCAGGCGAGTACGTAGTGGTTGTGCAGAGCGACCGCCCTATCAGCGCGGTGGATGCACTTGACTTGTTTACTGAACTCGGAGTACCGCGAGTTGCGGTGCACGTGCTGCAGCATGTGCATGTAGCGCGGGATTTCTGGCTCGAAGTCTTGCATCTCAGCCATGTCGTCCATGAACATGACGTTGCGCGCCACATATGACACGACTGGCGAGGGCATCGACTTCAGCGATTTGGGGATGACTTTATTCAAAAGTTCATGCCACGTAAAGGCTGACCGAGGCACTATTACCTGTTCAGAATTTAGCCATCATTTTTAGGTACAAGAGAAGTAAAATCCCAAGGAAATTTAGATAAAAACTTTTTAACAAGAGGAGGACAAAAAATTAGAGAATTTTCTTTTTATTCACCTCATCAATGTCGATTGGCACCAGGTACTCGAATAAATTAAGGTTTTTGTAAAGGAAGTCATTGTAGTGGATCAGCTCGGTCAGCTCTTGCGCGTCGATATTCTTTTGGAAGAAGGTGTTTTGGAACTCCGGGATGTTGGGGTAGAATCCGGGGAGGGTGATTTTTATCACCTCGGCAAACCCCTCATTCTCATAGTGCTGCAGTACGCGACCTATTTTTGGGTGAACCTGGATTTATAATTCATTTTTACACTCCCAGCTTTGTCAAAATTCAGCCATACGTGATATTGGTAAAAGAAAACCTTGTCGGCGCCGAGGATGCGCAGCAGTTCGAGCCACTCAACAATGCGGACGGCCTGGGTGGCGTCGTGGTAGAAGTTGAGGCCCTTGACGCAGACGGCGAACTTTTTCTTGCCGCCGGACGGCGTCGGCGTGTAAAGCACCCTCAAGTTGTTGGTCGCGTTGTGCCACGGCTCCTCGACCAGAGACACAGACTCGGGAATTCGACCTCCCGTTAACTTCGGCGGCAACAAGCAGTTGACAAAATACGGTTCCAGTAGATCGGGCGCCACTAGCAGATAATGCCATTCGTGCCGGTAAAGGTAAAAAAACTCAAATACCTGCCATTTTTGTTAATTTTTAAATTTTTATCAAACATACTTGCAACAGCTTTGCTTAGACGAAATTCCATCAAGAAAGTATAAAAAAATCGGATCAGATCAAAAGCGCGGCTCTATATGCTGATAATTTAAAGTTTCCACCAATTTTTCAGCAAAGTTTGCCAAGGAAAAAGTGGCTTAATTTTACTTGTTTTCATAAAAAGAAAAACAAAATTATTTCTGTTTATTTAACTTTTTTTGAGCAAATTTTTGGAATATCTTAATTCTCAACGAAAAAGTTAAAAAAAAAAAAACAGTACCTTAACCACGATAGGCTTAGGGTCGTCCTTGAACCATAACTGGCAAGAGAGGTTCTGTAGCTTGTTGGGTTGGTAGCGGTTGACATGACCCAGGACGCGGACCGTGGGCGCTGGCAGGAGCGTTCGGTTGTCGTAGTAGGCGCCGTATAGGTAATAAGTAATTTTGTTATCCATTTCCTGCACTTGCCAGTAGATGTTGTTGTACTTGATCCTCATGGGGTTTGGGTACCGACCATAGCTCTCCGCCAGCCGCGGTCCCTCGCCGTCCAAATGCTTCATCACAAAACTCGGAACCGACTTTTTTATACGAGCGATTTGGAGATTTTTTATTATTTAAAAGGATTCTTAAAAATACCTGTTTTGGAATTATTTCCGATGCGATGAAAGGATTTTTAATCCGCGACCCAACGATAGGCTCTGTAGGGGACCTGGTCAGGTCACTTATCATTTTGTGCAGAAATAAAAGTATTGCCACGCTGCCCACAAGGAGGGATACAATCACCAGTGACGATATTCTCTTGGTTGTTGACCTTCTCTGTCGCATTTTTCTAAAATATACAGAAGGAAAGTATATTTTTTGCTATAAAAATGAAGGTAAATGCTTATACCACTCTGTGTAAGTACAAGCAATCATCTTTTATACTGCGTGTCTTAAAATATCAAAAGTAAAAAAGATAATAATATTGAGAATTGCTGAAGCTGCACATTTTGTTTGTTTGCATTGCTAGTGTTGTGATTGGCTGGCAATTTTATTACAATAAAAGATATAAATAAATTAAAATAATTTAAAATTTACATTCAATATCATGGAAGAAAAAGGTGCAAAGATAAATTCAAATTAAAAATTAAAATTAAGTCAAAACTGAACATGCTATTGATTTTGCTTCTGCTATTTTATGAGCAATTAATTTTTAATTTATTAAAATCTATTATTATACTTACTTCATATTAGTTATTTTCCATAGCTTAGGACGTGGAAATTATTGATTCACACCTCTATATTACTAGATGATTACAAAATCTTTTATATATTCAATAATATGTATCAGAGAAGAGCCGTTTGGTAGAGTTGGGAAAAAACGAGTCACGAATGATCAAAGGCGTAAATGTGCCGACCGCATAAGCCGCCAACCACCAGAATGTAATTTTGTGTCTCTGTGTGTTTGTGCAGGCGGGCACCGCGAACCCTGAGGTGAGCCTTTACGTGGCCGACCTGAGCGCCGTGGGCAGTGCAAGCAGGCAGGCTAATCAAGTCGTCAACATCAAACCCACCGCAACAGTCGCCGACCAGTGAGTAAAGCACTAAATATAAAACAGCGAAACAAAAAAGACGCATAAGCAGACCAACATCTGCTTCGTCAGCTTTGATTGTCAGCATCGCTTGCTTTGCAAACAAAAATCACGTATTCATTTCGAAAACAAAACAAAAAAGCGAATTGAATAATAATGTTGATTGAATTTAGTTTCGTGAGTGATTTATGTCCATAATTTTGCTAAAATTCTTTATTAAATCAAAGGGAGCACTATTTCACGGCGGTGGCGTGGGCCGGCGCGCGCCAGGTTGCGGTCGTCTGGATGAACCGGCGGCAGAACATGTCCGTCGTCTCGATTTGCTCCGCGCCCAGCTGGCAGTGCGAAGACGTGAGTTTTTCTTGAAATCTTAATTTACTGAAATGGTGATTTTCGGGGACAGAGCCACGTGGAGCGGCAGGTGGGTCGCGGCTGGGTCGAGTTGTACGAGGCGCCGCTGTTTGCCGAGGACGGCGCCTCGTACGTGGTGCGGCTGCCGGTGCTGGACGGCGACGCCGGCAGGTTCCAGCACGTCAACCAGATCTCGGTCGCCGCCAAGAGGGTCACCGCCCTCACCCACGGCACCTACGAGGTCACCTCCATCCTCGCCTGGGACGCTGAATCGCACTACGTGTATGCATAATAATTTAGAATTCTTTCAATTAATGAATATGTTGTGTATTTCCTTAATATTTTTTCTGCTTCTGATGCTTTTTCTAAACCAATTCATAAAATATTTTAACGTTATCAAATTAATTAGTTAAAAATAAAATGTGTTGTTGATTGTTAAAATAAAATTACTTATAACAACTGTTCTACTTTCAAAATTTAATTTTAAAATAAGAAAATTAGGTTTTTTATTTTAATGTTATTTAAAGATAAATTATTTAATAAATAATAAATTTTTATTACTAATTAACCAAAGTAAATATGAAAACGTTTTGAACACTTAATTTTTTTATTATTCATTGTACACCATTTTGTTAATTGTAATTTAAATTTAATAATGTATAATGAATTCCAGTATTAACTACTAAAATGCACTCATTTTCGTTTTTTCGTGCAGGTACTTCATGGCTGCGCCTGAGGGCAAGCCAGGCCAGCGGCACCTGTACAGGGTGCTGGACCAGAACGCAAGCAGTACGGCTGAGCGGCGGAAGGAGTGTCTGACGTGTCCGGAGGTGGTCGGCGTGATCAACATCACCGACTCGGACTATGGGCCGTGTCTCTACTCGAACGCTTACTTTTCGCCGACCGCCCGCTTCTATGTGCACGAGTGCCTCGGCCCTGAGCCGCCCGTCGTGTGGCTCGTCGACGCCGCGTCCAACCTCAGGGTCGCCCTGCTCGACGACCACCCTTCCCTCAGGAACACGCTCGCCACCCTTGCACTTCCGCGGGTATGAGTGTTTTTCCTTAATCCTAAAGTTGAAAGTTAAAGAAGTCCTGGAATGTTGCTTTTTTTTGGTCACAAATTATTAAAAAATATGTTTTTTTTTAAGGATCACTAGGTGCTCAAATTAAATTAAAGTTATAAAATCAAATTAAATTTCCTTGCAAATAATTAAAAGAAAATATTTAAATATTTTTTAGTTAAACAGTTACTGAGGAAAATGACCTAATAATATGAAGAAAATTTAAGTTTATAGCGATAAAAATATGATTGGATAGTGAAATAAGTTATTTTGTTATGTATTTATGTTATTTGCTAAATACACAGATTAATGCAAAAAAAGTCAAAATTATTTACTTAAAATATCTCAGTCTATAAATTTTTTTGAGAATACGGACAACACTTATATTATTCAATTGATCATCTCCAATAAACGTCCTTTCAATGCAAAAGCAATTTTAATTAAATCGTTTATCAGATTAAGACATTTGAGGTGGAAATCGAGGGTGGATACCAGGCGCAGGTGCGGCTGTTTCTGCCGCCCGGGCTGCGCGAGTACGAGGAGATGTCATTTCCCCTGGTCCTGCACGTGTAAGTCCCCCGGCCCTGCTGATTTTCGTTTTATTCAAAATTGTGTTGATTATTTCACAGAGACGCGGCGCCGGGTTCGCAGTTGGTGTCCGAGCGGTGGGGCGTCGAGTGGGGTTCGTACCTGGCCAGCCAGCGCAACTTCATTGTGGCCGAGATCGACGCGCGCGGCTCTGGATTCCAGGGCGACAAACTGCGCCACGAACTTTACCACAAACTCGGCTCAGTCGAAATCGAGGACCAAATCGCCGTCATCAAGTACATAAGAATTTGATTAAATTTTGAAAGTATGTTTAATTAAGGCCGGGTTTTGCCACAGGTACCTGAGAGACAATTTGAAATACATCGACAAGGAGCACCTGGCGGTTTGGGGCTGGAGCTACGGCGGCTTTGCGACCGCCATGATCCTGGCACAGGACGAGGAGGTTTTCCGCTGCGGAATCTCTGTCGCCCCCATCACCAGTTGGATCCACTATAGTAAGCTTAATTTTATTATTTTTTTTTCTTGTCTTAAAAAGTTGAGGTGTCTTTTGTAATTGAATCTTAAATCATTTTGGTTTCTGATATATATGCAAATTTTGATAGATTCTGCGTTTACTGAGCGGTACATGGGCCTGCCGAACGTGACGGACAACTACAGAGGCTACGAGGAATCAGACGTGACGAAGAGGGCAGGAAATCTGCGTGAGAAGTTGTTCCTGCTCATTCACGGCACTGCCGACAACAACGTCCACTATCAGCAGAGCATGATGCTCATCCAGGCGCTCACTGCTGAGGGCGTCCTCTTCAGGCACCAGGTATGAATTTGGTGCTAAATTTCAAAATTGTTGTCACAAAATGGTAGTAAAAGTTTTAATATTTAGAAGAAAAAGAATGTAATGAAAATATTTTTTTTAATTTTTATTTTTTAATTTGTATTTGTAATAATCCTTTGCAGACATATCCGGATGAGGACCACAGCTTCTCAGGTGTCAGAGGTCACATGTACAAGGCCATGGAGTCTTTCCTCGACGACTGCTTCGGCCCTCTCGACTTTGAGGAGTGGGAAATTGGCACTAGTTTCTTCACCTTCAAGCAGTGAAAAAAACGGCGCCAACAACCAGATCATGGCAAGCAAGCACACCAATCTACCAGAGAAGGATTCAACAACCTTTTTTCTTCTGACTTTTTTCAAGTATTCCTGCCTGTTTCTCGTTGATTATGTCAAGTGCAACAGGCAAATTCTAATTTAAAGGAGATCTCACAAAGATTGAATGCTGAGTTTAAAAAAGGACTTGTTGTATTTGAGAGGAAATCATGAATGTGCTGTAGCTGTTTAAGGTGAAAATTGTGATCATTTTTCTGCAACTGTTAACTTTGTTAAAATATATAAAATTCATTGCATGTTTCAACAGAGTGTAACACTTGTAAAAGTTGTGCTGAACATAAATTGTCACACGTTAATGTTTTCTGTGATGGCCTGATATTGTAATCGTTATATTACAACAATGGAGAATTTTTTTTAAAAAGAATTAAAAATTGCTGTTTTGTCTCTCTGTTGTTATTGTTTGATGTTTAAACATGTCTATATTTTTCCCTAGAACGTTTGTAAATTATTATTTTTAATGAATTCTTTTCAGATCCAATTTTAAACAAATTCTTTCGAGGTAAAATTTTTGAAAAATCAGGAGAGCCACAAGTGTTTGCCATTCACACCCAAAAGTTGATTCACTTTTTTGAGAATGTTAACTTTTGAAGTTGTGCGTGTTTTACGACGCATTCGTTTGTTGTACATTTTGCTCATACACATGTTGAAACTAATCCATAATAGGGACCCCTTATATGCGTGGATGTGATTGTTACTTAACAAAAAGGTTAAAGTACCATAGGGGTTTAGTTTTCTAGGCAAATTTTTTACCCCCGCCGGCCCGTTCTTTATAAAATTATAATGGCGAATGAGACGATAGACAAAAATAAAAATTGTAGTGAGCGCTTGATACACACAAACACGTAAAATTGCGTTTATTAAAAAACACCAAGCTTTAAAGGATTTTGGCCTGCGCATAAATTGTTAAGGAAATCTTGAATTTCAAGTTATAATTTTTTTCATTTTTTCTAGTTATCCCTCTGGCCTGATTTTTTAAGCTTCACAATTCCCCTGACCAAAGTGATTGTAAATTAATGTAAAGACCCTAAATAGAATTATGTTTGTCTGCAGACAATCTATGGCCAACACCTGTGTATGGATCGATTGATATCTTAAAACGGCATTCAAATTTTAATGTGAGAAATGTGATGTTGGTTGTTATTTGTCTCTGTGGATTCTCATCAAGTAAGACTCTTATCTCTTGTTGTGTATCTGAATACAAATGTCATTCCAGCTATTGTATATTTATCCCATTACGAAGATTATTATTCTCAATGGAAAAAACTTGGTCATAGTGCTGTCCTTTTATTTTGATTGTGAATTTTTTGCGTTGTCTCCATATCAGGACGATATATATTTATTTGACATTTAAAAGAAGAAGTGCTACTTTTCACTTCCAATTAACGTTTGAAGCACTAAATTTGTAAAAATCTTTTTGTATGAAAAAACCTAAAGAAAGTGTTGCATTTAAAACTAAATGAGTATCGAGTTGTAAACGACGAGTATATACTAACTTTTTAAAACGAATTCCAGTTTAAAATTACCGCAGAGGATTAAATTATTATACACTTAACATTATACATACATATTTATTGCATGAGAAGAGGTGATTCACTTGAGGGATAGAAAAAAGGAAATCTATGATCCCCGAAGCTGTAAGAGGTAAAATCCTATGTTATAAAAGAGAAAGAAAATTTATATATACGCGTAGGTAATTTCGTGCACCATTATTTTTAATAAAATCTAAAATTGTTGAACCAACTGCGTTTCACTAAAAAATAATATTTTTTCGATATACCATTCATAATTATTTTCTACAAGACCCGCAAAACTCACAAGTCATGCAGGTTGCATACATACTGGTTAAAAAATTATTTTGATTTGATTAATATTAAATGTTATGTTAACAAAAGAATGCAACTACGTGCAAGCGCCAATACAGCACTCTGTGAGTCATTTTTCTCCGTGTGAAAGAGTCGGTTGTAAGCATTTTATACTGTGACAAAAGGCTCACAATCAGTTAATTCAATGATATTTCTCTGGCATGCTAAGCACATTGCAGTCCCACCGATCATTCCGATGCCTTAATTGCAGAAACCCAATCCACCTGAGCAGAAATGATTAAAAACTCTGGAATAAAATTAAAACTAGAGCAAGGTATGCGGATCACAACAATGAAGCATTTTGTTGTTTGAGCTCTCTGCGGTTAGTTAAGAGAAGTGAATTATAACCCAATCAGAACGCTTGACAATGATCCGAATTTGCTCTGATTGTGATGATCGGATCTTGCACTAGAGCAATCATAATATGAGATATGAGTATTTGGAGGGTGCAAGTAATTTTTTTAAATATCAAAATTTACCAACCAAGAAAGAAATCCTTTGATATTCTACACCCTTTAACACCACATCCATAAATCAAAATTATTTTTTTTTAATATAATATAAATTTCATTGAATTAAGTATCACTGAAGTATCACCAACTGGCACATCTTTTTGTATGTAACAAAATGCTAAAGGATAATATAATATAACACTTTAACATGACGATGCAAACATTTTATAAAACATTTATTTAAATTAGATTTAAATTATTATTTTAAGTTTAATCAATAAAAAAAAATTAAATATGAAAGTAAAATTAAATCACAAATTAAAATGGCAAATGCACAATTGTCAATTTTAACGTCGAAACCACCAAATTTTCGGCCGACCAATTGCAGGTGTATTTTGACAGCGTAATAATGGAACGTGAAAATGCAGGAAATAGAGCAGATAGGTAACCCTTCTTTCAAATTAAGAGTCCCTGGTTGGCATCTTTGTTTTATTTTTGTGGTAGAATTTCACGATCGACGGTTGATTCATGGTGATTTGAATTTAAAATCGGCTTTTCTTCGATGGGTTTTTGTGAATTGTTTATTGTTTCAGAAAAAAACAATATCCTGCTCTATATGTTTCGGCTGCGGGCTGCATAATTCATGAGCTTTCTCGGCGGTGGTCGAGAGAAGACCACCGCCGAGAAAGCTTACACCACCGCCGACAAAAATTATTCTCTTCATTGGGTGCTTTTTGGGGTATGCTCTGGTGTTTTAATCAGTTGGTGTGTATGCAAAAACAGCAATAATTTTTCATTCCGCTGGAATAACCATGCGGTGCAAGTTTAAATAAATTTCATAGCCATGCAAATATATAGTTGACAAACCATAAAAAAAATAACCAATTTTTTAATAATACTATAAATTAAGTGCTACTTAGTACCAGTACAAATTTGTAAATTAAAGTTATTATTATTAAGTTAAAAAAAAATTAAAGGAAAAAGAGAAGAAAGGGTTTACAACTAGCAGACGCCCGACATCAAAAGAGACGGCCGCCGCGGTAGACCCATGCTATCGAGAAAAAAAAGAAAGAAAAAAGTGTAAAAGTTTAGTGAAAAATTTGAACTGTTTTGGGTTATAATGTCACACCTTGAGTGTCATAGTTTTCAATAAAAGTTGGGATTACTAAAAAACTTATCGGCTGCAGTCGCTGCAAAGTGAGGAATTTTTAAAAAAGAAATCTAATTTCTTAAAATATTTGATTCATTATTTAATTCTCAACGAGATCTTTTTTAGAATACATACTGAGCTAATGCAAGATTGAGAGCTGATGCATATCGAGAGAAGACTGCGACTGTTGTTTTTGCCGGTTTTTGCTTCAATTAAGTTCTTGGTTCTTTTTTTGTAATTTATTTACCGTTTTTCTGGTCCCTGCAACACAGAAGGTGTATGAAGGAATCTCGCATTCACGTTCACATTCAAACGTCGACTTTGAGATTTTCGAGACTCGATCGACTCGACTCGGCGACTGTATGTCTGTCTCTTGAGCGACTGAAGAGAAGAGAAAAAGGATTTGAATATTGAGGCCCAACGCTATTGGACGGAGACGAGTCTTGACGTGTGCAGACAAAAAGATTTTTCTTTTGCTTTGACTTTTCGACGCAAGCGGCCAATCACACAAAGCAAAAGTCTGTAATGCAGAACGCAAAGGGGGTAAAGCGGGAGGCAGTGGGGAAAAAACAGCAAAGGTTATTCACCTTGAATTTGGATCAATTACAATTTTTTTAATCCATAAAAACAATTGCTTAAGAGGAAATGAGGAATGAGATGTTAAGAAATGAAAGAGCGAGATTTTAATAATAAGTAAGTCATTCCTGCAAAAATAAAATTTGTTGATATTTTTCCCGCTTGCCTGAAATCGCAGTGTAATATTTCGAAGCAAAGAAATTCTTGCCATAATACTTGAATCAGTTTTTAACCGTTCCAGTTGAACTGCGTCTATGTAATTACTATAAAAAGAAAATTGTCCAAAATGGTGCTAAATAATATGTATATAGTATTTTGCATAACATTTTAAATATTTTCATTTGCATATAACATTTATTTAATTTATCCCAGGATAAAAATTGCAATTCAATGGTAAAAACCTTGCGCGGCATTTGTTAGTCAAACACACTTATGCAAAAATTATATAGTAATAAATCGCAATATATGAACTAAGTAAGTTCGATAAGAGAAAAAGTACTGCTTTTTGCTAGTAAGGGTAGTTCTGTTTAACTCAAATGTTATTTTGCACAAGCAAGAGTGCAGACGTCCAAAATAATTTCAAAGCAAAATGAAAAGATTGGCGATTTTTTTTTTATCTACCTGTACAACAGCAGCTGCCTGACATTCAGGAACTCAACTTCCGTTAGGACAGGTTGGGCATTTCCAGGGGCCTAAGGGGTCAAAGGGCCGCTGACTTTGGCAAAATTTTTAACCCTATAGCTTACAAAATTTGCCAATCTGTCCATAAATTAAAATACAAAAATTTGAATTTGTTGCAAAGAGAGTGCAAAAAACGTTTGTTGGTGATAAGGATGAAAGTTTTGTTTATTATTAAAATAAAGCAAATGAAATCCATGATCTCAGTTGTTTTTAATAGTTTCGCTGAATCATCGTACTCAATAACCAGTAGCAGCTTAATGTAAATATTTGTAGAGTTGTGAGGGTAAGCGCTTCACTGAAATCCTATGTGGGGAAAATGATTGCTGTTGACACATCCCACAAAAATGCAGCCCACAGATTTGTTGAGCTGAAAGATCTGCAAGAACTCGGCTGCATGCCTGAGACACTTAAAATTGGCATAAACTCCTTAAGACTACAAGGCATATCTGTAATTAAATACTTTGAAATGGGCTGTTTAGAAACTAATGCCATTATTGTAAACCAGCCGCTATTTCTTGCCCATCTAGAGATAAATCATGTTTATAGCAAACGTGTAATATAATAAAATTTACTATTGATATTCTATTTTAGTATTGAAGGAAACAAAGGATGGCGCGCCAATGCCAGAAGCTGCAGTTAGTAAATATGGAGTGAGAGACTTTCAAAGGCCTCAACCTGTGGAGGAAAATTTAGTGGACGAGAAAAAACAAGGCATACCGTAGTCCTTACTGTGGACAAGACGAGGAAGGATCAGATGATAAGAACAGAGCATTATTCCTGGAAAGGCATATAACGGTAAATTCATTATTTTTAAATAATGATTGAAATATGTAATTCCATTAAATAACTGCTCTTTATTAATATAATGTCAAGATTAAATCAAAACGTGTTAATTGTGCTTAACAACTTTTTAAATTAAAAGAGCATCTTGCAAGATAAATTATTCATGGTTTTTTTTTTTGTACTTATTGAGTTCGTTTATTGTATACCATCTCATATTTAATCAAAATATTTCAGACAAATGGTATTCCATCACATACAATGAAACCAAAAATTGGACAACTCTATTTTTGAAGAGAAAGAAAACTGGCACTAAGTTATTGTTATGATGTACTTCTACATGAGAGAAAATGCATATGTTGATGACCAAAAAGTGACCGTAGCTGAGAAAGCCAAACCGAACAACAACACCTTGCCAATATTTGAAGACAAATCTGCTCAACGCAGTATAGTCATGAAACAAGAGGCCAAAGAAAGCCGTGATCCCGGCAACAACCAACCTATTATGCCAATAAATGTTTTTAAAATCACCGAAATTTTGGAAACTATGTCTATTAAGGGTATTTAAAATAGTTAATAAAAAAATCATTTTAAGGCGAATCTGCAAAAATTACTTAAAGATTACAGCAACTAAAGGTATTAAAATTTTTAACTGACTGATAATTTCAGATGAACTGGAGAGGCGTCCTGGCTATCGGAGACCGGAACCATCAAAGTTTGGAGACCAGCCTTGCTTTGCTCTCCGCCAACGCTCGCAGTTCAAACCATCTGACCAGCAACTCGTTCTCATCCATCTAGCAGCTGCTCCTGAAACCTCCTGAGAACAAGACCAGCACAGTCCGAACGAAACCCCCCCAGTTAACAAATACCCCTATAGGCGAGTAAATCAATAGGAAATAAATCAGCAGTTAACGTATTTGTTTTAATAGTTTTCACTGAGTCAGGGAAATAAGTCATTTAATTAAGTCAGCAATATTTTAGATAGAGTATTTATTGCACACAAGTATGTGTACAACGGGTGCTTAAAGCATTTGCCCTTATAAAATTATTCATATTTTTACAATTAAGCTTGTTTATATGATTATTACATATCAGCAATATTTGAACAATCCCGGCCTTTTCTGCATCTTCAACTAGGTTTATAATAATTGCTGGAAATTACTTGCACAAATTCAAAAATTTTGGGCACCTCTGTGTCAAAAAAGGGCACTGTCGGCAGTGTCGGCCCTGTAACGAGTAATGGGCAACCATCGACCGGGAGTTAAACTAATTTTGTTTACACATAATGAAACACATTAAGAAAATCTAATTTCATTTTTCAGGGGTACCCAACTAACCAGCATTTTTAACATCCCTGCCCAAATTTCGTAACACACTATTGAGGCGATTGTGGGAAGTTCTCGGTTGGATCTGTCTTCAAATTGATGCCTCGAGCCTCCAGATCCTTTTTCACCCTGACTCCCTCTTCGAGAACAGCCTGGACGTGCAGTTCTTGGTTATTAGAAAAAAGAGGGCATCTTCCAGTGATGGCTTCTTCAGCAGAGTCGTAGAAATGATCATAAGATTCAACAATCCTGTTGCAAATATAACACACTAAACATTTGCAGCTGCACTCAATCTTGTTGCACCCATCAATCTTGAGGAATTTGATGTTGCAGTTGGGACAGGATCTGAAATTTTTGTGATTATAATACATCTTAATTTTAACTAAACTTTAAAAATACCTAATCAGTGCTTTAGTCATAGCTTCTTCTACTTGGACCCTGCCTTCTTTTTCTTCACCCTCCTCCACTTCTATGCACGCTTTCGGAAGATGATCAATTTTTTTGCACTTTCTGAAAACAGATAAAAAATTTAAGAAAAGACACAAAACATATATACACAATCGTAGCTTACCTGCAGGAGTTTTTTTTGCAAATTGAATTCAAACTCGCGGCTTGCGTCATCAGTCTTTCTAGTCATTGCAGCAGCGCTGCTTATTTCAGAATTATCTTTGGAAAGAGGCAAGGCCTGGTCAAACGGTCTGATGCTCTCGGCATTGTTCACTTTATTTGCTTCCACTCTAGAGTTCACTTCAGTGTAAAAATACATGTAGACAATATATTTCAGTTTTTCTGATTCAATGAACGGAGTTCTCCACTCTTCAGTGTTACTGTATGTGATGGTAAACCATTGTTCTGCAAAGTTTAAATTAAAAATTTAGATGATATAGTAAAAGATCAATATGAGAACCAAAATGAGAACAAAATAAACCAAGAAGAAAATTAATACTGAAATGTCCTTTTTTCAATGCAAATAGTGTTTAGCACAATGTTTTTATTTATTCATAAGTGAAAATTATTTTAATAATAACATTTATTTCATGAGTCTAAAATTTCAATCATTTTATAATAATGAATTTACCTTTATGTCTTTCAAGGTAAAATGCCTTAGGCTCATTCATATTTTCTTCACCAGAAAAAGGAACTCCTTGTTCTCTTTGATCCACAAGATTATCATCAAGAGGCTGTGGTTTGTGTAGGTCCCCAACTCTTCGTGCAAAATCTGCTGATATGGGAGATTGTTTTTCCTCCATTTCTTTGAGGACTAAAATAAAATAATAATTATAAATTTTATAATATTAATAATCCAGGGTCTGAGAGTCAACTTAAGAACAGCGGCTGGATTATAATGATGGCATAGAATTCATCCCATACCAAAGTATTTACTCACTCAGTCCTTGAAGTCTGTAGGCTTTGCTATCAATCTCAAGGGATTCTGGGATGCAGCCGAGTCTTTGAAGATCCTTCAACTCAGCAAATCTGTTGCTTGAATTTGCGTGACACTTGTCCACTGCAATTACGCTTCCACAACATAGTATTTCGTCAAATTTTTTTCCTTCACTCGCCTAAAAATTTTTGTGGAAAAATTTGTTCCCCATAAGAATAGATTATTGCTACAGTATACCTCATCCAAGCAAGGATGCAATTACGAGTGACCCAATATTGCTAAAACATCATTTGTAGTCAAATGAGGAGGTGCATCGTGTTTGATGGTCGTGATGTTGCACTTATTGCACAAGACGCGTCGAAGAAGGACACTTTCCATTCTTAGCTGGTTATACAGCAATTGTTCAATTTTTCCTGTTTTCTCCAACTCCATAAGGTACTTGCTTTTAATAATACATTGTTTTTAAATATTTTAGAGGTTAAAGTAGTAATATTTTCATTTATACTTACTACCCAACGATCAATTTCTGGTACTCCTTTTCTAACTTCTTTGTCAACTTTCCACCTTTTCTAACAATTTCATCGGCAATGTTTTTGGGAAGCCCAAACATTGCTTTGGAGCGGTGCTGGGAGACGGGCACAATCTAGAAAATTGAAGGCTTTATTTTTCCTTGATTTTTTTTTCAAATGCATTCTCAAAATTTATATAATTGTGCCCATATCGCATTCAAGTTAATTTCCTTCTTCAAGCACACAATTATTGTTTTTATTTTATATTTTCTTCCATTAATAGTAGCACAAGCATTACATGCTTGCGAGCGTACTCGCAACTGGATCGAACCCCACAGTTAGATAGAATCCTACAATTGGATCGTACAATTTTGCAGGTCCAAACTCTTTAAAATTTGAATCGTGATCGTACACACTATAGGTCCAGATCGTTGCAAAAGTTGCTTTTCTGATCAAAACATTTGTTTGGATGTCGGCTGGCGTACGGACGAACGAAATTCTGTATTTTGTTAGCAAAAACCTACCACACACATAAAGGGTATTACAAAATGGTAAATTGAATTTGATTTCATCATAACTTTAAGTGAAATCATATGAATAGCTGTGGAAATTTTTGATTGCTTATGAATTTACCCTTAATTTTGAGAGGGTTCTTTATACTTATATATAAATTAACACTAAGCAAAGTTAATAATTTTTTTCTCTAAAGATTTCCAGCAAGTATATGGTCCAATTCTTCAAACCTCTTTTTCATCAGACCATGGTTGCTTGCCTCTATTTAAAATTTTTGAAAACGTCCTCTTTTTCCTCAGATCATGGTTGGCTCTATTTCAATTATTTGTAAAAAACGACTTTTACCTCAGACCATGGTTTCCTATTTCAAATTTTTTAATAAAAACGTCTTTGTCGTCAGACCATGGTTGCCTCTATTTCGAATTTTTGAAAACGACGTCTTTTTCATCAGACCTTGGTTGCCTCTAATTAGAATTTTTGAAAACGACCTATTTTTTGTATCAGACTCTATTTCAATTATTTTGACAAAAAACGTCTTTCACCTCTGACCATGGTTGCCTCTATTTAAATTTTTTGAAAACGACCTCTTATTTCTCAGACCATGGTTGCCTCTTTTTCGAATTTTCGAAAAAAAAAACGTCTTTTTCCGCAGACCATGGTTGCCTCTATTTTTTGAAAACGACCTCTATTTTCTCAGATAATGGTCAGCTCTATATTTAGAATTTTTGAAAACGACCTCTTTTTTGTCTGACCATGGTTGGCTCTATTTAAATTATTTGAAGAAAAAAACGTCTTTTTGCTCAGACCATGGTTGCCTCTATTTAGAATTTTTGGAAAAAAAACATCTTTTACCTCAGACCATGGTTGTCTCTATTTCAAATTTTTGAAAAAAAAAACGACTTTTACCTCAAACCATGGTTGCCTCAATATCAAATATTTTTTTTAAAAAAAAAACGTCTTTTTCATCAGACCATGGTTGCCTGTTTAATTTTTTTGAAAAATACGACTTTTACCTCAGACCATGGTGTCTTCTATTTCAAATTTTTGAAGAAAAAACCTCTTATTTCTCAGACCATGGTTGCCTCTATTTAGAATTTTTTTAAACGACCTCTTTTTCATCTGACCATGGTTGGCTCTATTAAATTTTTTTTTAAAAACCTCGATTGCCACCCTCGACGAATAAATTGAGCTCATAATTTGAGCACACTCAGAGAATAGAATTTACCTGTAAATGATTAAAAACGGTTTAGGAAACTCCTAGCGAAATTGAATGTAATTTGGCAAAACGAATAATTTATACAAATACACTGGAAACATAGTTTATTTTCCATCATTTTCGAGGTCCTTTTTTATGCATCGCTTGTGTTGTTTTTGCGTAAGAAATGTAAAAAGACCTTGAACTTTAACCTACAACTTTTTACTCAGCAGCAAAGTTGTAGAAATTGTCAAGACAAATTCAACCATACCCAGATTTGTGTTCTGCGATCAATAGAACGCGAGAAAATTAGGTTTTTTAATTTTTTCAAAATGTCCCATACAACCCGCAATTTTGGAAATTTTTTCAAAAAAATTTAGTGATGTTGCTTCTAAGACATGGATGTTATGCGGTGAAAATCTCAATCAGCTAACTTCAAATTTGGGCATGGGGCGTGAGAACAGAAAGAATCGCACAAAAATGTTTTACAGCGCAGAGCGTGAGCGCAAGACTTTTTAAAAATTTGAGCGCGACCGCACTGTTGCAAGTGATCGCTAGCGCAAAATTGTTGAGCGCACCCATGTATGCAATTATTTAACGCCGCGACAAGTCGCTACTCTCTCTTTGGGTCGGTAGTCTAGGGAAAATTATTTAACAGGAAAATTACTAATCACGGAACAAAAATGGCTGACGCCTCGTGTCGACGCCGAGTTGCGAATTACAATTTAATGGGCAAAAGACAATTCATTTTAATCAAAAATGTCAGAAAACTTCACGTCCTCAACGCTCTGGCGGAGTCGCGGATTCACGTGTCCTTAATTCAAACAAAAGGGATTTCAACAACAGAATGAGCAATCGAAACTAAGAGGGCAAAAATCAGGGAAACCGTCACACACAACAGCTTAGCAAACCAGCCGGTGACACGAAGCTACCTGGTACTTCCCAATAATCTGGGCACTTGACCAGGCCTTTACCAAACCAAGCCCTCCAAAAACCAGCATCCCAAACAATTATCTCGTACCTTGAGGCCATCAGCTCACGAGATACACGTCCGTACTCGATGACTATTTTGGAACGGCGGAGGGAAAAAAAGGGCACCGGGCGTAACGTGCTCTGCGGCTTTTTCACCTCGGATTTTAAATTGATGATTTTTTGGAATAAATTCGGGACAATTGACTTCTTGGTCAAACGGGACACTTCAACAAAGCGCGGGCGGGACTCTTGAGCGAGGTTTCCAGCTCAAAATGTCCCGACCTTGTCGGGAACTCGGGCTCCGCTCAGCCGCCGGCGAGAACTTTTTCGGGGCGAAAATCGGGTCTTTTAGGGTCCGGGGGCAGCTAATTTTCTTATCAATGGGATCGGGCGAGGCCAATGAATTAATACCAACCTTAAATTCAGTCCTTTTCTGACACCATCTGTCCTTGTCGTCCTTCTTGGAACCTAACTCTCGCGCTTCACGTGTTCGTCAACGGACTCGTCTCGGGGATCAGTTCACCTTTTCAACTTGGCCGGCAGGTGGCTGCACCGGTCTTATTTTTGAAACTTTACCCCGGCAATTCACCCGCTGTGATAAAATGAATCCATTTATTGATTAAATTGATTTATCAGAATATCAATGAACGCACAACCAAAACAAAAATAATATTCAGGCCAGTTATTGCTTTAATTGCTTCCTATATGGTGCACCGAGTTCTTACGTTTCCTAAATGGCGTTGTCGCTGGTCATTTCGGCGGCTGGTTCGCCTAAAAAATATCGCACACATGCATAATAATTGTTTTTGGGTGATGAAAGCAAAATTTTCCAAATTTTCCTTGTAATTTGACTATGCCTTTAAATTTTATTTAATATTGATACTATAAACATTTTGCCTTCAAAGTTATTTTGGGTTTTATTTTATATATTTTGCGTATTATAGTCTATAGTAATATTTTTCTAAGTCGATCCAACATAATCAGCTTTTAATTTTCCAGCCTCTATTATTAATTATTATTTCCATTATAATAATGCCATATTGGCAGAATTAATTGGCCTGTTGAAAAAATTTGTAAAATATTTCATGAGACTTAATAAGATTCTGAAATTTGACTTTGAACCTTATTTGTTTAACGTATTAGTATAAAAATTCTGGCATCAAAATGTCTTGGAACTGGCATAATGTAAATTTCTTTTACTACAATTTTCTTATTTACATACGTTCATCATCATCTCATGGACCATCAAGGATATGGCAGCAAAAAAATTGATTTTTAAATAAATTTGTACCACAAAAAAAATGTAATAAAAAGGCACCATATAGGGCACCTAGCACGTCAGGTTTGATCCGGGATCTGGCGGACTCATGTAGTTCTCAGCAGCAATTATTCATGTATAATTAATATGCTTAAATTCTCATATCTCATACCATATTAACAAAATCGACAAATATATTTTGTCGAAAAGAAATTTGAATTGACTGCATTCGGAGAGCACTTTGGCAAATATTTCACCTGAGCCCACCTATATGGCGCCCTCGCTCATTTTCACTTGCCTGATAGGCCAGACCAGCTCTAGAGCAAACAGGCCATTATAATATAATACAGAAAAAAGATAATGTAGAATTTTTGTTAAAAAAAAAAATCAAATAGCATTAATTTTCAAACAAATTGCCTGCTTTTTTATTATTACTGAAGCCACAGAATCCACTTCGTATTCAATAATCAGTATGTCCGCACTCCTCCAGACTCCATTATTATATTATCTGGTTTGCATAAATCAATTCAAATGTTTAATAGAGCACTTTCCCACCTGCTTGTGTGCAACGGCCCAAACAAAAATCAGTTTGTTTACTCTCGATAGTAGGGGCTTCTTTTAAAGTCCCTGATATTTTCTGGCAGTCGTTTGTCGCAGGCAATACAGTGAACAGGATTTGTATACACATCTAGATTAATTTACACCGAGTTCACCACTTAAAATTGGTGCAGTCTTATTGCTGAGAGTTCGTTATGTTGGGGCGCACTCGTTCTCAGTTGGGCAGGGTGTCGTAGATAATGTCCTTGACACTTTGACTCAGCGAGTCGGGGAACTTGATGTCGAAGGCAACGAGGATATCGCCCTTTCTGCTGGGCTCCTTCGGGTGAGGCAGTCCGTAGCCCTGCAGTCTCTTGGTCGTGCTCGGCTTGACAATCTCGCCCGTCAAGTTGATTGAGATTTTCTCTGTGCCCAACGTTGGCACCTCCACCACGCAGCCGCACAGCGCCTGAATCAATATTTGTAATTAGTCAACTTCATAAAAAAGAAAATAAATACAAAAATTACCTGCTTGAGGGAGATCTTGGCGGTGTACCGGAGGTCAGAGCCCTCGCGCTTTAATGTGGGGTGCGGGCGGTCTCGGATGATGAAGACGATGTCTGCGGGGACCTTGTGGGTGCCCTGGTCGCCCTCCTTCTGGAAAGTGATCTTGGTGCCGGCTTTCCAGCCAGGCTTGATGTTAATGGTCAGCACCTTGTCCTCTTTCTTGGTTGAGCCGTCCGGCTGCAGAACGCGCCGCGAGATTTTCATCTTCTTGGTCGTGCCTTTGGCAATTTCTTCCAGACTGACATAAAGGTCGTGCTCAATCGGTGGGTCCTGCTGCTTGTCCTTGCCCATTCGCCCTCCGGGGCCTCCGCCGTTGCCGTGGATGTTGAAGGACTGCGAGCGGTAGGCAGGGCCGCCTGGACGACCTCCTCCGAAGCCACCCAGGTTTACAAACGGGTCATCCACGTCCATGTCATCGTCTCCCCCATGTGGACTGAAATTCAATTTTAATATAAATAATTGAATTTTAATTGGAAAAATCTTGCAACCCAAAAAGATTGATGATTTTTTTCTTTTTAATTGTAATAATTTCAAAATTATAAAATTGAGGACCATTACTATAGTACGTAATTGGTAGAAAATATTTAAGTAAAAAGATATTGATTATATGCCAATAATGTTACTGTTCATAAAATTGGGTTTTGGAAAAAATATCCGGGAATGTGAGCTATGTTGTAATCCTTCACCGTTTACCCAACAACTTTTGACCAGCATTTAGGTAAAATTTTCTAATTTTTTTTAGAAACATTCTCCGACAAAAGAGTTGGCACTAAATTTTCTGATCATAGAAAGTATTCAGACGATCCAATTGAGAGCATAATATTTTGGAAACCCATATTATCTGCCTCCTATATATTTTAAGCATTAATTTACGATGACAAAATTAATTACACGTAACAATTTTATAGCAAATAATAAAATAATTACTTGAAGAACATGCGGTTTCCACCGCCAGGCTCGAAGAAGGCACTGAAGGGGTTGGAGTTGCCGAAGAACTGGGCGAAGGTGGCCCTCGGGTCGCCGTGGAACTGGTAGGAGAACTGGGGGCCATTTCCATGGACGCCTCCACCTCCGCCGCCACCTCCACCGCCTCCAGGCACGCCGCCCTTGAGGCCCTCCTCGCCGAACTGGTCGTAGACGTCGCGCTTCTTCTTGTCGCTCAGCACTTCGTACGCCTCAGCGATCTCCTTGAAGCGTTCCTCGGCTCCAGCTGCCTTGTTTTTGTCCGGGTGGTACTTGAGCGCCAACTTTCGGTACGCCTTCTTGATCTCATCGTCGGTCGCACCCTTGGCGATGCCCAGTGTTTTGTAGTAGTCCTTTCCCATTTCAAATTTCACTGAAAACAAACAAAGGAAAACATTTTAATTTAGTATTGAAACGTAATAAAATTTCCATGTGATTTCGTCACTTTTTCACAGATTTGGACAATTTTATGCTAATTACAAATGCAGCGCTACACGTTTCAGAAGCGCATGAGAGTCCGCACTGAGTCGGTAGACGCGCGGGAAAGAATCGGCTGTAAGCATTTTGCTTTGTGTTGTGTGTAAACTGTGACAAGGCCCTCAGCGTGTCAATGATACTATTTCTCGCATGTCTCGCTTCAAGTAAACAGCGATCGGGTGATCAGGCACCTGCGCCTTGACTGCAAAAACCGCAACCCACCCAATTAGAGGTCTAGAGATGACTGGGCGTTAATTGAGGATTGTCATATCAATGATTATTCGGAATATTCAGTGCTGCTCTAAGAAAATATAATAAAAAATGATAAGAGAAATGTACAGAACGAGAGGGAAATTATGTGATTCAGAATCACTGGAAATTAAAAATATAATACTTTTCGTTTATTTATACTTCATCAAATTAAGAAATTTTCCTAAATCTTTGTTTTAATTTGTTGATTTACCTGTAAAAATACTTTGACAAGCTGAAACCACTAAAATTAACTAAAATTTTAGGTGAATTTTGTAACTTGGCTTTTCTTCAATGTTTTGTATTAATTTTATTAAAATTTATTATTTTCGGCTGATGTTTTAAATTTTCTTAGGAAATGCGTAGAAAACTTCCAGCACCAAATCGATGAAAGACAATACAAAAAAATGAATTCCACCGTTTATTGATCGTTTGAAAGACTTGATAAAAATTTTCATAACATCCCTATTGATTTATTTAAAAAATTGAAATAGTTTAAGGCCGGAGTCTGATCAAATTGACGACGGTTTCAAAAAATTGAATTAGTGCAAGGCCGGGGTCTGATCAAATTGACGATGTTTTCAAAAAATTGAAATAGAGCAGCGCGAAGGTATGATGAAATAGGCTATTGCTTAGACAATAGCTTTGCAAAGCTTAAATAAATATAATTAACTACAATTTTACAAGGTTGTTAATTTTTAACTTTGTTTTTCCTGAATGCTTTGTATCAGTTTTATTATAATTTATTCATTTATATTATTCTTGGCTTATGTTTAGAATTTGTTTTGGAAATACGTCGAGAAACTACCATCGCCGAATCGATGAATGGCAATTACACAAAACATTAATTGCGCCGTTATATGATCTTTTGAACTACTCGTTTATATACATATTTACATAAAATCTCTTTTCATTTAAATAATTATTTAAAATTAAACCTAATTATTGTCACATGCTTATATTTAAGGAAAGTCCATGTAATAATATAGAATAACGCTAGCTTTTATATTTCATGCACTTAATGTAAGTTCCTGTTGTACACCTAGAGCGGATTTGGTTCTTAAACCTGCCCTCATTTTTAAGTTAAAATTAACAACACAAAGTAAAGTTAAAGAGCATCGAAATATTGGTTTTGGTGCTTCGAATTTTGCTTATTCAGAATCAGTACAATTTTTGTGCAAAAGTATTATTGCTACAGCTTATTCACAATGAATGTGAAACATACGCGTGCTTGAAAATTAAAAATAGGGCATCCTTCTTGAGTGACCCCGCGCTGGGCCATCTGCGTCTGCGGCCGACAAACGACAATCAGCCGCGCACTCCAATGTTCACTTTCGCCAACTCAACGTTCCATCTGAATAAGAGCTTAATTTCGTTGACATTCATATTTTGGTACTAATTGAATTGCCCCCCTCTCTCAAACTGCTTGCATGAATTTAAATTATTGAAATGGGTTGAGATGATTTTAAAGCGAAGGTAAACATGCGGACCAAATCTGCAATTGTGCTAATTCACCAGTGTCAAGGCGAGCACTCGTCGATTGAGCAAGCGCCGCCAAAATTCAATGCAAAAACGTACTTGATTAAATAATGTTTAAAAAAAAAATTGCCAGAAGAAACAAGAAGCGTTTTTTCAATTAAGGGGTCCAGTTGTTGGCTAATAACTCAATATTTTTCACCATTACCAACAAATGAAAGGGCATTATGTCAACCGTGTGCTTCAAACAGATTTTGAGATTTGGCAACACGCCAATCGAGGTTTTTTATGCAACATCTCTATTCAAGAAATTTCTCTCATATTGCACTGGTCCTTTTGGCACAAAATTAATTTACAGACATAGCGAAAGATTTTTTATCGAATGATCTACAAATGAAAATACGCAAATAAGAAAATCCTTGGCAAATGACCATGCATGTAATAATATTCATGCAATGGTAGGAAATTACGATATGAAAAAGTTGGTTTTATTTCGTGTAAGGACGGAGGCGAAAACCGAAAGATAGAATAAAAAAACTGAAAATTGCTCGTATTTTTTAATAAATAAAAAATTTAATGAATAAATCGGAAAATTTTTACGGTTGCTAAAGAATGACCTATTTTATGTACGGCAAACAAAAATTGAAGCGTCCGAAAACTGAATAAAGAACGGCGCGGATCAAGTGTGAGCGAGCGAGGGCAGCTGAACGCTCGCGCGCGTCATCCAGTTGTCCTTGTAATACTTGCACATGCCTATGTTTGGCGGTGCGCCAGCGCCCCATTTGAATACCCAGCCGACCGCCGCCCCCATTCGCCGCCCAATCAAGTCCTCGCCAGGGCCACTCACCTCGTGTCTCTTTCTAAAACGAAAGCCGTGTCCGACAATGTCCAGCACCGTCTTCGCACTGCCAGACCGAGCGACGTGGGCCGCGAGTTTATGGCGCGACGGCGACAGGCGGCGCCCTACTCGACGCCCGCACCAGACCCTGCCAGAAGCATCGAGAACATTCTCGCCCTTTCCAACCCCTTCTTCCGCAGGGTTCACCCCTAAAGCTCAACCAACGAGCTGATTTCCGATTCACAAAAAAAATCCTACACTGACATCATCCTGCGGAGTCAGCCAGGCGGAGAAGTCAATGAACCCAAAAATTTAAAAGGCGCTCCTCCGAAAGCCAAACGGGATTTTCAATTTTAATTTTTGTGCTGCATTTCATCGGGGGAAAAATTATTTTTAACGAGGAGGCTCGACATGGAATTCATAGTCATTGAGAAATAAAAATAAAACTAAGAGTCATCCATTCGGCGGGCCTGTTTTGGAGTTGATTATTTGTCTCGATGCTCGGAGACGAGCGTGTCCGAATGTTTTTGGCGATTTCATTTGAGGCAAAACAGTACCGGCCGATTTTGACTGGTGTGCCGAAATGCGCGTCTATGAGCTCTGAAATTACAGTCTTTCACTCGTTCTCGGCCTGCACCGCCCGATTTCTCAAATGAGAGACGCTTCTATTTTTAGAGCCGTGCAATTTTTTACTCCATTTCTCGCGTGGACAACCCACGAGAGACGAAATCCTCTCACCTCTTTTTCGACTTTGCAGACGTCTTGCAAGTCCTCCTCTGGCACGAACTTCGTCCGACGCACCTTTCTTGTGACCTCTGTCTGCTTCAGCCGAACGCAACCTTTCGTTAGTTTTGTCTCTGAAGTTCTTCGGGCTCTTCGGCTTCGGCTGCCAAAAGCAAAAGCAGAAAAAGTGGTGAGTGGTGTGGATGGTACCCGACGCTTCTCGAAACGCACGCAAGGAGGCGTACGAATTACAAAATAGCGGTTTGGAAACAATTCAGGAGTTAAGAATTTAAGCAACAATAATTCCGTTTTATTCTTCCTTCATGGTCAAGGAAATTTTCAATATATTAAACAATGTAAAAAAAGTAATTTTATTCTGTTGTTTAGTTATTTTGAACAAATATCACCATTCAAATTTTAAAAAAAATTTTATGTTTACAGATTTGATCTCCTTCTTTTCACTCCAATCAATTTTCCATCATCAGCAGCAGCAAGTTTGCCAACATGCAAATTTTAATGAGTTTAATAATGAAGAATCAGGCTGACCAACCACTGATGTAAACAACCAACTGCTAGCACTGCGTAGAAGAAAATCGACGCACGCCGAAAATTCGCAAAAATCTTACAAAGCAGCCGCGTCCGATGTTGTTTGCAGGTTTTGGCAACGTCTGAGTGGCGAAGAAGGGCAGACTGAGGCATCAAGAGCAGCGGTTGGCGTCCGATGAGTTGTTATTGGCGGGCAATTGGACAATGGCGCTGGAGCCAGTTGTGAGCGGACACTTTCCCCTGGCCGACGTTGCCTCGATTGTGCGTCTCTTCAGGCAGCAGCTCGAGACACCTGAGCCTGATCTGGCACTGCTGTCCATCGTAGTGGGCGCCGTCGAGAACTCGCTGACATGCTGCCGTCCGGCCGCCTTCGACGAGGTCGAGTTGCCACCGTCGGACACCGTCCGTCTGCCGCCGGTTGAGAAGCACATCGCCGAGGCACTGCTCACAAAGTTCCACGCAATCCTCAAGGGTTCGGTTGACCTGAGCCTCTACGAAACGCGCTTCGCCTCCAGAGAGCTCGTCAAGAGGGTGTCCGATGTCATCTGGAACTCGCTGACCCGCAGACACTACAATGAGCGTGCCCACCTTCAGAGCATCTACAGCTACCTGACAGGCATTATTTTTAATTATTTAAAAAAAATGTTTAATTCTTTTAATATTTAAATAGGTAACAAACTGGATTGCTTTGGTGTAGCCTTTGCTGTGGTGGCCGGCTGTCAGGCACTTGGCTTCAAGGACGTACACCTGACGCTCTCTGAGGACCACGCGTGGGTGACCTTTGGCCCTCCTGGCAAGACACAGACAACAGAAGTCACCTGGCATGGTTAGTTTGGTACTATGATTCTGAAATTGGTTTTGAATCGAATATGTTATCCAAAGGTAAAGGACACGAGGACAAGCGTGGACAGCTGGTGGTGGAAGGTGGCTCTGAGTGGCTGTACTTGAAGGGCCAGGCGGTCAAGTGCACGCGGCACATGGAGGTGGTGGCTCTTGTGTCTTCCATCAACCCCAGCCTGAATCTCACCAATGACGCCATTGAAGTGGCAATGCTGCAGCAGGAACTGCTCTGGCTACTCTACGACCTTGGACATCTCAAGAAGTACCCTATGGCTCTTGGTACTAATCATTTAATTCTTTTAAGAGTTTTGGAATAATTTTTATTTAAAAAGGAAACTTGGGTGACCTGGAGGAGTTATTCCCAACGCCAGGAAGACCAGCGTGCGACACGCTGTTCGAAGAGGCCATTTCCTCTGCCCGAACTTACTACAGCAACCACCACGTGTACCCGTACACTTACCAGGGTGGATACTTCTACAGGCACAACATGTACAAAGAAGCCTTTCAAAGCTGGGCCAATGCAGCAGACGTCATCCAGCTGTGAGATTAAACCACAGTCGGCTTGCGCTTTTAATCACACACAAAAATTATTACCCAGGTACAATTACAACCGAGACGATGAGGAGATCTACAAAGAGTTCCTCGAAATTGCTAACGAGCTGATTCCCTACGCCATCAAGGTGGAGAGCTCTGGCATCAGCGCCCACTCGATTTTGAAGGACCCGCAGTGTTTTGCCTCCCTGTTGCGCTTCTATGATGGCATTTGCCGCTGGGAGGAAGGAAGCGCCACTCCTGTGCTGCACATTGGCTGGGCCAAGCCCCTCGTCAACGCCATTTCAAAGGTTAGCAAAAAAAAAAAGAAGAAAAAATAATATGCAATTTAACAGAGCAGTAATTTTATTTGATAATGAAACAATTTTACATCAGAAACTATAAATTAAAAAAAAAAAAAAACTAAACCTTTACTGCCACCGTGATTTGTGTTCAAATTATTGTACTAATAATCCTATAAGTATTTTATGGGAATAATGAAGTCCGTAAAAAAGCTTCTTGATTTCATTGAATTTTTCCTAGTCTTAATTAGAGAGTCTTAATTAGACTTGCAAGAATTTCATGAAAACTGAAAAAAGCAAATACGTTCTTATGTTATGTTTTAATTTTTTTTGCCTTAAATCTGGTGCCTGAATTAAATAATAATAACTTGTTTAATAATTTTCAGTTTGATGCGAGTGTGCGAGCGCAGGTGGAGATCAGCTTGGCGGAGGAAGAGGTGGTAGGAGGCGACCGCTCCAAGTACCTGAACAACAACAATGAGATTGAGGCTCAGGTGAGTGGGCTGGCAGGGGCACCCAGCGCAGCGACGCATCCGAGCATTGCGGCGCTGACTGAGGCGTGCAGCGAGACTCTGCTAAACCCTGTGTACCTGCTGAGAGGCGTAGGCAACCCTTTTGCAGACAACACATCACCTCTGCCACCTGTTACGCCTCCTCCGCCCTCCGACGAGGAGCAGCAGCAGCCAAGGCCCAGCCTGCGGCTCCACTCGCGCAAGATGGCTGGCCTGAAGGAAGTTCTGCTGGCCGAGAAGCTCAACACGAGCGCCATTTCTCTGCAGCTGACTGCACAGTCTCAGGTGCAGATCGGGGGCCGCAAGACCAGGGCCCTCGAGCAGCCTCCGCCGCCATCCTCAGAGCAGTCTGATCATCCTACCAAGCCCAAGAAAGCCAAAACCAGAGAGTGAGATGGCGACGCCAGCACAGTGATACTTAACACCTTTTTCTGCCCTTAGAAGTTGAAATTATTTTAATTTTTGGAAATTCAATTGGTCGGACCAACATAAAGCATACACAATGAGTGTCTGGAGAAAAATTGCTATTGGATGAAATTGGTTTGGTGCATTAATTCGAAGTAGATGTTGATCAAATACTCGTGAATCAGAAACCTAGACAAATTTTGAAAGTTTCCTTTAACCTTCGAAGTCAGCATTTTTTTAGCATGTTTTTTTCTAATCGATTTGATCGAGATTTAAATCATTTTTAATTGGCTTTTTACTTTAAAACCTACGGTCTTTTATGTTGCAAGTTTGAAGTCATTTTTAAGCAAAAGGCATCTTTAAATCAGAGAGCGTGTGTGATGGAAAAAGTTCCAGTTTTTTGTTTTGTTATTGAAAAAATTATTTCCTAGGCTGGGCCTGATAACTGCTGAGACTAAAAAAGAACCACACACATGACTTTTTTTGTTTGTCACGCATTTCCACGTTTGTCTCTCTCGCAGCCATTTATATTGTGTCCTATACCTGAAAAATGTGTATTTTTTAAGTCTTATATAATGAGAGCTGATGGGTTGAAACTCACTCAAGCAAGACTCGTCACGGCGCATAAATGAAATATATTTTTGTCCAGAGCCTCGGGTTGCTTCACTTGAAAGTGGATCAATGAACTAATAAAATTCAGAGATGCATTCCTAATGTTATTAACTCTTAAGGTTGTAACGCTGAGAACGAGATGTGATTGTAATGCTGAGAGAAAATTAATATTTTTCGACGTTTCTTGTTGTTGGAGCACTTGAGTTGGGAGCAACTGATACTGACATCGCCAGATACTTAAAAGTAAATTTAATGATGCTTGGGATCTTCCGTTTTTTTCTCGAGTCTTTTTTGAGACGCAAATGAGAAGTAAACACTGTTAAAAAAAAAGGGTGTACGCTTGAGAACTTCACTGTTAACATTGTCAGCTTGTTCCGCAGGACAAATGAAATAGTTGACATGGATTTTAATTGCCCGAGGCTCGCAAAACCGGCTTTGTGACAAAAGTCTCCTCTTCCTCTCGCAATGCCAAACACTGAAATCATCAGGCGATCAGAGGCGCCCCTAAATGAAGTAGAATGAAAGAAAAACGCGTCACTTCAGAAGTGTTTCGTTGTCCCCCTACTCCCCCCACCTCAGTAGTTGCATATCCATAGAATGATAATTAATGAAATGTACTACGGTGTAAAATCAACTGTGCAACAGATAATGCATCTTAATTAATTAGCTAATAAATTAATGAGCAATCATTTCTCACAATAGCAAAAAACTTTTAATCAACTCATTTGTCATTAGAAAAACATTTTTTTTAATCTCCCTGAATTTTTAATGTGCAAACTATTGTGAGTAATAATCGCCCACAGAAGTAGAGTAATCTAAAGTTTTTGTCTCTGCTAAGTTCTCTCTCCTGGATTACTCTTGATCAATTGTAGCATTTTTGTAGTGAGGACAGCAGTTTTGTCTGAATAAAGCAGCATTTTGAAAATGTTTCCGATCTGCGTTTTATTATATCTTTTACGAAAAGGGAAGCGTGTGTGCGAGTGGCATCCAGCACTGTATCAAGATCGGCAAGGCGTGAGGCTCCAATCAGTTCAGAGGAAAAAAATGTAAATTATCGTAGTATGACACTGCAGCATATTTTTGTAAGCGCATTTTCACTGGAGATTCTTCACAGACAGGAGCCGAAAAGCAACACAATTATTTGAGCTTCAAGTAACCCTGGGCGCAAATGAAAGCGTCATTCTTTTTAAATGAGAACAAATAAACATGAAGCAACAATAGAAATACAGTATACATATTATATCTTGTTTTTTTTCGTTCACCACCCTTCCGCAATGGAAGCGTGACTGGGGGCACAGTGGGCGTAAATGCAACATTTTTTTTTCAACGCAACACCATGAAGTGCTTTCACTTGCCTGCGGAAAGCACCATGTTCAGCCAGAGTTTCAAAGTGCGGATTCACTTAAGACTTTGCTTAAAAAAAATAATGAGTACAAATAAGTAAAAGTAATAGGGTGTTGCTCTCTGACAAGATTCCTTGCGTCCCTTGCTGTCAGCTGCAGACGTGCAAAAATCCACAGCTTGTGCGCCTCAGCCCCGACCACCGCACGCGTTTTGATTCTAGGATTGGATTGCCACCGCGCGATTCTGACTCGAATCGTGGCAAAAGCGCAAATTGCACACAAATAAAAGTTGGCTTCTGTGCTCGAATACAAGCAAAGACGGCGCGGGGTGACCAGGGCCGCTGGGCTTTGCTCCTCCCGCGTTCATTTTAAACAAGTAAGCAACATAAGTTATCAACTTGAAAATATAGACATAAAATATTTGAATATATATCAATCGCACGTGTGATATTGCTAATCAATCGAATGAAATAATATCGTCTCATTCCACAGTCCTTGTCAGCAGACGGCCGGCGTCCGTCTCATCGACGAGGCCCTAGCTCAGCAGCAGAGTCAGTCGTTTTTGATTGGGTCATTTGGGTGCGGGTTGCGAGGGGTGGAGGTGGTGGTGGCGCAGCTGCTCGGCGATCAACTCCTCTACCGTGCGTCGGTCCAGCTCATTCACAAACCCAAAATGCACCAGCTCTTGCGCGAGCACGCCGGCCGAGTCACTCGCTAGCACCGGACACGTCAACTGCCGGTTCATCTTGTCGTCCATGCGCAGCAGCAGCGTCATTTGCAAGTCATTCGTCGTCACAGCCTCGTCGCGCCGCTTCACCGAGCACATCATGGTGACCACGCGTCGCGCCTCCACGTCCACCGGCTCCGGACTCAGTGACTTGACCGACTCGGCCGTCACCTCCGGCGACGCCGCGCGCGTCCGAGGCGCCGCAAACACCGTCAGCGGGTAGATCCCGTATTTGACGTCCTCCAGGTACTTGCCCAACCGCTCAGAGTGCGCCAGTTCCTTTAAAATCAAACAGTAAAAAATCTGAATTGTTAAAAAGCAAAACATTTATTTATATTGATTATGCTGAAATGGTTGAAAAGTTAAAAAATTAAAGCTCAATCACTAGCAGATTTGTATCAAAGTTTTAAACCTTGTTTTAAGTAAAAGCTTGATATTATTCAATTATTCATAATTCCAGTTTTCTCAAATCATTATATTTTGTTTGATATCTTAATAGAAATTGCACCTACAAAAAAAATTATGTAAAAGAAAACGCATCACTATTAATTTTGAATTTTTTGGCAGGAATCTGTTCTTCAGAAAAATAATTAGGTATTCTTCGCACATAAAATTTTAAAATCACAAATCCCTCATCAAAAGACAAAAGATCCTATTTGATTGATCAAAATTGATGTGGACCTGGTATAGGATGCGTCGGCCGTTGGCCTCTGCGAAGAGGGCGTTGGGTGGCCGCTCGTGGCCCTCGGGGAGGCCGTCGGTATATTTAGCGACAAGGTGGGCCGCGAGCAGCTTTAGGGGGTGCACATCAAAAAGGAGGGGGTGCAGCAGCAGCTGCCGGGCGCTGGGGCGGCGCGCAGGGTCACGGCACAGGCACTGCCTGATCAGATCTTTTTGCTTCGAGTCCTCGAGGCTGTCAATGGTGCGCTCTATCTGCTCATCCGTCACGGCCACAGCCTGCTCCCCAGCAATCTCCAGCGCCGCCATTTCCAGGGCGCACATGCCAAACGCGTATATGTCGGCCGCCGGCGTAATCGGTGCGCTCGATCCGTACTCTGGCGCAAGGAAGTGCGTGTTCCTTGCCATTCCCTGGCACGTCTTCACATGGTGGTTGATGGCGTCCGGCGCCACCGACCCAATTTTTACCTGAAAATTAATTAAATTTATAGAATTTAATTTTATCTTTCAAGAAAAAAGGGTACTTATTGGCAAATGCAAAATTTCCACAATTTCAAAAGTATCTTTTCTAATCAATATAATGCTATATTTATGCTTTTAAACTAATTAACACAATATTAAATTGTTAAAGTATCATTATTGTGTGTATGTGTGTGCCACACAATAACCATTAATGAGAGGCAAGCCAAAAAATTAATTATTAGTAAGAATTAAATGTTTTATTGTACAAACTCCTAATTTTAAGATTAAATTTAGCTGTAGACAGCTATAACTGTGCGCAATAAAGCTATCTCTATTTTCATGTGCAATTTTTTACAATTAATTGCATAAAAAAAGTTGTTGATAAAAAGGAGTAGAGAAAGTGATGTTTGTTTTTTGAAAAAAATTTTGTGTTTCGTCAGCTACGTGGAGAAATGGCCACTCGCAGCAATGTTTCGACAATTTAAAACATTGTTGCCAGTGGTCATTTGTCCACATAGCCGACGATACATTTTTTAGGACTGACCAGTCCATTGTGCTGAATGAAGATGGTGTCGCAGGTGAGATTGCCATGCACAATGGGCGGCGAGCAGGAGTGGAGGTAGCCAAGCGCCGAGAGGATCTGGGTGCACCACCGCTTCCACGACTGCAGTGGCAGTTTCTTGAGGTTGCGCTTGGTGCGCTTCAGGAAGTGCTTGAGTGAACCACTGCTCATGTACTCGGTGATGAAGATGACGCGCGGTTTGTCATTGTGCGTGTCTGTCCAGTAACGGTGGAACTTGACAATGTTAGGGTGCTCCAGCTGTGTCAGGCTCTCGAAGACCACCTGGATCTTGTCCTCCTGCAGCTTAAAGTTTTTTCGCTCTGAGAACTGCACCTCGTTCCACACCACCTTGAAACATTTCATATTCACTTTGGATTTTCATTTTGTTTTTTTAATTTAGTACTTCGACGCCCTCCTCGGTGTCCATGGCGAGAAAGGCCCAGTCAATGCCGGGCACATCGCGCTGCTCGACTTCCTCACGCCGCTTCAGCCACCGACCACAAGGTGACTCCTCGAGGATCTCACTCTCGTCCTCAGAGTCTTCGCCGCTTTCCCGCATGCTCTGCTTTTGCTGTTGGCTCCGACTCGCTTCTGCCGCGCCGCCTGACGGCATCGCTCGATCAACCCGCTGAAAAATTTATACTCGGGTTAAAATATTTCAAAAATATATACACATGACTATAAAAATATTTATGTATGCAGGAAGAGTGAATCAACTGGCTTCAATCGGTGATTCACTCTCGTGGAGGGACCTTGGGCTTGATGTGAACGCACAGAGACCATCTCACGTTACACACACTAGGGCAGGGTCCGTCCACCATTAATTCATTTATCTCCTTGAGTTTCCATCAATTTTGTTATTACTTGATCCGGGGCCCAGATAAAATGGAATTAAGGCCCGAATGGAAAGAAAACAAAATATATTTTCTAAAAGGGGAAAAGGAGCCCTCCTGACGAGACTGGGTTCGGCCCTGGACTCAAGGCCGCGCTGAGTCGCGGTTCGCCGAGGAGCACTTAGCCGCGGCGGAAACAGAAAACCTGAATGTGAGCCGAAAAAGTTGCGATCCTTAGAGAGAGACAACGCGATTTGTTTGGCCGACGTCTCCGACAGCTTGCCAATTACCTGAGGTGTACAACAACCAGACACTGGGTGTTTTCTCGTAGCAATCAAACATCGAAATCAGCTGGCAATGAAGACCACGGCGAGAAACAGGGTAGTGCAGAGAGGAGCCGTGTCTTTCTACATTCTATATACATCAATTATTCGCAACTTTGCTAACAGCCACAGCAAAATAGAACAATATTTGTATATACAACAATATTTAAAAACAGCATTTACTTATTATGCAGATATAATGATTAAATATATAATTAACTTCTATAATAAAGAAGCGCCTGTGAATAACCCTCAGGGCGGTGGCTATTGTTACGCCCTCTAATTAGAAATAACAAAAGAAGCGCGAAAAGTTAAATCTTCGACTGCAGCATGGCTCATCGCGACCATTTCCACTATATTAGATATCATTTTTGATTTTCATTTCTCCACTTTGTTTAAAATCTCTATTTATTTATAATTGATATTCAAAATTTAAGGTACTTATGCTCATAAGGGTTTTTTAAACGTAAGATTTATTAATCAAACAAATTTTTTTATAATTGATCATGATTGTTTTATAATGTTTATTTCCAATTTAAATAAATACAGGGAAAAATATGACAGCAAAAATTATGAAATAATTAATTATTGACGTTTCAAGAAAAAGTTAAGCCATCATTATAAAAACCCTGCAAGAAATTCCAATAATACTGATGAATGTTCTAGAAAAAGCTTTACTATTTAATTTCTATGATAGTTAAATAGACATGAAAATTACAAAAAATGTCACATACAATTGGCAATTTGCGACAATCAAAGTCAAATCAGCACGTTAAAATGAGCCGATTGAAACTTGGTGCCAGTCACTTGTTAGCGAAATTCAAACAGCAGGCCGTCTCATGGTGCCACAGAAGGTGGTTTTGAAAAAATCTGTAGTTACAGGCGCCAAAACCGACCAGGGTTATAGGCGTAGACTGACTCCAGAAACTAAAGCGAGTCTCCACTGTTCCAAGCATGCTATATCACGTTGGCTCCAAATTATTAGAAAACTCGAGACTCTATCTTATTAAAAAAAGTTTGACCGACGCGAGTGACAAGGCAATATTTTATGGGAGCCAACAGCAAGATCTCAACGTCCCAGCGGTCGATAGTCAACCCATCTCACTCCGGACGGGGAACCACGAGCCAAGTTTCGTGGCGGAGCCCGGCGATCAGGGGACTAAGCCACACGTAGACGGAGACGGTGGTCAGGCCCGCGACGCGGCTCCCTACGGGGCCACCTCGACTGTGACCTGACCTCGCCCCCAGGGCCCAGACCCCGTCAACTGACTGATTGTGGGCAGGCAGAGCCATACCTCAGTGGTCGACAGGCAAAGTCCGGCATGTTCCCCAGGGGTGAGGGCTCCGATGTGGACGAGGCCAATGACGTAGCCTCTCTGAGTCCACACTGCACCTTCAAGTGCAGGCCCCCGGTCCCACGTAGCCCAGGGGCGGCACGTTGGCCCTGGACCCGCTCCCGCGGGGGGTCCACTAGACCATGCCACCCCCAGGATCTGCATCCGTCCGGGCTGTCCGGCGTCTTCTTCTTCTCCAGGCCGTCTGCTTCTTCAGCAAGCCATCTGCTTCTGCGCCAGGCCATCTTCTTCTTCACCAGGCCATCTGCTTCCAGGAGTACGTTTCTCTTCTCTCTTCACCTGCCTAACGGGACCCGAACTCTAACGCGATGATTAATTCATTTCTATACGACGATTAGCTTGCGACGATTGCGTAAATTTCTCTCGATTTTCTTTTCCGGACGAAGACGAATAGATTAACATGATGATTTTAGACTTTCCGCGGATAGTGGAACGATTTAAGATCTTCTCGTAGGTTGGACGAACGCAACTTCTCTGCCTAGCCAGTCATGGAATTACTTCGGTTCTCGATAAGCCCCACTCGGATGCATGTGTGAACGGACTGCCTTCAGCTCGCGGTTATGACGACCGGGACTCTCGGGAGTGGAAAACGCTCTCAGGAAAGACAAGGGCCCAATGACTACGCGCGACTTTGTTCAAAGGCTCGGATCAGCTAACGCTCAACAACCTGCAAATGGAAGCAGCTGAAAAAATAGAAATTAGTACCCCCCACTCTACCCTGCCTACATAATGTTCTAAAAAACCAGAATCGCTAGTTGGGCCGTCGTTCTCTATATTTGGGCCACGAAGTACGAAAAGGATTGCAGGAGCTTGCTTCCGCGTGTCTGGAATAGGGACTTGGTGCTAAGCGCGCCGCGCGTCGATCGAAGTGTTACGGTTCCTATTTTTGAGGGATGCTCCATAGCTGAAGGGTCTTGTCCGGGGATGTTTCTCCCTATCACAAAAGCTCTTTAATCGAAAATACCCCCCCAACCCAAGTTCCATCCTTATCCGGATCAGGGATGTTTTAAACTGGCTCCAGTCGTATCTAGCATCGCAGCTATGGCAGGAGGTCCCTCCAACAAATAATGCTGTCTTCGCAATAAGTAGACGCTACTGTAACCGCAGAAATAATTAGCCAATCCCCTCCCTCCTTGCATATCATCCTTATCCATAAGTTATTCACGCTCATTAAGTTGGAGACCATCTTCTCTACGATTCTTTTATGCAGTCATTACACGGATAGTGGCTGTGCTGAAACCTCACAAATTAGATATATAACTCTTTCCGCTACCCGAAGAGGCATTTCTATCGCAATCTTTCGTGACGTCCGGCAAGGAGAAACAATAAATATAAGGCAATCGCAATTCCGGGTGCATTTCCATCTCGAATCAGTAATACTGGTCAGGACCATCTATCTCGACAGAATACGGTTGTGAGGCTTAAGCTTATTCCTTACGTGCAAGGTTAACAATTGTCGCGCGTGATCTTCAATTTTTCGCAGCAAAAAATGTTTTAGGGGCAGCAAACTCTCTAAAATGCAAAAAGATTAGTCTATTCCCCACCCTTCCCAAATTGGTTTGTTAAATATCCAGATATCACTTAAAATGAGGGAATCATGTAGAATAAACTGTATGCAGCACTTATGCCATCTTTCAAATCGGTCTTCCAAGCATTACCTGTAGAATCTAAAAGCGTAAGGAGCACATATGGAATCGTGCTGTCAATTATCAGGAAAATTCCTAGAGGTGGGTTCAAAACAAGCGGCGCGTGTGCACTGCAATCAGCAGATTAGACTTCAGAAAACCCTACCCTTGCTGGAATTTATGTAGCCGAGGAATAATTCCTGTATATAAAGGCAAGCGGACTTTCTCAGGTTCTGCATTCATCAACTCGAGTGACTTCAAAATCCTATAAAATAGAGTTAGGGGCAACAATTGTGCTACCTGTTCTCAAATTTTCCGGCAACTTGTTATCAATTCTGTTTTCAACAGCATAAAATACGACGGCAATTTTCTTAGCCAAGCGATATCCAATCATGAAGAGTCTGGGATCAAAATTCTGTTAGACGACCCAACCCTTCTTATACCCAATTTTTAACAAGACAGCTTATCATATACGACGCGCTTCAAGCTTTTGATGTCAATTCTCTGGATAACTCCTCAAGGCAGTTGAGGCCAGTTCAAAATAAGACGCCCGTACACACTGCAATCAGCAGATTATAACTCAGGTAACCCTACCCTAGCTGGAATTTATGTAGTCGAGGAATTTTCACTCCAGTATATAGGCTAATGGACTTTGACAGGTTCTTCGTTCTTCAAAACAGGAATTGAATGCGCGCATGTCTTGATCATCCTATAAAAACAATTAAAGGGGCAACCATGTTCTACCTGTTCTGCTTTCGTTTCAGCAACTTGTTATCGGATCTGCTTTCTACAGCATGATATGTTTATGGAAATTTCTTTGTCGAGCGATATCCAATCATCAAATCTGGGATCAAAATTCTGTTAGACACCCCAACCCTTGTATCACCCGTGTAAATAAACAGCTTATCATATACAACGCGCTTAAAACTTGGCATTTTCTGCTTAATTCCAACTGATGTATCATATTAAATCTGGAGCAAAGCTTAGCAATTGGCCTAAAAGAGCAAAAACTTGATTAGTTTACCCCCCATAACCCTATGCAACCGTTTGATGACTGCCCATTTTCTGTATATTCATTCAGTCGTAAGAAGCGCAAGTAGGAAAGCATTTCGCTAAGTTCGGCCTAGTCTCGGGGCTCGTTTAACTGCAAAATTCGAATTGAATTTATCTCTACACCGACTCACTCGAATAGTCGCATTTGCGGCATTATCCCGACGATATTTAAATGAATATGAAGATTCAATCAATCTAAGCCATTAAGGGTTGTCAACTAGGGGCGTACTCAAGACTCCTAAAACAAACATAGATATATCTTAGCATTTACTCGTGTATAACTATGGGAAATCAAACCTGTGAAATATTATATGTAGCTGGAAATTGTTGATTGACGGCGAATCCTGAATCAGAGAAGAGTCAGTTGAAGACTTAAGTTTTTTTCTTACAGGCGCAATGCCAAAGATGAGTTTGTGGATCTGTTAAAAGAATAAAAAAAATTTTGAGTGTACCGTAACAATCAACAGCATGCAAGTAGGTCAATGGAAAACAGAAATATTGAGCGACATTGTCCCACAAAAATTCCATAACAAGAATAAAACATGATATAAATATCTCTCACTGAGATGAGGAAACTAGGAATCAGCTCTAGTGACGTTGAAGTTAGTCATTTTCGCATTAAATTAGCATGATGCAAGCAACTGGAAAAATGCTGCTCCTGGTGACGCAGCAAAAATAACACGTCTTCACACGGCCATTATGAAACCGCACAAAAAAAATTAAAAATTAAATATAAGAATGAATTCCAAATTGTAATATATGATCGCATTATATGTATGTGGGATTATGAAATAATAACAAATTCAATTAAGCTTAGATGTTCAACGGAAGCTTTTACAACGTAAGTCAACTGCGAATAAATCGCCCAAGAACTCGAAAAATTAAGAAATCAGAATTATTTTAGGTACATTAATCTTAAAGCTTATACTTTGATAGCAAATTCGTGTAAAATAAGTACCGCAAAGTCGAGGCGTAGAAATGAGCACAAGGTTACGACATGACCGATTTAGAAATAGACGCCATCAACGTCACCCACGCGACGCTATTTAAAATTTCGGACGAAATTCCTATGCAATCCGCGATTAAAATTTAAATTTAACGTTAAAATTTGAATAGTCTGGCGGCGGACAGTTATATAACTTGAATTATGTCGAATCAGCTTCCATTCAATACAAAAACTAAGTCTATAGAATGTTCCATGAACGGTACTTTCTCCATTATGGTCGCCGCCATTTTGACTTCAGCAACGATCACGTCGAGAATTCGCAAACGCAATTTGCTTAATATCCTTAAAATGTTTGAAAATATGCCGAAAAAATACATTCTCCAGACAAATTAATTAGAGCTTAAAAGATAGTTACCATAACTGAGGATTATCGCCGCAATTTCAGCAGAATTCCTGCTCCCAAAAGTGGAGAGAAGATTTGAATGCGTCTGCAGGCGCTCGTTGCAAGTTCGAAAGTGACGAAAAATTAAACATGGCCGACAAGAGTCAAGTGAAGCAAAGCAAAACGAGTGTCAGCCAATCACGATTTAAAGATTTATATTGGCAACAATGACATCCGATAAAAAAGCGCTCCTTGTTCAACTAATTTTGCGATTCTTTCATTTTAATTGATTCATGAATAATTAAAAATTGAATATGGCTCAAACAATATAAATTATTTTATGTTGGAATCTTTATTTTTTAAATTTTTTTCTGTTAATTCGCGATATCTGTTGTATTGGCATGTTGGTTAACTTGGCTGGCTCACCGGCAAGGCGACCGGTAATTTTGATTTTGCACATTGAAAAATTTCGTGTTTCGTTTGTGCATCGAAGCTGTCGAAACGTCGAAAGCAAGGCCACAAGTAAACAATTGCAGCTGAAATAATCTTTAAACTTTTAACTTACATATTGTCGCAAAGAAGATTTTGTCGGTACATATATAATTTTTACCATAAGGCAGAGGGCAGAAGGCAACTTTGAGAGAGATTAAAAATCCAGAGTCCTTTGTTTTTTATGTACACACAAAACATAGGTTTTGTACAAAAAAGATTACAACAAAGATTTTTCTTCCGCAACATTTTTAATTAACGTGTTTCCGATTTTTAATAGCTCTGAAACATCATGGAGCTGAACGATGGAAACTTGCAGACGCTGTCTGGGTACTTGCTGCAGACATTGTCACCGGATGCCGCCATCCGAAAACCTGCTGAAAAGTTTCTTGAATCGGTTGAAGCTAATAAAAACTACCCTCTGTTGCTGCTGCACCTGGTCAACAACCAAGAAATCGACCTTAGCATCAGGACTTCAGGTGCTATTGCTTTCAAGAACTTTATTAAAAGAAACTGGGAAATAGTAAGGCATCAATTAAATAAATTATTATTCAATTTGTATACAAAATCTACTATTACAGCGTGATGATGAGGCAAACAAAATTCACGAGGAGGACCGGCAGCAGGTGAAAGCTTACATTGTGGACCTTATGCTGGGATCGCCAAGGAACATTCAGAAGCAGCTGAGTGACGCTATTTCCATTATTGGCAAGTTCGACTTCCCTAGCAAGTGGCAGGACCTGCTAACCAAACTTAGCGAGAAGTGTCAAAGCAGTAGGTTTTCAATTTTATTTTTTAGCACTTAGAGTATGTCTATGTCTATAATCATTTTTGTTCAGCTGACTTCAACATCATAAATGGAGTGATGCACACGGCGCATTCGCTCTTTAAGAGATACAGATACGAGTTCAAGTCGCAGGAGCTGTGGATAGAAATTAAATTTGTGCTTGATGGATTTGCCAAAACACTCACAGAACTATTCTCGGTACCTGTTGTAGTATACATGCTTTTGACGATGACTAAATAATTGTTAATTTAGAAAACTGTTGAATTGACTGCAATGCATAAAAGCAGCCCTGACGCTCTCAGGACACTTTACAGCACACTGACCATTATGTGCAAAGTGTTTCACTCTTTGAATTACCAGGTAAGGTTTTTACATTTCTGGTAGAGTTTTAATCGATACATATAAAATATTTCAGGATTTGCCTGAGCACTTTGAGGACAACATTTCCCTTTGGATGGGCCACTTCCACACACTTTTGAATGTACAAGAACCCAGCTTAGAAACTGAAGTGAGAAACCTAATGTTTAAATCAAGCCTGTCTTGGGCTATCAAAAAAGTAGTCACAAATTACCATTAATTCTGTTTTTCCATATTCTTTTTGTTAAAAGGTGTTTAAAAATTATAATTATATTTAAACATTTAGGTTTTAGAGTATTTTAAAGTATCCAAATGTTCTGTTTTAAAGTGGATATTTACTTATTATTCATTTTTCTTGTGATTAATAACAGGGGGATGAAGAGGTGGGCATTATGCATGAGTTAAAGTCGGAGATCTGTGACAACATAGCGCTTTACGCTCGCAAGTACGATGAGGAGTTTTGCTCCTACCTTCCAGGTTTTGTGACAGACATTTGGAGTCTCCTGATAGCAACAGGACCACAGCCAAAGTTTGACTTGGTGGGTAAAATAGCCGTATTTTAATTATGGCTCTGATTTGTGGTCTTGTGCAGCTTGTGAGCAATGCACTGCAGTTCCTAGCGTCCGTTGCTGACCGGCACAACTACAGCAAGCTATTTGAGGATGCAAACGCTCTTAGCAGTATCTGTGAGAAGGTGGTCATTCCAAACATGGAGTTCCGCGTGTCTGACGAGGAGCTGTTTGAGGACAATCCAGAGGAGTACATAAGGCGAGACATTGAGGGCTCAGACGTGGACACTCGACGCAGGGCTGCCTGTGATTTGGTCAGGGCTTTATCACGCTACTTTGAGGCCAAGATGACAGAGATTTTTTCTAACTACGTGATGGCAATGCTGGCCAAGTATGCTGAGCAGCCAAATGCCAACTGGAAGTGCAAGGACTCGGCCATCTACATGGTCACTTCGCTGGCAGCCAAGGGCCAGACCCAGCGTTCTGGCATCACTCAGATAAACGAGCTTGTCGACCTCACTGACTTTTGCGCCAAGCATATTATCCCTGAGCTGGACAATCCTGATGGTATAAATAATATTTATCTTGATACTTAAGAAAATACTAAATAATAATTTTTTTCTATCTTTTTATCTTAATAAACTTTTTCAAAATTTCAGTAAACCAGCTGCCTGTGATCAAGGCAGACTGCATCAAATACTTGATGATCTTCCGCAGTCAGATGCCAGGCCAAGTCATGCTTGGGGTTATTCCTAAGCTTGTCAACCTGCTACGAGCCTCTCCTCCCGTTGTCCACAACTATGCAGCCATCACCATTGAAAAAATTCTCTTGCTCAGAGGCCCAGACAATGTCGCCCTGTAAGTTTTTTCTGCTTAAAATCACCCATCATATATTTTTTCAATGTTAATTTTTTTGATAAATAGGGTGTCTAGTGAACTACTCGCCCCTGTGGCCAGTCAGCTCTTTGCCAATTTGTTTGCTGTGACTAGCATTGCTGGTGCTGAAGAAAACGAATATGCCATGAAAGGTTAGCTCAAAAATGTAACATTTTTATAGCGATTACCATGTAATATAATAATATCTAATTTACTCCCCATGCGAGCAATAGGAATATTTATCTAAAAATTTCCTCTTATAGCTGTTATGCGAAGTTTCTCAACTCTCCAAGACAAAGTGATTCCATTCTTGCCAGAGATATTGACAAAGTTGACAGAGCGGCTGGCTATAACAGCTAAAAACCCAAGCAAGCCCCATTTCAACCATTACTTGTTTGAGACACTTAGCTTGGCCATCAGGATTGTGTGCAAGTCTAACCCCGAGGCTGTACCCAGCTTCGAGCAGGTGCTCTTTCCGATCTTCCAGGATATTCTCCAGCAAGATGTCCAGGGTAATAAACACCACTAAAAACATATTCACAAAAAACTTAAATTAACTGAAAATTCAGAATTTGTACCTTACGTATTTCAACTGCTGTCGCTGCTACTGGAACTGCGACCACCAGGCAACATTCCAGAGCCATACATGGCCCTGTTTCCTTGCCTGCTAATGCCTGTGCTTTACGAGCGTCCTGGCAACATTGGACCTCTTGTTCGTCTTCTGCAAGCTTTTATCAGCAGAGGCGCCACGCAGATCTCCGCCGAGCAGCTTGTGAGAAATTATCTGAGCTTACTTTTTCTTACAAAATCAAAATTTTCATCAAAACACTTTTTAACAATTTAATGTAATCTTATAATCTACTATTTTAAAATTTTTTATTTATCATACATATCATTACAATTTAATCATTGAATTTGTGAACAGCCACCCCTGCTGGGAATATTCCAAAAGCTGATAGCGTCCAAAGCCAATGATCATGAGGGTTTCTACCTAGTGCAAACCATTCTTGAACACTTCCCCATGTAAGTCCAAACTTCTTTTGGTTGAATCCCATTTAAAATTTGATAATTTCTAGTTCTGCAATGGAGCAGTACATAAGGCAGATCTTTTTGATCCTCTTCCAGCGATTGTCCTCCTCAAAGACGACCAAGTTCATCAAGAATTTCATTGTCTTTCTGTGCTTATTCTCTGTGAAGTATGGCGCAAGCAGATTGGTAGAGATAGTTGATGGTCTGCAGGCGCAAATGTTTGGCATGGTGTTGGAGCGGATCATTATTCCTGACCTGCAAAAGGTCTCGGGGCAGATGGAGAAGAAAATTGCTTCTGCTGGTATGGTTGCCATCCTCTGCGATTGCCCTCCGCTTGTTGATGGAAAATACTCTCAGTTTTGGTATTTAATGATCATTTTCATGTTAAAAATATTTAATTTTATTTAATACAGGGCCCCTGTGCTGGAAGCCCTTTTAAAACTATTTGAGCTGCCGGAGGATGAAAGTTTGCTGCCTGATGACCACTTCATTGAAGTAGATGACACTCCAGGATACCAGGCAGCCTACTCAAAGCTAGCCTTTGCGGGTGACAGGGTCCAGAGCAGTATCCCAGGTTAATTGTTGCAAATTATTATTTTTTTGTAATTGAGTAATCAATTTTTGTTCAACATTTGCAGATATCAACAACCCTCAAATTCACCTGGCTAACTGTCTGCAAAAACTGACGCTGGTTTATCCTGGTCGTTTAGGGCCAATCATCTCTCAAGGGCTGCAAGCAGATGCCCAACTTGTACTCAACAGATATCTCCAACTGGCAAACGTGTCACTCAGTTAAACAATGCATTTCTTTACTTTGCACCATAGGATAACAGAAGAAAAGAGAAATGAAAGACTTTTTCACACTGGATTACTTTGTTTAAATTAAAACTTATAAAACGCAGTCATGCCTTGTACGTCGAGTAGCTAAAGGGGCTTATCAAGAGGGGTACGCAATACTTCTGGTTCGGGTCAGCCAGATCGACAGTTAGCTGTAAGTTTAGATAGACAAATAATTAATCTCATTTGATAAACTAGCACTTTGTACCTCCACAACTGGGTAGAAACAATCTTGGTTTCTGATGGTGTAGTACTGGCTAAGGGCGTACTGCAGCTTGTACCGTCCAGCTGTCATCGTGTCTGCACTGAGAAGGTCGTTACATCGACCGTCTGCGTCAGTTACACTAAATAATATTGGAACATTTTAACACCTTAATCTTCGGAGAAGAAATCAAACCTTTCAGTAATGAGAGTCCATCGGCTGTCCTTTAATTTATATAGGGCGACAACCAGTCCGATGGCAGGGCTGCCCTTGATGGTGTCCAGAACATGAGTTGATAAGGGCCCTAGGTTGGTCACTACCTTCAGGCGCTTGGTGTGGGAGATTGGATCCATGATGACCTGAATTTTTCAATATGCATTTTATTTTTTACTGTTTTAGACAAAAAATCTTGTTAGCGTTACGGTGACAGTCTCCATTTCTTCCTCGGCTTCTGCTGTAGGTTGTTGGGCAGCAGTGACTGGCTGAGCGGCAGCCTCAACATTTGGTACTGAGTCGGTTCTTTCAATGACGATAGCTTGGTCTTTCTCAGTCACTAGAATTTCGCCAAGCACTTGCTGCTGCTCCTCATTATTTTCTGGCTGTGTGTCATCAGTTTTGCTTTGTCCTTCAATTTCTGGTGCCGCTGATGCTGTCAGAGCCTGTAAAAAAATTAAATAATTATTAGAAGATTTAATTATAAATCCATTTTGACACCAACTTTTTCCTGTGCCCTTCGGACAGCAGCGTTGATCTTCTCAACATACTCTTTGGCGGCTTTGAGGTGGTTTCTGCACGAGGCATGTTTCAGCAGACCAGTAACGTGTGGCACTAATTTCTTCTGGCAGTATTTGCAGAACGCTTTGGCGTACTCTGGGTTCGTCGACGGTGCTTCGCTCAGCCAACCTGCCCAAAAACAATAATGAACATGTAATAATTTTGTGATCGAAACTTTTAATTGTGCACCTCTGAGCTGAGGGATTTTTTCCCACTTCTTGCGGTAATGCTGCAAATAGTTTTTATCTCGCTTTCCCGCGCTCATTACTTTACTCTTAAAATTTGGGTGTCTGAAAATTTTGTCCTGTTTCTGGTGTTGTCGAAAATTCGCTTGTACCAACACTTAGGCGAAAACACTGCAGTGAACGAAACCAATGGCGTCGCAGGCGGAATGCGCGCGACGGCTTGCGTTGATCGCGTTGCTTTTTGTCCTGTTGGCTGTCTTGACCCCAGGATGGTCGTTTCACTGTTGCCAACGGAGTGTTGAGGGTAAAAATCGAAATGTTTGTTTATATTTTTTTAAACACTAATTTCGTTGATGCTGGTGTTGGGACCGGTAACTAGAGGAAGGTCAGGGTCCCCAACACACTCTAGAAGGTGACCAGCTGCGTGACCCATGACCATATCGATCGTTGAATGAACTGAAATTTTGTTTTTAAATATCAAAAACCAAATCCTTCTTTCTGGTAATTTTTTTTGTAAAAATAATTTGTTTACATACAAATATATAAACTCACAATTTTTGTCACCGCATCGTTTTTTTTTTTTTTGTTTTTTTTTTTAATCTCATTAAATCTTCAGCTGACACTTGTTTACAGGAACATGCGTCTGAAATTCTACGTATCTCGATCTGCAAAATTTGAAGCAGCCTGGAGCAGTTATATTTGCAACTTTTGCTCGCCGAAAAAGTCCACCTGGTGATTTTATTATTAGTTAATTGATGAAATATGGAACCAAACACGGCCAGCCTTTTGGTCTACCGAGAGACCCAGGTAAAGTTTTTTTTAATGAAAAAACCTTCAATTTATAACGTTCCATTAAATAGGATCGCCTTGGTAGTGCAAATGTAAGGCAAAAACTGCATGTGACGAGATCTATGATAGAGCGTCTGGGTCTGGAAAAAGAGTTACTTGGTCACTCTGGCTGTGTCAACTGTCTTGAGTGGAACACCAAGGGAGAGTAATTTTTTCTCCTTTTACAATTGAAACAAAAATTCATTATTAATTTTTTTAAACATTTTTAAGCATTCTGGCGTCTGCTTCAGACGATGTGCAGGTTGTCCTGTGGGATCCGTATACATACAAACCGCTGAAAACAATCCGGACAGGTCACCAGGGGAATATCTTCTCTGTCAAAGTTCGCAAATAACTTAAAAATAATGTCGCCAGTGAGATAAAAATTATTTGCAGTTCCTTCCCCACTCTGGTGACCAAACGATCTTGACTGGAGCAGCCGACAACAAGGTTAGGGTGCACGATTTGACCCTGGATGAGCCACGGATGATATGTTCATGCCATGGCAATAGAGTCAAAAGAGTGGCCACAGCCCCAGATGAACCAAATCTATTCTGGAGCGCCGCCGAAGATGGATGTGTGATGTAAACGTTTTTCTAATTTTTTAATTTTTTATTAAATTCATTAATTGAAAAAAAAAACAGGCAATTTGATCTGCGGCAAGCACACCAGTGTAACACAGAGACAAGTGCCTCAATTCTGGTCAACTTGAACAATCACATGGGTGCTGGCGCAGAAGCCAAATGTCTTGCCATCAACCCCACCAGGCCAGAATTATTAGCGGTTGGAGCCAATGACCCTTTCGCTCGTTTGTACGACCGCAGAATGATCACCACAACCACAGTACCTGTAATTTTTTGCCCCTAATATAACTGAACTTTAACTTATTTTTACAAAATCAAGTTTCAATCTGGAACAAGCAACAGAAATTTGCCCTGGGGAAAACGGAATTTGCTGCAAGCCAGGGCTGGTCTTGGTGACGAAAATGAAAATATCCCAAGAGATTCAGTTAGATACTACTCACCAGGTTTTTTGTTTTTTAAATTTCCTTCTTGGTTTAATGTAAAAATAAAATGAAAACAGGTCACCTGCCTTCATTGGTGCCGAAGAATGGGAGGAGTTTCATGACATCTCCGTCTGCTGTAAGCACCTATCTCACCTTTAGTTCGGATGGAAATGAACTTCTCGTCAACCTTGGTGGCGAGCAGATTTACCTCTTTGACACATACATGCTTAGGAAACCCTATTCTTTCAAACTACCTCAGCAAGGTTTATAAAAAAAAAAATCATTTATAAATTCAGCTAACATAATTTTCTGCAGAAAAATCAAATCGCTGCCTATTTGTGCCTATTTCGGAGAAGGATATTCAAGAGAAGGTTGCTGCCTTAAAAGAAACAGTAAGTTAAGAATTTTCAGTGCAATTCCAAAACTTAATGCAATATTAACATTTTACTTTATGATATATTCATATTTTTTTTTAATTCAGGCCAATGGGTATTTCAAGAGCAGGAGCTATTTCAAGGCAGTGAAGATTTACAATGAGGCAATCGCCCTATGTCCCAACTCGGCAGTTCTGTACGCCAACAGGGCAGCGGCATTCATGAAGCGCAAGTGGGAAGGAGACGACTATGCCGCTTACAGGGACTGTGCCACCGCCCTGGCCCTGCAGCCTGACTATATGAAGGCTCACTTCCGCCTGATCAGCTGTCTCACAGCCTTGCACAAGCCGGACCTTGCCATCAAGAGTCTGGCAGAGTTTGCAGAAAAATTCCCAGATGAAATCCTCTCTTCCGAGTACAAGAAACTTGCTGGTGACATTGAAAGTGACCAGGAGTTGCTCAGCAAAATAGAAACAGGTTTTTAATGCAATTTTAGTTAGTCAAAAAATTGTGTGCATTTTTAAAATTTCAAGAAAACAAAGGTGATGCAGAAGAGGAAACCGAGAGTGTGCAGCAGGTGCGATCGAAGCAGTCTGACGTAGAAAAGATCTGGCGAGACGAGTCGAGCGACTACAAGTTGTTTTTCTGCGGCCACTGTAACACCACTACAGACATCAAGGAAGCTAACTTTTTTGGGAGGTGCTCAAATACACCCAACAATTGTTATTGTTAAAAATTAAACTAACCAAATTTTGTAGCAATGCTCAATATATTGTGGCTGGCTCGGACGACGGCTCGTTTTTCATCTGGGACAGACACACAACCAACATCATTAAAGTTCTGAAAGGAGACGATTCGATTGTTAACTGTCTCCAGCCGCATCCTTCGACCTGCCTATTGGCCACCAGCGGCATTGAATCGACTGTCAGACTTTGGAGTCCACGACCAGAAGTATATTTGAAAAACAAAATTTATATGCTTGAGGTTCAAGTCTTTATTTATAGAATGCCGAACCAGAGTCCCGAGAGGTGAAGGAGATGGAGGTGGCAGCAGTGTTGAACCAGAAGAGGATGAGGACTGATCCATTTGAGATGATGTTGTCCAACATGTCCGCCAGAGCCAATGAAGAAGGCGTTGAGGGACTCGCTGGAGTCTCTTGCAGACAGAGCTAACTGATGAATCAGTGATACATGGATAGTGTATCTAAATATTACATTATGAATGTTTTTCACTTTATTGCTGTTGTTTTTCATTAATATGTCATGTAAAGCAAAATGATAGTTAAAAAAACTCATTTTTTTCTTTATATTTTTACTTACCTACAAAAAAAGGCATGCTTTAGATTTCTCAACTGTACATCTAGAAGAGACTTCGCTTCCTTTACCTCTAGTCTTATATCTAAAATTAAAAGATTCCTTTATTTTACCCGAAATGCGTTCGCGTGTTATAATTGCTTTGAACCAAAATTCAAGTTACACTAACAAATAATAATCTGTTATAAAACGTTTTTGTGTACAATAATAATAATTCTTTTATTAGACGCCGCGCTTTTGCGTACTGTACAACATATTCACTGCACTGTAAGTAACTTTCGCGCCATTATTTAAATAAATTGCTCCTCCCTCCCCATACCAAACAAACTGACAGCGATTGTTTCGCGGCTTCGCGCCTGTTTTGTGTTTTGGTGTTTCGCTTCCTTTTGATCGAGAAGCTTTCTGAGGTTGTGTCCTGTCCAGAAGTGTCCGAAAGAGTAAACACCATCATACCATGTCGACCGAGGTAAAAAGTTTAATTTTATCAACTTTTACTGCGCTTAGTCCCTAAAGTGTTATGTATGAGAGATACATTTGATACATATGCAAAATGCACATTGTTTTTGGGCCTCAAACTGACAGATGCGTTATTATATTTTATGCATATTTAATTATGTATGAATGTGAAGCGAATTTTTGTTTGTTGTGAAATATAAAAATTATTTTTCTTCATCCTTTATATTTATTTTTCCAGAATACTGTACTAGAGGCTGTAAAAGCCAAAGATGAGACTGAGAAACAGCAAAACGGTGACGATAGTGTAGAAACAAAGACTGCAGAAGGCAATGCTACCAAGAAACCAGCAGCAAAAAAGGAAAAGGGTGAAGAGAAAAAGGCAAAGTCTGAAGAGAAGAAAAAGGCGAAGAAGAGAGCTGCTGAGTCAGAGGAAAATGACTCGGCTGATGACGAGAAGCAAAGTAATTTAATTAAATTGTATCAGAAAAGATATTTTCTTCTGCTAATTAATGCTATAAAAGAGCTTGTGTATATACCGATAATTCCCATAACTAGCATGTTGTGAATTGTGAATATCCTCCGTTGTTTTTATAATAGTAATTTTGCTAATCTATTCACGTGTGTGTTTTTGTTTTAGAGCCTCTGTTTGAGCAGCCTGTTGAGGTGTCTGGGGCCCGTGAGCGCAAAAAGGTGCAGCGTTTTTCTGAAGTGCTGAAGCCAGTAAAGGAGGACAAAGCAGTGAGCGTGCCAAAAGGATCGGGCACTGCACTGGGGGATATTTTCTCTGTCAATACAATGATCACCAAAAGCGGGGCTGATGACCTAAAAATTCTGCACAGGGTTTGCTTCAATAGAGTGGGAAAGGCAACCACCGTCAAAAAGCTTCTGCGCCAATTCAATGGCTTTGATTTTGTTGAAAGCTCTGAGGAGTACACAAAAAAGCTTGAACACATCAAAAAGTATTATATTGATTTATATTTATCAATGCAAAATGTTATTTTGGAAATTTCAGATTGGAGAAGAAGTCATTGAGTTTGATTGCAAAAGTCATTGGCACTAAGCAGTCTGTGCCCAAAGAAGAGTTGTCAAAGAACATCCTGGACTTCCTCCTGAAGCCCAAGGAACTGAAGGAATCTGCAGCCAAGAAGGCTAAGACAAGCAAGGGCAAGAAGCGCGGAAGAAAGCCTACCAAGAAAGCAGCTGATGATTCCGACGAAGAGGAGGACGAGGCACCCGTTCCGAAAAAGAGCAAACTGGTAGTGAAGGTGGACAAGAAGAAGAAGGTTGAATCAGGCAGTGAGCCAGAGGAGTCGGAAGAAGAGGAGAAACCAAAAAAGAGGGGAAGAAAACCAGCTAATAAGAAGACAAAGCCGGCGGCTAAGAAGCCTAAGAAAAAGTTGTCCAGCGAGTCTGAATTGTCAGAGTCTGAAGACGAACAGCCCAAAAAGAAGAAGGTGACAAAGAAAGGATCTGCCTATTCTGCCTCTGAGTCAGAGGAGCAGGCAAAGGAGGACTCTGAGGGCGAGGCAAGTTCTGAGGAGGAAAAGAAGCCCAAGAAAAAGGCTAAGAAACCAGTGAAGAAGGCTGCATCCTCAGAAGAAAATGAAGAATCTGAAAATGAGAAGCCAAAAAAGAAGGTCGCGAAGCCAACCAAAAACGCTATGTCCTCAGAAGATGAGCCTTCGGAGTCGGAAGATGAAAAGCCGAAGAAAAAGACCAAGCCAGGGAAGGAGGCAAAGTCCTCAGAAGACGAGGCTTCAGAATATGAAGATTCTGAAGACGAGAAGCCCAAGGCTAAGAAGAAACTGGAAAAGAAAAAGCCGGATAAGAAGGAGAGAGCAAAAAAGGTACTGCTATTGCAAATTTTCGTGGCTCAATTTCATTTCTCTGAATGATTATTTATTAATAATCACATATAACAACTAGGTTGAATCCTCTGGCGATGAAGACGAAGATGTTTTGGAGAAGAAAGAGGAGAAAAAGCCTGCTGGCTACCCCACAGTAAGAAAAATATTTTGTTTATTTTTAAACTTTAAATTTTTTTGAAATTATTGCTTTAAACTAATGGTTAGTCTTTAATTTTATAAAAAATTAATAAAATTCATTTGTACTCTAATCTAAATTTACTAATTCAGGATGAAGAACTGGATAAACTGACCACAAAACTAACGAGAGCAGCTAACTTTGAGGTGGCAACCATGAAGACATTGTGCCAGGACGTTTTTGACTCATTCCCTAATATTGACTTGTCAGAGAAGAAGGGCATGATCAAGACTGTCATCAAGAGGGTAATTTTTGCATAACATTTATAATGTTTGTCAAAAGCTAAAACAATCAATTATATCAGGTGCTCAGCGAAAACACAGATTAAGAAATTTGACGAAACTACCCCCAAGGAACATGGAACAAAATAGGCGTATTTTAATTTTAACTCTTAAGATGCAAAAGTTATGTTGCATTATGGGAAATATGTATGTTTTCTTAATACTAGTAATTTTAAAGACTATGTGGCTCATTTGTCCTGCTGCAACTTGAACCGGATGCTTTAATTAAAACTTTCTGACAAATAAAAATATGAGATGGTTTTAATGTAGATGCACAGTTAAAAAGTGATTTTGGCGCTTTCTGAACCTCAAACAAAAATAATTACATTTCCAAGACATTATGTCGAATCAGTCTCTAATTTAGCTCTTCTTGAAAGCGGCTCAGTTTCTCTTGCAGCTCTTTGCCAAAAGACTGCCTGTATTTTGGACTAAGTTTATCCAGCAGAGCGTGCAGTGTTTCAAAGAACTCGTTGCTGTCCGATTCTTGAGTACAGTCGTCAAACAAATTTCCGACCACCCTGATGCCACTGGTGGACAGGTGGACACAGAATAACAGGCCTTCGATAGTCTTGATATTAATGTGAATGCCGGCGTCCGTGCTGGTCAGCTTTTCAGACACTTGTGCTTCATCCACATGGTTTCTAATGTCCCGGATGTGGTCTTCCGCCTCTCGCACCCACTGCTCCGCGTCTAGAACCACTTCTGTCTCGTTGCCAGACATAATCTTCGCGGACCTTGTTATAATTGGATAGCAGATTTCTTAAAAGAAAAAAAACATAATTAAATTGGATATACCGGGGACATATTGGGAGATTTTCAGAAAACTTTTATCATAATATCTTATTAAAATTAAAAATAAACATGGTCATAAATTTTATATAATTTAATAAACATACGTAGATTTAAGTACCGCTGGCCCTGTAGTTGAGCCCTGTACCTTGGGAAGCCCTTCTGCTGAGATGCAGAGCCGATCGATCAAACTGATAATAAATAATAATGCTTTTATTAAACGCGTTTGCGTGTTGTGTTTGTTGTCGCTGTTATCTTCTGGTTGTTCGTTTTCGTTTTGTACACATAAATGTTTTGAAATTTGAAACCCGCGGGCAATTTCAGAGGTGTGTGAACTTGTGAAAATGATAACAAAAAAGGGGGAGGAGATCGAGGAACGAGGAAGCAGGAAGAGGAGGATAAACAAACCAGAGCAAGAGCTAGGACCGGTGTTTTTTTATCTTACAGCTTCATCGTTTCTACGCGCAAGAGCTTCATTGTCACTTAATTTACATTTCGGGTATAGAACTTACGTCATTTTTTCTTGAATTGACAATTTGAGGGCAGAATTACATCAAAAATGCTGAAAAGCCGATTGTTATGCTTTCACTGCCACCGGCCGATAATCGATGTGATTTTATTTGCATCCGGCGGCTTTTTTTGCACTTTATGTATTTGAATTTTGTACCTCAATCGGATTTATGTACATATTTAACAAGGTTTTCTATACAAAGTCTGTAGTACTTAAAAGTGTTATGAATTTTTCAGATTTAAAAATTTCGGCTGCATTCAATTTTACAATGCTGGATTTTCGGTTAGAAGAAAACCAATTGCTCTGGGCGATTCTCACCTTCCAAATTCTTGAGTACCTCTGGGAGTTTTACCTGGCCCGTAGACAAGTACGTGTACATATCATAATTGCAATTAAATAAAAGAATTTGTTAAATTATTTAAAATTTTAGCACTCCGTTTATTGCACAAAAGTGAGCGTGCCAACCGAGTTGAAGGGAATTCTGAACGAGGAAACGTACTCAAAGGCGCGAACCTATGCTTTAGACAAGAGCAACTTTTCCATGATCAAGGGCCTCTTTTCCATTGTTGTTGGAACGGTATTAAAATAATTGTAAGGCTTTATAAATTTTATAATTCACTTTTGCACTTTTCATAGGCATTTGTGCTGTTGAACGGGTTTAGTATTTTCTGGACTCAAGGGAAGATGGTGCTGGTCAAGGTCGGTCTGAACCCTGAGTCGGAGGTGCAGGTGAGCATGGCGTTCATGCTTGTGCTGAATGCGCTGACTACAGTAATCGGCATGCCATTTGCCGTGTACAGCACTTTTGTGCTGGAGGAGCGCCACGGCTTCAACAAGCAGACCCCAGGATTCTTCATCAAAGACCAAATTAAGTCCTTTTTAGTCGGTCAGGTCATCACCCTGCCATTAGTGGCTAGTATTGTTGCCATCGTACACTGGGGTGGACAGTTCTTCTTTGTTTACCTGTGGGCCTTCACCACCTTGGTCATCCTCTTCCTTATGACGATATACCCAGACTTCATCGCGCCCCTTTTTGACAAGTACACTCCTCTGCCTGAAGGAGAGCTCAGGACAAGCATTGAGGCTCTTGCCAAGAGCATTAACTTCCCTCTCTACAAACTATACGTCGTTGAAGGTGATAATAACTAAACTTCAGATTTTTGTGTTTTAGTTGCTTGGAGTGAGTGAAAAAAAAATATTTATGATATCTCTGAAAAATTTTAATCAATGATATCAAATGTGATTGACAGGCTCAAAGCGATCAGTGCACAGCAATGCATATTTTTACGGCTTCTTCAAAAACAAACGCATTGTACTCTTTGACACCCTGCTGAAGGATTACACGTCTGAGGATAAGAAGGATGAGATTCCTGCGGAAGGCACCGAGAAGAAAGGCTGCAGCAACGAGGAGGTTCTGGCAGTCTTGGCCCATGAGCTCGGCCACTGGCAACTCAATCACGTTGCCAAGAACATCATCATTATGCAGGTTGGCCAGTTATTTAAAAAAAAAATAGTGCTGTAAAATATATTTGTTACAATGGATGGAAAGTTAAATTTTATCATAATTGTTAAGCATTAAAATTTATTTTTTAACTTTTTCGTTTATATTAATTATTGCAGGTGAACCTTTTTTTGATGTTTGCTGCTTTTGGCTTCTTCAGCCAGTACGAGCCAATGTACAGGGCGTTTGGATTTGAATCGGAGAAACCGGTGCTGGTCGGAATGGTCATAGTCCTGCAGTACATCTTCTCGCCTTACAACGCCGTGCGTGTTCCTCATTTAGCCCTTGCCATTAAAATATTCTTGACATAATAAATTCACAGGTGCTGGGGTGCATCCTGACGTGTCTGAGTCGGCGGTTTGAGTTCCAGGCGGACGCTTTTGCCGTGCAGATGAAGAAGGGCCGCGAGCTGTGTGACGCCCTCATCAAACTAAACAAGGACAACCTGTCGTTCCCACAGAATGACTGGCTCTACTCGGCCTGGCACCACTCGCATCCACCCCTGCTGGAGCGGATGGCTGCCATTAAGAGGTCCACCAAATCAAAGAGCACTTAATGCAAGACTTTGTTATTTTCTAATTCACTGAAGTCAGTCACGAGAGCTTTTATTTTAATTTGATTCATTTGCATAAATAAAAATATCTGGATATCAAAAATGACAACAAATGAATGTTTAATTTTTATTAGCATCAAATCAATATCAAAGAAAAGGAGAAAAAAAACTATAGATTTCGAATAAGGTAAATTTTTGTTCACATTTAAAAGTTCAATTATATTTTAGTGGATGCTGATAAGTTCAGTTAAATATTTTTTTTTCTCATTTCAGTATGTTCAGTTTATTAAAATTGGGACAAACCCAAGCAGGTTACACACTTGCTGCCGAGAGCGTAAATTGATGATTTGGGAAGGTTTGGCGCCGACTCTCCTGCCAGCCCTTTTTTTTAATTAAGAACATTATTTTATTTTCAAATTAGGAGACGGGCAGAGAGGCGGCTCCGCCTTGTGAGATGTGGCGTTTGCAGACTCACACCAAACACATTGGGCACATTTAACCTTTTGAGTGCAATTTCAATGGTTACTGGAAAGGCACACATTTGTCGCGAGAGACATGATTTCCCTGCAAGTCAGGGAGAGAGACTTTTACTGACAGAGCTTGGGTGACAAACACACACACACACTCGAATTAAGCACCCATTGATCAGCTGCACTTGGAAAAAAATAACATGGTAATTAAACTAGACATAGTGATTGGTGGGACAATTTTAAATCAATCAACTCATTTTCTTAAAATTAATCGCGCAATGGGACTTAAAAAATCAGTCGTTAGTTTCAAAAAGTTGAATAATATTCTGCTTACATTAGATGAGACTACAATATAAAGAGATTGACATACATAAATCTTCTCCATTTCTGCGTCATATAATATAACATACATTTCAAGTACAATTTTTATTAATTCTTAATAATTTCCGTGGAAGTTTTTAGTTATATTGAGTTATATGTATAAATATTAGCTATAAAATATCACGTTGAACAGGGACGCGGAGGGCACAGAAAAGGGAACCTGGGATGATAGTTGTGCCGCGCTGCTGCATTACGACGGTCGGTCTTAGCGTCACACGGTGGTCTCGTGATCCGTCTCCTCAATTCGCCCTAGGCGCCACGCGTTAGGGTCGGCGGCTGCAACAATTTTTGCATATGTCTTTTAAAAAGAATCTTATTTAATAATTCAACAAGTGCTCTTTACTTAAAAATAATGGCTGAAAGTCTTTAAGTCTAGGGGCAAGCAAAATGGTCTTCAAATAATTTGTGTCATATTTTTTAGACAAAAAATTGATGTTTTTTTGTTTTAAAAGAAGAAAAAAATTAATAAAACTTTTGTTACTTTAAAGAACAGTCATCAAATAAATTGGCGAATTTTATGAGTAAGTAATACATAGAAAAATAGAAAACGATAAAAATCAACAGGGTCTGCTGGGAACAGTGTCTAAAATTTATGGGCTTGGCGGGCGGCCAAGCAGCTCGATCACGCAACAGCAACCATCGAATCTGAATAAGTTCAATTCCTACAACACCGATTGGTAAAACACGATGCAGATGTATAAAAGTATCGACATGCAATTTCAATCCGTCAGTCAACCATGCAGGGGGTCACAGGAAGCTCTTCTTTGAGAGGCACTTACCATAGTAATAATACTTTATCCTAGGCAACCCTGCATTGCGTTCAGACAAACAGGAAGTAGAAATGAAACAAACGCACCACAGCGTCTCAGCGTAAAAAAGGAGCAAAATTAGACGGTCGAGTTTCAAACTCGTCCGACTTTTTTGATCGAAAATGTGAAAAAGATGAAATGGGCTTGGTTGAGAGAAAGGGTACCTTGGATCTGGCGATTAATGAGCGCCGAGATGCCGGGGCCGTCGCCAGGCTTCTTGATCAGTAGCATTGGCTTGTCTTCAGCGTCGTCAAAGTTGTTGGGCAGGTTGCCGTTGTTGCTGGCCGCCATTGTCTCACTAACCTGGGAACAGCAATACGCCCGAGTGCCCCCGTAATGCATCAAAAAGACCAAACGAGTCAAAGCAAACGTGTGTCTCAGTCAAGTGTGAAAGGTCAAAAACATGCTCAAGTGAGAGAAATAGAGAAGAGACGGAGTTTATTTCCTCAAAGTGCGGCAAAAGCTTTTCTTAATTTATTCAATTAGAAATTCTGAAAGAAAAGAGTGGGTAGGTAGGAAGGCGGAGAAATAAAAAAAAATGTTCAACGCACCGATACCTGCATCAGTTTCTTGACCACGTCACGGCCTAGAATGTGATCGAACACAGCCTGCAGGAACTGATCGGTGATGATGCTCAGCTTCAGCTTGTCCCGATGCCACAGCAGTACACGCGCCTCTTCCATTGCTGTGATTGACACCTTTAAATTGAAAAAAAAAGCATCCATAAAAATTACATTAATTTCCAACTCTAATTAATATAAAACCAGTTCAAAATTTTATATTTTTTACAAAAAAAAAAGGAAAAAAACAGGAGAGAGCAATAATAGTTTTGATTTAACCATTATTTGAAGGTGTTACAAAATTTAAAGTAATTTGATCATAAAAAAGATCTGTTAAATCTATTAAATTCATACAAAAACAGTCTTTAACATATTAAAGTTGATAGATTAAAAGATTTTGAATTACAAATTGAAGAAATTATTCCTGTATGATATATAAAAGTTAAATTGAGATTAACATTACTCTCCATAAAAGGCTTCTTTATTGGTCTACTTGAAAAATATAGCACTACAAGTGTTCAGAGGTGCTATAAAAAAAAGAGGACAAAATGATAGCAAAAAATCTTGCTCCTCACCTGGAAGTACTCATCTGTTGAGACACCGAACCACTCTGGAGAATCAAGAAACTGGTGAGGGAACACTATGTGGAGAGCCCGTCCATTTTGAGACACGACCAGTCTACGCAATGAATTGGAAATTTAAGAAAATAAATTACATGATTTAAATGGAAAAATACTCACTTTCCAGAAAGGACGAGCGAGAGGCTGTCAACCTTAGTTGACTTCTCGTGCGCATAGACCTCCTGGTACCGGAGCGCGCGGATCTCTTTCATGCAGTTGAGCACCTTCTTGAACTGGTGCCTGGACACCTTCAGCGGATAAAACAGTGCAATGTAAACCTAGAAAGGTAATTTTTAGTGATTAAATAAAAACAAATTATTAATTTAAATTGCGCACTTCTTCAATTTCTTTGGAGAACTTGACAGGGCGCAGGTAGTAGAGAAGAACACAGACATGGATGAAGTTGATGGCAACAAAGTTGGCGTTCCACAGGAAAGCGTCGAGCGAGCAGAGCACCGTCCAGCCCCACAGGGCGAAGAGAGCGCAACCAACAAGCAGGGTGCTGCGCAGGTAGAGGATGCCGTAGGTGCCGTTCGGCGCCAGGTACGAGAGCAGGAAGAAGGTGTTGGCCAGCTGGAAGTACATGTGGTTTGCCGGGCCCCACTTGGCGCAGTACATGTTGTCCAGCATGGACGCGATCACCGAGATGTTGTACCTGGACGGCCATGACATCCAGCCCGACTCCTCCTCCTCGGGCTCCTCGACGGTGCCCTCGTCCTCCGCCGCCGCCTCATCGTCATCTTCCTCTGCCTCCTCGGAAGGGCCGTACTCATCCTCGATGGTCGTGTTCTCGGCCTGCACCAATGACCAGCAGAGGCCCAACGCCAGCAGCAGCAGCAGCAGCGCCCAGCACCGTCCCATCTTATTCCGCAGCCGGCGACATCGCGTCCTGCGAGAGTCAATCGCTTGCGAGTGAATAAAATAAGCAAACTCTCATTTTCCCGGCCACTCGCAATACGAGGAAGCCTATTGCTCACGAAAGATGGCTGAGCAGGGGTCTGTTGCGCACGCCAAAAACATCCCTTGGCGAGTAGTCGGCATAATCAATAACACGGCAGGCAGTTGTAAACCCTTTTAGCCAGAACCGCCGGCGCGAGCTCTTCTCCAGCTGCCTCCTCGATGCAGATCTTGGCCAAATCAAAAATTGGCCCCTCGTTCAGTGGGCGGTTGCCGGCTAAAATTTTACGAGGAAAGAGTTGCGAGAAATAAAAATACAGAGACCATTAATTTATAAATGCCTGGCCGCCCACAACAATCTCGTCAAGTCAAGGCTGAGACTGGAGAAATTGGTCACGCCCCTTTCTCACCATTCCACCTTTTCAAGGAACGACTTATTATATTTTATATATTTTCTACTACATAATTATGTATTCAAATCATGGGCCTAATAATTCTAGTAAATCAATGATTCAGATAAAATGAAAAGTTTTAAAAAAATCTGGGATAGTAACAATTTACATGGATTTAAATATTTGATATGAAAATAAAATGTGGATTAAAAAGTAGGATAATTTTAAATATTTCCAAAACTTTTTGAAATTTTCAAAATTATTTAATTTTTTTATTTTTTATTTAGTAACACAGATTTTATTTTTAGAATGTTTTTAAAGGGAAATAAAAAGGCGTGAAATTAAGTTAATGAAGTTTTAAATTTTTTTGTATAAAATTATTTCTTTTCTTATATGCATATAAATAAATACACAATATCTTATTATGAACCCCGTGAACATATCTGCGCTCATGAGCGCCTAGATGAGCGCGCAGAGCACAAGAGGATCAATATCAATTATATCCCAATTATCAATCGCAACATTTCCTTAGAGAAAAAGTAATTTTTCAGCACAAAGTGTAAGCGCAAAATTTCCAAAATCTTTAGTGCATCAAATAATGTAGAAATAAATTTGATAAATTTCACAATAATTTCACGATTTCAACTAATAAGTAATTTATTTTAACTCTTCCGTGTACAATTGTACATGCGCTGCTGTATACTGTATACCAAAATATTTCCCATTATTTCCATTTCCAAACTCCTTTTTCGCGCGCTTTTATTTCAAAATTGGCGAATCCGCACAAATTTCTGCTCTCTGATTGGCTGCTTTTGATTGACGACGAAGACGAAAACAACAGGAATGGCGGAGGTCGACCACCGGCTGCAGCTCTTGTGAGCATTTTGCCAACAAGTCAGCCCTCAATTAAGCAGCCTGCACAAATGTCGTGGATCAGGGAGAGCGCCCTGAGCTGGGTGCAGATGTTTTGCGTGAAGGTGGTGCGCACGGGCGTCATTCCGCGGCATGTTGCCTTCATTATGGACGGCAACCGGAGATTCGCCGCCAAGAACAACGTTCAAAAGGTCGAAGGACACTCCAAAGGGTGAGCCGAATTGATTATTCAGATTATTACTCGACTAACAAAATATTTCGATTTGACAGGTTTGATAAATTGGCCGAAACGCTTAGGTGGTGCCTTGACCTAGGCATCTCTGAGGTCACCGTTTACGCCTTCAGCATTGAGAATTTCAAGAGAAGCAAAGAGGAAGTCGATGGACTCATGGACCTCGCCAGACAGAAATTCACCAGACTCTTGGAGGAAAGGTAAAGGAATAATGTTGTTATTTCTACAGGAATTTAAAAAATTGTATTTAATTATTACCTGTGCTTTCAAGAAAACATAATTAAAGATCACTTAATAATATCTTAAACTTACATCATACATTAAGTCTGTATAAAAATGAATTTTTCTTTATATTTATTTTTAAAATAAATTACAGAGACAAGTTGAAGGAGCATGGGGTGAGGATCACAGTCATTGGTAACCTTTCACTGCTGCCAGCTGACCTTCGTAAGCTGATTTACGAAGCCATGTCCATAACTAAGACACATGATAAAGCATTCCTGAACGTCGCCTTTGCCTACACTGGTTTGCTTTTTCTCTTAATGTTTTACACAAGGATAATTACAAATATTTGCCAAGCAGCCAAAGAGGAAATGGCAAATGCCATTGGCGAGATTGCTGGAGGCGTCCGAAACGGGACCATCCTGCTGTCTGACGTGGACACGCAGCTGTTTGACTCGTGTCTCTACACACACCATGCGCCGCAGGTCGACCTTCTGATCAGAACCTCTGGCGAGGTCAGGTTCAGCGACTTCATGTTATGGCAGGTACAATTTCAACATGACGCCTAAATTCAATTTATAATTACAAAATTTATGAATTTAATATTATTATTTTTAACAAATTTAAACAAAAATTTTAAATATCAATTAACCAAAGACTTTATTTTTAATTTTAATATAATAATATTTAATACCTTGTTTTTTTTCTTTTGTTTCAGAGCTCGTACAGCTACGTCTACTTCACGGATATCCTTTGGCCGGAGTTTAACATTTGGAACCTTCTTCAGGCAATCGTCTGCTTCCAAATGAAGGCTGATCAACTTAAGGTAGAGCAGCTAATTTAATATTATTTTGACCGAAGATCTTTTTTCAATCAATAGTCTTGACAATTTTCCATTAACTTTTATCTGCGGCAATTTATTAATTTTGGTCATAATTTTTAGTAGCGTTTTTTGCATAGGTCTAATTCAAAATACTAAAAAAGATATTGCATTTTAATTAAACATAAATTTTTATAAGCGCCCTACGAAAATTCAGTAATTTGTATCAAGATCTGAGACAAAAACTTGGTTGTTTTAGAAATTGCACGCAAGAGAGGCAAAGTTTTCAAGCGAGCAACAAGAAGAAAGGGTCAACAGCTTTCTGCGCATTTTAGAAACAAAGCGAGCCGCCAGCTTTTTGTGAACAACTACATCATCAATTAATTATCAAGACTGATCGTTAACATTTTTGTTTGCCGTTGATTTTATTATTATCCAAGTTCTTTCGGCTGGGTTAATTTGAGATGCATCAAAATAATTGTGATTGGGGTTTTGAAAAATAGAAGAAATTGAAGGATGAAAAGGACAAAAATTTTATTTCTAGCTTTTATTCACGTAAATCTAGTTTTGCAATGTGTAAGCTTGGAGCAAATCGCTGGTGGAAATTTTATTTCCCTCCGGTCCCAGGGTTTCCTGGTATTCGGGCACCTTGTTGGCGTCGCCGCACACGCCGCAGTAGTATCGGTCGTAGGTTGACGGCACCAGCACGGCCAGGTTCACGTCAGTGTTGCGCACATAAAAGTTCCCCTGCTTTATGTCCACCTTCCCCTTCTCCCGCTGCGTAATCCTTTATTTTCAACAATTTATTGGCTAATCAGTGTATCAGAAATATTAATTAAAACCCACGTGATTCCCTGCGTCTTGAGATCCTTGACCTGCTCGCCACCAGCGATGGTGACCTTTGACTTGTGGCCGTTGCTTGGCTCGATGTTGATCTCGTGGCCATCAAGGAAAACTTTAACCGTCTAACAAAAAATATTTTGCGGCTATTAATAGTACATTTTTTTAAATAGAATTGATACCAAAGCATCTGCACCGTCGGTTTTGCGTGCGAAAACAGCAAATGGCGAGTTTTCCGTGCAAACCGCCGAAATCAAGGTGAACTGGTCTTGCGCCTCAAAGGGCAGACTCGCGTTGTCAAAGGTCATGACTTTTCCTCCCGCCAGCAAGCAAGGGTCTGTTTTATTTTATATTTTTTTTAAATTAGAAAAAGAAAAAAGATTACACATAATTACGAATCATATCGAGAGCCATTTCAAGATTCTGCACTGAGGGGTAGTGAGCGAGCGTCTCGGAAACGATGTAGGGCGCCGAACTGAAGGGCAGAGGGAGTTTGAACTCCTTGTCGGTGCCGCCGTCCGACTTCATCCTTACCAGCAGCGAGTCACCCTTGAGTGCGTGTGCGGTCTCCACGTTCATGGAGTAACTTTTGCCTTCCCTTTTGATCATGCTTGCGCCGATCTGATTGTTGGCCACCGTGTCAATCCCAGGAATCTGTTACGAATTTGAGTCAAAAGAGAGCTTTTAGAAAGAAAGGTTCGTAGGCTCACGTTGCTGACTGAGAGGGTCATCGAGATGTTTCTGGGTCTGGGGCCCCACGAGCTCATGGCGCAGGCAAACGTGGCGGGGAAGAGCAGGTTGCCCTTCGAGTCGAGGAAGTTCTGCCTCTTGCGTTGGTCGAGACAAGTTGAGAAAGGCCACACGTTCTCATCCAGGCCCTGGTGGTCGGTCGAGGCCACCAACTCGATGCGAGCCCCCTTGCCCACGGGACACTTGGCCTCCTCGCTCACTCCGAACTCCAAGGCCAAGTGGTGCTGGGTCTTGCGAGACTCGTACGGCTGGCCTAGCTGATCCCAGTAGGTCTCGGGGCCGCGCTCAGGGTACGTGTTGTCCACCTTCAGACATGTCTGTTCGAAAATTTAATAGGTCAGAAAAAGGGTTTTATTAGGAAATGAGTAATAATACCACATAGTTTGGTCCGCTTTCTCTCTTGAAGGCAATTTTAACCTTCAAGTTTAACTTTGTCTCGTTTTCAGTGCCGTCGGAGATGATGTTGGTGTCCCAGGTCTTAGTCACGTGGCCGTCGGTGCCGAACACGTTTGTCAGGAAGCGGTAGAGTCGCTTTTCAGCGTTTTCCTTGCCGTTCTCCATTTTGAAAACCGTCTCGACCCCAGACGTGTCACCCACGGGGGTCACGCTGAAGTGACGCCCGCAGCTGTTCAGCAAAGGGTCAATTGCCAGAAGCATGTCTGTCTGAATCGCCAAGACGCTCAGAAAACTCTCCAGATCAAAGTCTTCATACCTATAAATAATATATGTATTTATTAGTTTATTTATAAATAATTGATTTTAATTTATTTGGTTATTTTATAAAAATTATATTTTAAATATGTTATTTAAAAATTTTAATTAGTTTTTCTAAATTGATAATTATAAAGACATAATTTTTGTATTTATTTAGAGTTCAAAAAGGGTAAAATTTAATTATTACTAATTTTTTAATTCTTCATAACTATTATTATGAATTTAATTACTCAAGTCTCACTTTTATTTCTTACCCGTAATTGGAGAACCTTTTGAGGAACAGCGGCTTCAGGAAGGGTGTGGCAATATCGAGTTTTCCATCGCAGTCGAAGGTGGCGAGACGAAACTCGACGCCCGAGTCCCATGGGTTGAACTTAAAGATTTCTCTGTCCGAGGTGGTATCGCTGGCCCTCACCTCGGTGAACGCCTTGCACTGAGGACACGTCTGCGTGAGCAATGCCTTTTGCGGGGCAGAGGAGCCCGTGACATAAACCTTGCTGCGGCCGTGGCTCAACGAGTTGAAGAGGGGCACATCTTTGTTCCAGCCGAGCCGTGTTTTAAAGGTCTTTTGTTGCATGTCGAACGACAGGCCAAAGTCGATCGGGAAACTGATAACCTGAACGCTGGGTCTGTGCGCGCCGTGCCACAGCGCCGACACTGGGTTGAAAATGCGCAGACCATACCCGCGACGCACCTCGAACCTGAAAGCAGTTTTTTTTTTAATTCAAACAAAGGCAACTTTTTAATTGCAATTTACTTGGAGGCTAGGGAGACGTTGAAGGCCATGGTCGGTGCCTTGACGTTGTAGGTGAAATTTCCTCTGATGTCCATCTGAGGCAGGGTGCTTGACTCGATGATAATGGCAGAGCCGAGATCTGATGGGAAAATGGACTCGAAAAACGCGGCCTGCTCCAGGGTCTGGTAGTTCAGGTGGTGTGACAAAGATGAGCGCTGGATGTGCGACAGAACTGCAAATTTATTTCATTGAAATCTTTAAGGTGCACGTAATTTAATTTAATTTAATATTTTAACAGTTGCAGATTTACTACGCATTCAGTTGAATGATCGATTAAAGAGCTTTCATAATTCATAATGTTTTTGCAAGTTGGGTAGTTTCGGCGTGTAACTAAAATTTTGCTCACCGGTCACCATTTTATTAATTCCAGTTTCGTTAAAGTACTCGCTGATGACAGCGCGTCCTTGCACCTTTAAGACAAGCTCTACATGAATTTTGTCCGACTGTCGCCTTTGAACTTTCAGTTTGTCAAAAAGCGTTTGCAAATCATTCTCAGCTCCCGCTGGATCCTCTGCACTGACTTTCAAAGCAGAATCTGCCCTGAACTCGTCAAATCCTTCAGTTCGGAGGAAAATCTGCAAGAGGAAATTTATTTTTCTTTGTAAAAAAATTTACAATATTTATAACAAATTATAGCTTTCTTATTATTTTATTCTTTAATAAATATTAAATACCGAATAGGGGTTGAACACTTGGCCTTGCTTGTGTGTGATTGCGTGGAAGTATATGAGGTCGCTGACGGCACTGCGTTCACTTCCGATCGCGATGACCTGGTACATGGAACCTGCCTCAACGTCGGGGTCAATGAAATCAAGAATTTCGTTGCTGGTAGTTAGCATGGCCTTCTTGTTTGGCAATTTAGGCAGCATTTTAACAATTTGCTGAGCGGCAGTTGCCCTAGTTTTAAAAAAAAATCAATTAATTAAGGGTTCAATTTATCTTAATTTGCTTTATACAATTTCGAGTAGCAGGGGAACTTGGTGTTTGTGAGCGAGCGGATGGTCGTGTAGAAGTATTGATAGAGCTGGTAGTTGGGGTCAGACACCATGTACCAGAGCAGGTTCATGAAGCGGTCGGTTGTTGGCTGCGACTTGAGCAACAAAGTCAAAGCAGCAACCCGTATCTCCAGGTCGTTTCGACGGTCTGCTAGAATCGGCCAGAAAATCTCATGCACCTGCCAAGTGTCAATTGTTAGTGGTCTGCTTTTTATGATAATTTATTCTTCTCGGTCAATGCAAAAAAAATTTAAATTTAAAAAAAAAGAAGAAAGGCTTTTGTTGACATCAAATTTATCACCTTTGCCGGGTTCGTAACGATTTCATCGGCGACGGCCCAAACGGCTAAGAACCGAAGCTGACGTGGGTAGGTGAGCTTTCCGCTGATGATCGGCTCAAGGTAGCCGGTGACCGGCCCAATCCTGACATTGCCCATGGCATTGATGTATAACATCTGCTCGTCGTATTCCTTTGCGTCTAATTCCAGTTGACAAAAAATATTTATTATGTTTACATTCATTTAACACTATTTAAATTTTAAACCTCTGAGTCTGGAGAACAAAATCTTGACATACTCGTCGAGGATGGCTGGTGGGCACTGTCCTGTTTGGCAGATTTTTCCAACCATGGAGGCAAAGGTTAGCACGGCGGTTTTTCGGACAGCCGGATCGTGATCCTCAAGGCTGAGGAACCCTTTGCACTCCTTTAGTAGAGCCACGTTCGGGTACCTGAGGTTGAACGGCAGGTCGACTAACACCTTTAGTGACTGCTTCACATCCAACTCGCGCTGCACAATCAGGTCGCGCATCAACAGCACCGACGAGTATGTGCCCACCTTGGGCAGGTACGAAATAAACAGCTGCTTGATGCTTTCATCCTTGTAGCTAGTTCCTTAAAAAAATTGATAAATAAAATTTAAACTTTTTTGTTATTTAATTAACAAAACTAACCAAGCATAGCAAAGTCGGCTACCTGGCGGAGACTCTTGAGGTCCAGGTGGCGCATGAACGCGATCAGATGGTACGAGCTGGTGTCATAAAGTTTATTTACGTCTTCGCCAAGCTCCTCGTTAAGCTTGTCCGCAGTTTTGATCAAACTTTTTCTCGTCTAGAAATTATATTTTAATTTTATTTATGTTTTTTTTCCAAATTGGAAGCGATTTATGCTTACCAGGGCAACAAGTTCGTCCGTAGTGAGAGAGTACCTCTCAAAGACCATGTCAGGACCTGAGCCCGAGGCCGAATCCTGGAACTCGTAGGTCAGCGTCGATGGCGTCGTCTCGCTCACAACCAACGGAACAGAAATCGAGTCTCTGCTTTCCTTTGTAAAAGTTTGGCTGCAGTGTTAACAAATTGAAGTTTATTTTTGGCAATTCAATATCAAAAACGTTACTTAATGAAGATGTACTGCAGTTCACCCTTGACCCAGAGCGGCTGGAAGGAGGTCACGCTTCTCGATTTGATTTTCTTAATTATCACACTTGACTTTTCTAGCTGCAGCTCGTAGTTTCGCTCCGTTGACGTTGAAATAGGGCTCTTAAGAATTTTATAAGTAAATTTAACTCTTGACGTGGTAGTTGATTTGTACCTTGGGCTCGGTGGTGGAGCACGAGGTGAGCGACAGGTTGTCGAACCAGTACTTGGGGCCTTTGCAGCGAGAGGCGTCCTGTGACTTCCTCAGGACGAAGCTGTCCGGCTTCCCGCCGTACACGATTACGTTCTCCGTTTTGCACTCGCCCGAAATTCCCATCTTCAATGAAAATTAGCATTAAAATCTGACAAATAAATTTTATCCTCACCTCATCGGCAGTGAAAACTCTGGGCAATTCAAAGGAGAACTCCTTGAGGTCGACCTGGAATTGCGCCACGATTGACCTTTTCAGATTGCGTGACCACAGCGTGTCCGAACTTTCATACTCGAATGAAACGACCTTTTAATTAAGCTTGTAATTAATCAGCGTGACGAATTAATTATTTTTACCTTCCCACTACTGAAAACGGCGACGAACGGTTTATTGATGGCTTTAGCATCTTGCGGCGCCGGGATGGAGACAAACTCGCCCTCTGGCAATTTGTGCCGATTGCCCTTGCCATTGTACGAACTGAGCAAGACATCCTCCAACTGATTCCCATTCTGTTATTAATTCTGTTTCACTTGCGACTTAAACAAACAATTTTACCCTGAACTTGGCCTTCTCGCCGACGGTTTGCACCCTGAGCTTGCCCTGAATGGAAAAGTGCGAGAGGTACTCCTGGGGCTGAGCAGTGCCGGCGCTCACATGGCCCAGATAATTGTAGATCAGCTCAGAGTCGGCCGGAAAAACTCTCTCCGGAACTGCGCCTTACACAATTTATTTATTGAAATTAAAAGTGGCAAATAAAATACTCACGGTCAGTGGCGCCGACGGCCAGCAGGGCCGAAACTGAAAATCAAATGTCAAATGTGCAGTGAAAGTTAAAAGTTTTGGGTGTAAAAAAATAAACGTACCCAAGAGGAGAGCGGCGGACGAAACGCGGCGCATCTTGCTGCCGATCTGCCGACGAATGCCGCGCTAGAATTCTGATTGAATAATGCGCGCGCCCTTCATCTCTCGGCTGTAATAATGACTTTAACCTCTGCCGGGTCAACTTTATCAGTCGACACCGCAGTTACAGAGACCAGTGAAAAAGGCATGTGGGCCGTTCTTTCTGGAACCTCAGTCTCTCTTTGTTTCATAAGTGTTGTGAGTTGCGTAATAAGCTCACTGCTCCAATTATAAAGTTGTGTCAAATATTGCGTTTAATCGCAGGTATTTTAATTAAATTTAATCTCTCACTTCCATTTTAACAGTGATAAAATTAGCAAAAATTTCCATTTTTTCTCTAAATATAATTAATAACTCGATTTTTAAAACCTTTAATCTTGAGCGTGAGCATGATGTGGAAATTTAAAAAAAAAAAAACTTCCTTTGATGGCATCCCTGGCTTGAATGTCGTTCATTAAAATCACTTGCAATTTCTTCAGCAGGGTCAAGAGATGAAATCAAGCACGACACTTCTCTCAACTTTATTTCACGATGTGATTACAGTTTGATGCTAATTTTGTACTTTTTTTTCTCTTTGGTAACGGTCATTGGGTTCAATGAAAAACTTGTAAGATAATTTTTGCAATCATTGGCAATTATTATTCTTCCATCTCAAAGTTTGTGTGGTAAATTTTTTACATTATTATTTTTATTACTCTGATGATATATCAAGCAGAATATTAGAGAAACCTTCTGGACTATATTAATTTAAATATTCCCGTTTACATAATTTTCATCGTTCACAATATATTATAATGACTGTGTGATATTTCAAGAATCAATTTAATATTCCCTCGTGTTGGTAACAATTGAAATGTACAGAGCGTAAACATTTTCCATACATAAACGAGATTTCCTTTGCAATTTAACAATTTGAAATTTTACAATACAAATACACTTTATTTTCGTTTGAAACATATAATTATCCTCTTTTTAAGTCACAGCGTGTCTGTTTGTGTCCTCGCACGCCACTGGCCGCGGCGGTGGGTCAGTGGGGCGCTCGGGCCGGCGGGCTGCGGGTCGGACCTGCGGGCCGAGGAGTGCATGATTCGAGGGCCCCCGGCCCGGCCGACCCTTCAGGGCCGCCACCAAAACAACGACAAATCAATGAGCAGCATCTTGAACGAGAAACAATCGAGTTTGTGTGTCAAATCAGAAGAGTTTGTTTCGCGCGCGCATCGGTTCAAAGGGCGGGTCTTCCTATGCCAGGGGGTGGTGTTGCCGCGCGAGGTCCTCCGGAGGGCGGCAGCGAGGGTGTCCAGCAGAGTCTAGCGTGGATCTAAGTGGAGGGTCGGGCGGAGGGGCCTATTCACTGGTTCAACAGTACCATGAATACTATGGGGAAAGTATAGGCTACCAGTCACACGTCATCCGCCGGCCCTGCCGAGGCCGCCCTTAACTTTGTCCGCGGGGCCTCGGCGGGGCGGGCGAATGAGGCCACCGTCATCATCCGGGTTGTGAGAGAGGGCCTTTGATCGGCAATCACAAGCTGCAGCCAAAACCAAAACCAAAAAGGTGTGTCTTGTGTGTCAGAGAGAGAGAGAAAAAGAGAGCAAAAATGGAAACAGCATACCAAGCGCTGCTACAATGTCGTGGCAAAAAGCTGTGAGATATTCCAAACCAAAGAATAAGGTCAAGCTTTTCAAAAGCGAGCGCTTTCTGCAGCTGTTTTTTTTTCTTGTATTATTCAGTAAAAAATGAAACTCAAAATTGAAAAAGTGTCAATGGGATGTGAGAAAGAGAGCCACGTCGCTGTTTACTCCTGACGGGAATTATTTATTAATATCTTTGCAACCCCCTTAGAGATTAACGACTTTGATTTAAATTTACTTACCAAGAGACGTCTTCCTCTCTACTTCAGTAAAAAACCCTCTTTAATTGATGTTCTGCGTTAATATTTTCTCAGGCCTAATGGCTTTCTCTTTTCTTGGCGAAAAATTTTATTAAATGGATCATAGTGCTCGTTCAAAATGCAGTAAACTTAAATGATGAAGTATAGTTGCTGCTGTTAAAAGCGATTAGTATAAATAGTTGTTGATTGACTTATCACACGCACTGGGGCTTAAATCATACAATGGCGATGACTGAATGCATACAAGCATATTGGTATAGATTATTATTCAACTTTTCAGCAATTTAATGATGGCTTCAATAATAATTGTATGCGAGAGAAAAAATTTATTGCGTGCTAGCGTTACGCCCTCAGTGTCCTATTTTAAAGTCGGATGGAGCAGCCAGCTGCATTAATTTATTATTATAATTTTTTTTTTGTTTAATAATATTTGAAAAGTTTAAAAACGCACACTGGCCCGATTCTCTTCACACGTGTTTTTTTTTCTTCTTTTTTATATATAATAATTATTTCGCTTACAAAAATGTCTTTTCTGAGCTTTGGTTGCAGCAAACTTACATTCACAGACGTGTGTGCTGTGTTCACACTTAATAATTGATACAGCAAGCATTGTTGCCGGAAAACACTGGGTCGCAAAAAATAGAGATAGTGAAATTGCAACAGATTTGTAAAGATGGGGGGAATATAATAATAATTGGTGTTCACACGCATCGATTGATCATATAGGTACACTGACGGCGGTTCATATGGATAACGGGCCGCTCATTATGCAGCCAGGCGTCCACACTCGGTGAATAATTATGCGAGTGCGAGAGAAAAATTGAAAAAGCAAGGCGGAGGTTTGCACCTCGACGCATGCACTATACGGACTTGAAATAATTATTGTAATGAGATGGCGGCGTTTGTCAAGGAGACGAATGAATTATGTATCAAATCAGTTATTGAAAGTCCTTGATTGCGTCCCTACTTTTTTTGGAGGGAGTAAAGCAAGGTCGTTTGAAATTTGAATTATTGTTTTTTTTTTACGAGGTGGTCCAAGTTGAAGATAATCAACTTTGGCGGGCTTGAATCACTTGGATGAAATCGATGATCAAGGCAAATGAAAAATTTGTGGGCGAGTGTGAAAGAAATAGCAGCAAGTTGTCTTGTGTTTGACTTTTCAGCCTACCGGGCTGCGAGGTGGAGCGCCGTGTAGAGGCGCGAGGCGAGTGTGGGGAGCAGGGCGGGCAGCGCGAGCAGCAGCGCCGCGCCGGGTGCCGGTGTCGGCATCGCAGCATTGCACATGTCCTCCTCACAAAAACACATGTGACCAGTCCCGCTACTTTCCATCATGCAAACATGGTCCACCATGAACAGGTTGATTTGCAGCTTTGACGTGCAAGTTCGTCGCACGCTCTCGTACTCTAATTTTGATTTTGTCGTCGGAAGGACGAACGGGGGCGGGGGAGGGTCGGGGAGGAAGAGAGAAAGAAAGACCAGCGTTAATAATTTGTTTCTGCTCGGACACGCCACCATCCACACAGCGACACACAACGAACGGTGCGTGGCATTCGTCACCGTGCGCCGACGGGCAGCCCGCGCGCCACCGCCGTCCGCCCGGTTGCATAACCGGCGACGGCTGCAGGCGCCGACTCTCCGAACGGCCTCCACTCATAACATGCGGTCATTTTACCAAGCTTTGCTTTTGAATTTTGAACTCAAATTTATTAATAAATTTAAAAGAAAAAATCGTGAGATTTGAGTCTATTCAATTAATTAATTACGCTGTCAGGGATTTTGTATGAGACCCCATTTTTTTAATGTTAATTTATGTCTGTTTGCACTGCTGTATCCCTTAAGCCTTTTGAAATTTTTTGTATATTTTAGAGGGACATAGTAATAGGGATATTAACAATTACAATTTTCAATTGCTTTAAAAATTGAAATAAGAAATCACAAAAGTTACAGCAGCGCAAACAGAGGCGAATATAATTTGAACGTCTCTATAAGAAAGCATGTTAAAAATTATTATTATCAGTAAAATATATTTTCCCTATTATATATCTGGATAAAACTTAAAATAAATTTTGATGAGCCAACCTTTCTGTACATTTTTTTTTTTTCAAAAGCAAAGCTTGCAAGATTTGCTGTCTCAGTAGAAAAAATGAGCACTCAGCATTTTAGAATTAATTTTTATCCACATATCATTTATAACACGTATTGTCAGCTCATGCTCTGCAAAAATAAAAACTGTTAGCACAGCAGTGTCAAAATGTTGAAAACTATGTGATATTGCAAGTTACAAAATAGATATATAGAGTAAGAAATTATTTTCGATTGAAAAAAGTACATGGAAAGGCGTTTGAAAATATTTATTAGTGGCAGAGAAACTGAAAAGAAGCAAGTATTTATCAATTTAGTATTTTCCTTTGAAAGCTTCAAAAATACTTCAAGCATTTTTTTTTACTTTTTAAATATGGAATAAATTCATGCTTAAAAATAAATTCATGAGAACCATTACACGTTTTCCTCTGAAAATTGAATAATTAGGACCAGCATATTTTCTTTGTAATTTAATGCTTAAAAAATTTTTATGGAGAAAAGTTCGGGGGAGTAAAATTGATTTCGTTTTTACCTCAATCAGGGGCGAGATGTAAAAAACTTTAGACACCGAACAAACGGCCCAACAAAAAGGTCATGCGGCCGAGAGAGACGCACAGCTAAACACGGACGGGGTGGCGATCAATGGCACTAAGGGGTGGCACTTACGGGTGCGGGCGTTGCGGACCATCTTGACGCAGCAGCCGTTGCACGTCTGCAGGGGCGGCTGGTCTCTCGGCAGGGCCGTGTAGTTAAAAGGGTCTTTGCAGCGGATGTCGCTCCAGCTGTCGCACTCGTAGCAGTAAATCGACCGCGCTACCAAAAGCCAAAACTTAATTCAATTCACTGCGGTGTTAAATGCATCAAGTATATACATATAATTTTTTTTACAAAGGGTAGTACGCCCCTAACGCGCCATTTTCGATTTCTTTGCACTTAAATTTGTTTATAAAAACCAAATCGTATGAATTCATGGATGATAAGCTTGTCAATCAAGGAAAATTTGAAACCAAAATCATAACAAGAAAGTCAATTGGCTCTCGCGGAAAACAATTCATCAAAATCAGAGATAATATTCCAATTTTATTATAATTTCTTTTTGTATCAAAATTCAAAGTGAGCAAAGAGACGTTTGGGAGAACGAAGGGTGCTGCTCGGAGGTGCCAGATATAGGTGCTGCCGCCGGTGTGGTAATGAGAGAGAGAGAGATAGATTGATAGATAGAGAGAGAGAGAAATAAAATCCGCATACTTACACCTATGGATAATGGGTCTGCAGACTGCGCCAAAAAGCCTTTTGTCTATTTAGCGTACACACACGTCACTTGCGCAAGCAATCAAATGCCAGAAAAATCCACAAAGTCCATTCAAACACATGTCCCAAGTCACGTTGGCCTCATGCAAAATTAAGTGCTCACCTAACCAACATGTATAAAAAACAAAAATATTTTCCATTTTCAGACTAAATTTCTTCTCTTTTTTTCGGAATGCGTTCCGTACAGTTCTTGAAGCTGCCTTTTATAATATTTTTTTTAATTTTTTCAGCGGTAATTGAATTAGTTGAGCACTCGCCTACAATTGCGATTCGCCAGGTGAGCACCAACGTGGAGGGCGAGACCAAAATAGAAAACGAGAGACGAAAACAAACAAACAAACAATTCTAAAAAAAGCACAAACTCTCAAACTGTCATGCCGCAGAGCAGAAGGCGAGAGATGAACGAACGTCGATCTTTTTTTTCACAAGGATTTTTGGAAAAGAATATCCAAAGCGATCAAGATTAGCACACTGCACTCTAGGATGGCACTCTCAAAACACATGCGTCACACGAGATGATTTAAGCCGCGGCAATTAAACGACCGAGAGAGCGAAAATAGGCCCTCGCCAAAACCGAAAAAAATTCCGTCTGCCGCCGACGAGAGCGAGGGCAGACCGAATTTTGTCACGTAAAAAAAAATCTGGCTCCAGAGCTATTTCGGGACGCGTGCTCGAAATTGCCCATCGCATTTATTAATAATTTTCGGCCAGCGAGTGAGAGGCTGGTGCGCGCATGAAAAATAGCTTTGGAGCCATCTGCGTCAAGCTGCGAAAGCGAAAGCTACACACAGCTTAATTGAAATAAAAAAAAGGGGGATGTTAATTTTCCTCTGGATTTTTTCAAAATTCAATTGGAAGAAGAACTTAAATTTCACGGCTTTTCCGAAATCGATTGAAAGCGTGGATGATTTTTTTTTTTAATCGGGGGAAGAGCGAAAAGCGAAAATCCTCGGCGTGCACGAGCATGGAAAGCGAGCTGCTGTCGTAAAGTGAGATTATCAGTTTGGAAAAGGAGCGAGCACCACTTTTGTCTTAAATAGTTTTGTCAGAAAATAGACAGACACTTCGATAGGGGCCATCAACAAATTCATCATCTCCAACTCATTCCAACAGAAAAAAGGAAACGAAAAATCGCAATCAAAATTCGTTGGTCATTTTGTACACAAGATTATGTAAATTGGACGAAATTGAAAAACTCATTCAGGTCGGACGTAACCAACACAACCAATTGAACCACAAACAAACAAAGATATAATATAATTAAAGATAGAGACAAATAGGCACTAATGGGGGATGAGAGAGAATAATTTTAAGAGAAAATTGAAAACGCCTGATGCGAATTTTCCTCCGTTCTAATAACTTAAAGTAAAAATAAAAAATAAAAAATCAGTTCAGTTCTAGTGAAAGTTAGTCAGTCCCTTTTATACCAAAACGTCTAAAACGAATCTGCTTCAAATGGAAAAAAATCTTACTTTGGACTGATATGCAGCTATACTTTTAAATGCACAAGAGAGAAATTTAGTCGTTCATATTTTCGTACGTGTAGCAGAATCAAAAGTGATTGTATATTTGGAGACAGGTCATGAACCAAACTGAGAGAAAAAGAGTGAAATTCGACATAACGGTTAGTATAAAATTATTGTCCTAGGGTTTCTATTTGTTCCAACTGGACAGAGAGCAAAACGGTACAAGAAGAGAAAAAGAGAGAGATAGGTTGACATAGACATAATCAAAATATCTCAGAATAATCGGTTAGTCTGCAGAACCAGGGGTAAAGAAGATAGATAGAGTCTTTGTCTAAATCTAAAAGTTCCCATGCGGAGTAAATTGTAATTATAATTGTTAATCATAGAAGTAACCGTATAATATATTGATAAGTATTTAGGCAAAAGCACGACCAATCAGACTGCTCTGACCCGTTCTTTGGCTCCTGCCGTTCGTTGCTGCGGAAAACCGGACCACAAACTTCTGTACACTTTCATATCAATTAATATATAATAATTATAGTTCCAAAAAGTCACAAGAGGGAAATGGGACACGTGGAAACCTACCCTCTAAACGTTTTACTTTCCCCTTTCTCCGTTAATCGTACTGGGTAGGTTTCCTTTCTTTACCCTGCCACTGCGTTTTTATTTGAAATTATTTAATTTCGGTCAAGGGTTTGAATTTTCTCGTCAGTGGCGAGGGCAAGATTGAGAAAGGAAGGCGGTGGAACAACAACTTACTCTGGCACTCTTCCTCCGAGAGCGAGATGGCGGCTAGGATGAGCACTGCAACACCAAAAAAACCTGACAGGACACCAATTTTGGCAACGGTTTTTACCTGGCATACATTCCTGGCCGGAAGTAAGCGGAGCTACGATGGCTAGCATCGCGACTGCAACCAAAATGCTCATCAAATAAACAATCTCACTCGATTGTACGGCGATCAAAACGCAAAATCAATTTCTTTCTCGTTTAAATAATTCAATTAAAATAAAAATAATTTTATTTAAACAGTACAAAAATTAAGTCTGATTATTAAAAATTATATTTTTGAATTGAGCTTATATATTGAGAAAGAATTTGAGAATATCTGAAAAAGGTTTAGTTTATCAGCAAAAACACAAAATCTGCAAGTCACAAAACAAAGCAAGCACATAGTCTATTTTTGAGTGCAATTAATTAAGCATTTTTTTTTAAATACATGATAAGAGTTTTCCAAAACTACCAGAAATGGCATGCAAGATGCAAGAGATTAAACATGACTTTTTTTATTCCAGGCATTTATTATTTAATAAAAACTGATTTTTAATATTTTTAAATTTGAATCATTCAGTCAATTTTAAATTTCAGCGAATATTCAATCAGTTTTTTTCTTTTTAAGTAAATTTTTGTATGCAAATTTACAATTATCGTGAAGCTCCTTGGGCGCCAATATTCATTATCGAGTCTCGAGTGGGTTTTCCGTAGTGCGCTTGAGAGTTGGTGTGCTGACGCGAGTTGCATAGGGGCTCTTGAGTTGTGCCAAGAGGATGTCGCCAATCAATTAATCTGCCCCCCTCCACCTCTTGAGATCTTTTAATTCCCTTAATTTTTTTTTAAAGACAAACCAGAATCAACTTATTTTAGAAAATGCGGATAGGGAGGCCCTTGTGTATGAAAATTGCGTAAAACGCGTGCTTCTGGTGGAGGCCGGCGTGTTTTTATTTCGGCGGTTTGGTGTGTCTTTTCTTGTTCGTACGTCCGAGCCACTCACTCTCTAAAAGTGTTATATTATTTTGGCCGGCCGCCAGCAACCAGCACAACGCGATCTCTATTTCTTTTCTGCCGAGCCCAAATTAATTTTGGGTGCAGATAGAAAAGAACTGCATGCGAGACGAACGACACTTGGTGCGAAATTTCTGAAACTCGTCTGTCGCCACGCTGAATCTAATACCTCTTGCAAAAGGGCTTCGTCGGAAACTCTGCCGGGCTTCCCTCCAAGGGCAATAACACTGAGTAGTTGAGAAAAATGAGACTAAATCGGCAAAGAGGGTTTATTTAGGTCAAAGGCGGTTAATTAAAAAAGTTTATATTTTGAAATTAATAAATTAGAATTACATTTTATTTATTTTGATGATTCAATAAATAATTAAAATGCAGAACAAAAAATTACTTTTTGTGCTGAAGAATTTGCCGTTTCTTTAACAATAAGAGGATTTTACTATAAATTAAATAAATATTCTCTTAAAAAATCTTGAATTTTAATTCATATAAATTGCCTGCTGAATTTATATATTTAGTATTTTACTCAAATTAAGCACGTCATGCAATTATTAAAAGTGAATAAAATTTTACCAGAAGTTTTGAAATTTAATAAAACCGATTGGAAATGCGTTAGAGATCCTTTACGATGACATACAAAGGATGTGTGTATGTTTGTGTGCGTCTCGCCGAGCTATGTAATAATAATTTATTTTTAGTTTCGTGTGGCCACACTCTGCATGCACACAAATCGATAAAAACGACCATAGACAACAAATTACATTTTTGTGATATTTAGATCAAAATCGTTCTTTAGAATAATTATTATATGAACTATGGAAATCGCAGTGCTTGATTTTGAAAGAACAAAAAAAAGCCACGTGCCAAAGGTGTTTCTGACCTGGAATGGTGAAGATCCACTCGAGGGCCATGGTGGCTCCGGTGGGTTGCTGGTCGGTGGGTCGTCGGGACTGAGCGATTGGGACGCCAATAGTGCAGCTAGTCGAGAGACAAAATCGCGGCGAGAGACCTCAAGGACGCAGCCCTCGCAACCAGCAGCAGCCTAAAATGCAACACCAAACCGACGCCCAACACTCTAGTTACGATTTCTTTTCTCTGCTTTTTATCGCGGCGTGCACACTCTGCTCTTTTGCTAAACGCGGAGTTTGCAAATCAAAGTGCGCTTCCAGACAAAAAAAAATCACTCCCGCATGCAAATGGTTGTGATAAAGTAAATAATAAATAAAACAAGTGGTGAAAAAATTGATGCATCATGCATTGTGGCGCATTCGATTCATAATATCCGATATAATCCTCTTGATATGCTTTTAAGTGCCGGAGTGGGTAGCGGGTTTGAATTGCAAAACTGACGGGCGTTTATTTTGAGACATCAAAGCAGGCGGCCGTTTTGTTTTTGTTGTTGTTTTCACTTTTGTCGCCCGGCAGATGCAAAGCAAGAGAACTTCTTCCAGGACCGCGAATTCTTTACTTTTCTCAAACTCTAGCTGTCTTCGTTTTGAGAGAAACGGACCAACAATCAGAGCACTTGATTGATGTGGAAACAAACACATATCAAACGGCTAAGTAGATATTCCGTATTTCAATTTATCAAAACTGTTGGTTTTGACCACGGATTTTATCATTTCAAGAAAAAAGAAATAATATAAATACAGTTTTTCTCGTCTTCAATTTTGTGTGAATCTGTTCTTAAGTTCTTATCTGCGCATCTTTGAATTTACCGCACCGTGACCTGTCGTTATATTTAGGTCGCATAAGAATCGATTCTTAAGACACTGCAGACCTTTCAACGCTTAGAAGCTTAAATAAAGGTTAAAATTTATTGCCATAAAAATAGTGCTTTGATTGAAGTATGAAACTTTTATAAATCAATTGAAAAAAAAGTTATCAACTTTAGTCATTAAAATATTTTAACGGTTTTTGGAAAACGCACAACCTCAGGTCACCACAATTTCTTTTGACCATCCAATAATATTAATTCACTGCAAAACAAAATAATTTACTTCCTCATTTAAAAATTTAATATCTTGTCAAAATCTAAATTTTTAATTTTTAACTTATATAATTGTTTCGACTCCAGGGAGTATATTTAGTAGTTCCAAAGACACCTGCTATTATGGAGAATGACAAAGAAAAATCAATACGCCGCACACTTTTTAAAAGTTTTACACGCAAACGGTGGGAATTACAACTCTCCATTCTACATTAGTCTCAATCGCATTGCTCGGTCGATTAGTAAGAAATTTAACGCTTTTGGGATAGATCAGCGCAATTAAATTTGGTTGGACTTAGAAAGTGGCAAAAAAAGAAAGCGGATTTAAAATCGAATGGAAACCTTTAGTCCAAAATAAGGAATATACGTTTGAGCGATAAATATTGAGAAGGTCATCACTTCGACCTGACGAGACTAGCAAACAGAGCATATTGCAGTATTGACCGCGCGCCACACGTGTGGCTGCGGCAACTAGGGGGTGCGGAGGGACCAAGCAAAAGAAGTGCAAAGGTGGAAGCTGAAGGGCGGCTGGACTCACGAAGGAAGGAGACGAAAGCAGCAGGGCCGTGCATCCTCAGCGGCGCGGCGGCCATGGCCAGGCGGAGCAGCGGCGGAACGGCGCGCGACTGCTGCAGCACTGCCGCATATTCCGACCAGACTGACTTGAGCTCGCCGCCGCGTCCCATATTGATCCGCGCCGCCTCCCCTGCCGCCGCGCCAACCCCCCGCGCACACCACCGCCTCTGCAGTCTAATTTATTCTCTTTCACCACAACACTTTTTATTTCTTTTCTTGGAAAATTGAAAAACGGGAAATTTTTACAATGGTGTACATAATTTATTATTTTGCTCAATTAATAATATTATACATTTCTTCTTCTTCTTCTCTACTAAAATTAATCTTTCCGGTTTAACATTCAAGTGTGTACATGTCTATGCCAGTTTACTAACCAGTGTTAGTATAATTCTCGTTTGCTAAAATTAATTCAAGATAAATGCGCTCTGAACGAAAAAATAAATAATTCTCTTGCAATAGTAAAGCAAAGCTAAAAGTAGATTTATGCACAAAATAATACAAAAAGATCTTTCGGTAAATCTTCGGGCTCAGATCGTTCTTAATTCTTAACAATAAAAGTAAATTTTATAACACTTTAGGATTTAAGTAGTGAAACATGAATTCTTTATCACTTTTCTTCTCACGTGCTTGAATTAACCAAGTGCCAATCACAATTGTTTGGATTTTCAACTCAAAGGTGACCTTATTGCGGTGCAACCCAATCAAACCATATATTGTGCTTTCAGTGATAGCATGAGTTCTTCAAAAACTTGGCTGCCACCAACCAACTAATCAAAACTATTCGTAGTAACTTCGACGGTTAACAAATTTCAACTCGGCAATAATTTCGCGCACAATAAATTAATACTTGCACGGCTTTTATATTTGTAACTTGGTGATGATAACAGGGTGGAGTAAAATGCTGCTCATTTTGTACAAGTCGGGGCCACGATCCAAAAGTGTATGGCACAGATTTTTAATTGAATTAACTCATTTAAACCGTGTGTATGAGTTGTGCTTGAAAATAAATGCTAAAAGTGACTTTTTAAGTTCTGATTCGTCTCTACAAAGACGCCGCCTTTCTTATCTTGCTTATCACTGCAAAACATTTGCATGCAGCAAGGTGTTGGGCAAGTTTGAGGCAGAGACAGCTAGAGTGGGAGGGGGCGGCTCAGTCTGGAGGCAGCATGCTGAAGAGCCGGAACCTGTCTCTAATGTGCGGCCTCACGTCTTCCCTCTGTGAGAAAATTTTATTTTGTAAAAATATAATTTTTTTTTTTAAATTGAACCTACCATGCACACAAGGTTTTCCAGGAAGGGCAGCAGCTTCATCAGCTCACAATCCGTCTGGTCCATGAACCAGCTCTCAATTGGAATACCATTCTCCAGCTGTGAACAAAATAAATAAGGGAAAAAATGAAATTTCCTGTTACGGATATATTTACTTTTGAGTAGCCTACTGAAAAATTACATGTGTTTGAGGTTTTGTGAATTGAGTAAAAAAATTATGAATTATGAACTTAGGTAGGAAATTTATCAAGTGATGAAACTTAAGTTGTATATTAACAGAAGAGAATAATTAAACAAAGGTCCCTGAAGATTTATACCAACAGGAAGGAACTAAAAGAATATTTGAACAGAGTTTAAAGTAAAATAATATGAATTTTACTTACATGGTAGCCAAATGCCTGCGGCGAGTTGTCAACAATGATGGTTTTCGAGAGGTCCCGCCCCAAAATGTGCAGGTCTTTGATATAGTTGCCGTTCACGCAGATGCAGTGCTCCCTGAACAGACGGTACCTTTGAAGGAAAAAATTTTAATTAGTTTTAAAAAAATATAAAGCAAAGTCTGCTACTGACTTGATGAGGCGTCTGTCTGGGTCAAGCAGGTTGAGGAGCTTGTCTGCGTAGACGCGTTTGGAGGCGGTGAAGAGGATGACCTCGAACATGTTGGAGACTCGTTCGAGGAACTCTTTGAAAAAGGGTCTGGTGCGCACAAAGACGCGGTAGCTGCAGTCTTGGAAGAGCACCGGGAAGTCGAAGGAGGCGTCCTCCAGTTCCTGCAGACTGCAGTGCACCAGGGTCTCGTCCAGGTCGAGCACCAGCGAGAACTCGGGGCTGCTGCGCGTTTTGAGTGGCAGGGCCGGACAGTGGGCGCGCATGTCTGGCGTCAGCGGGGGCAGGTTCTTGATGAACAGGTAAGGGTCAAAGGGTTCCCACTCGTCCACGGATGAGGTCGACGCCGCCGCCGCCACGCTCGAGATCATCACGCTGGTGGTGGTCTGCTGGCCGTCCTCCTCAGGGTCAGAGGTCACTTCCGAGTAATAGGTGCGGCTGACCTCTGTGTACGCCTCGAAGCGCTCGTCGGCCCGCAGCACGTCTTCCTCCTCCAGCATGCACGCCAGGTCGGGCGGCACCAACTTGTCGTAGCCGCCCCCAGCCACAAATATGCCACCCCCGCCACACTCATCCCCACTGGACGCCGCCTCCTCCTCCAGCGGGTGCTGCCAGTTCTCCTTGCTCTCCTCTCCTTCGGAAACTTGCTGCAGAACAAAAAAATCACCAAAATTAGCAATATTATTAAATGATTTTTGTTTGTTTCATATTCACAATTTTTCGGAACTGAATTTAAAGCATTTGTGGGTTTTTAAGTCTCAATTTCAGGTGCGGGTATTATTTTTGTATATTTCCTTACTTGTCAAATTCATCTAACAAAAAGACAAAGTTAATCTGGTTTTTTATATAAAACAAATTGCTGCAAATTTTAAATGAAATATTGAATTATGGAAAAAAATGATCTACCTCAACAGTGTGCATTTCGTCCTCTTTAGCTGCCTCACAAAGTTGGCTCTTCTGCACAGACTCTGGAGGCGTCCTGCTCTTAGTCACAAGCACGTTCTCACGGCAAGTCTGCAAATAGAATCAACAAAAGATTTTGTAAAATACTCGTTGAGCCCAAAAGAAGATTAATAATTTGAACTGAAAGAAGAAAAAGATTGTTAAAAAAAATACAAATTTTTTCTGACTAGCAAGAATTTTTTTTAAAAAAATTCCAAATCGAAAATAAATTTTCTGCCATATAGGAATATTGAACGTTTAAAAAAATTCAAACTTAGCCAGTAATAAGCAGAAGGATTAATTAAGAGATTTCGTACAATTGTGAAATTGAACTTTTCGTTTCAAAGTGAAAAATAAACAGTGTCCAGTTTTCTTCCGGCTGCATCATTTTCGAGGGAAACAAACACTCACCTCTCTCAACAAGTTGGCGTTGTGCCTGGCACGTGACCTCCTGGCGAGGGCGGTCTTGCGGCTCTTGGCGGCCCTGCTGCTGCTGCTGGCGGCCGAAGGGCACGGCTTGCGGGGTCGCAGGGCGGGCGCCACTTGGGGGGCCAGGGTGCCGCTGCGCAGCCACATCTCTACACCATCTCACACCTGCCAGGACAAACGACGAAAACACGGTCAGTAAAGCTAAAAGCCGAGAGTCGGTCGCTCCACTGCGCATTCGCTCTCGCTCGCTCACTCGCGCGCGCGGCATAATTATTGATCCTCGGCAGACAATAAACGCCGCCGCCGGTTCGGCCGAGCGGCGCGCCAGGCGCTGCGGACCCCGAACCGAGACTCCTTCCTATTCACTTTGCCTCAATTATACATTAAAATTAATTCCTAAAGAAAAAGATGCCTACATTCTTTTTACTACATTTTAGATTCAGACGACATTACTTTTCAATTTCCTTTTGAATTTTTATTACAAGAAGAAGATTCTGGGATTTGAGTTTGTAATTATTATTGTCATTGCTCAATGATATGCAATTTCAAGAATTTAGTTTTTTTTTTATTAATTTCAAGCATAGGTTTGTGGAGAGCTAACAATTTGTTTATTTATATTTTTCAAATAATAAGACCTTGGTGGATTTTTCTTCATGAATTGGTTTATGTGTCTCAACAATCAGGCAGTTCGAGGAAATTATTTGAGGTACAGGTTGGAAAAGGAACTCTGGCGAGCTATTAAATGGCAAAATTTAATAATGATCCCAGTCGTGTTTATTTTTAAAGATTATTAGTATTTTTCATGGGTTTTGCTTCAACCGTTCGAGATAAACTTAGTTTTAAAGGATAGAATATGTACCAAAATTTTGAATTTTTACATAAAATTTAATTACCTAAAAATATCTTGTCTCTTAAAAAAAACTTAAGCATGTACCTTGATTAATTAGGTTTTGGGTGAAAAGTTTTTTAAATTCCTTCGAATGGTTAAATAATAGTATGACTTTTAGTGGAATAATAAGCGATTTGAAAATTTACCATTAAAATAATAAACAAATTAAAATATGATTGATCTTCGTTTTTTATTTTTACTCTTTTGTATTAAAGGCTATCAAATGTCATATTTTCTCGCCCCTATATTCTATTCTTATAAAGAGGTCAACGCATCTGTCAATTTCCAATTCAGATAAAATTGGTGGAAGAGAAGCTTACGACGTGTAAGACGTGTTAAAGTATCAATGAAAATTGCGAAAATTGTAATTATTTTGATAATTTATAATGCTTCTTTGCAATGGGTAATGGGTAAAGATTCATTTCTCTCAATTAAGCATTTGAGAGAGAAAATTTACTGAATCAAATTTTTTTTTCTTCCATTTTCTATATAAAAAAAAATTAAAAAAACAAATATTACAAAAATTGCATTAACTGTAACAGTTTGAGTGAAAGCCTTTCCCAGAAGGAAAGGTCGCTGCGATTAGCAAATTAGAGCCTTAGAAACTCGCAGAAAATATTGCGCATTTGAAAGTTGAAGAATTTGAATAAAACGCATCTCGTTGAAAAGGGTCAACGCTGGCGGAGGAGTGTCATCCGCGCGTCGTTCGCTCGTAAAACTCGCAGAAGGAAGCAAAAAATAAATAGCCGTCGGTCGTAAAGTCGTAAATTGGCAGGTTTAAAGGGAGTCGCGACCTGACGCAGAAAGGGTCACGCACTTGTTGCTTCAGTCAGGTGAGAGCGGCCCACCGGTTGAGCCTCTCGCTGCGCCAATCACCGACCAGCCTTCGCGATTTGCCCTCGCCAGATTTTTCTGGTAAAATTATCTGAATTGTAAATGACATGCGGGCGCTTGACGACAGAAGAGATTTCTGCCGAATCAAATTTTTGCAACAAGTTATTTAAATGCTAACGAAGAGAAACTTTTTGCATTATTATTTAACAAAACTGCCTTTTTTAAGTTTCTTGATCTGATGATTTTTTTTTTTCGAAATAAGTACTTTTATTTTTATTTAAATAATTAATCTTTGAATAAATGTTTGATAAAATTCAATTGCAAATTTGATTATTCAGAAAATCAAATTTGCACTTAATTTATAGTAAATAATTTCACTTCTTGAGACTCATTTTTTATCAGATTTTCTATTGGTAAACTTTTTTCAATCATACTTTGAAAGCTGATAACAATTAAATTGCCTTAATAATTCAATATTTCAAATCTGGTCACAATTTTGGCAAATTTTACGGCAAAGATTCCAAAATCACTTCTTAATTCTGTCATTTCATTAAAAAAAATCACGAAAGGTTAGCACATTTTTGTGATTTCCCTATTGTCATATTGTATATTTTCAGTAAATTTGTAATTTTGAGACCTCAGGTTGATCGGTAAAAGAATCGGGCGCGGGAAAGGGTGCAAGAAGTCTGTGAAGGGTTTGGAAAAGCCGCTCTGGCGTGGCGCGGCCCAACTAGCGCTAATCAATAAACCACCCGCGCGCGCTCTTCCCGCCGCCGCCGCCGCTTATTTGCATCCGACGTGCATATAAACGTTCTCTATATAAAAATTCCATCAATCAATCCTTCTCAAGACTTCAAAAACCTGTTTTATTGGAACGAGTAGCACTTTTCACTTTTCCTTTTATTTTAATTTAAGAGGCAATATTCATTTGAATAAACTGAAATTCACTTAATTAACGGCGAGTGCAATAATTATGAGTTTGACCCAGTCTGTAAAAGCTGCGTGAGGCAATTTATGTGCGAGAATAACCAAGTTCAAAATTTATCCTGCAAACATATTTTCTGCCCATTTAAATTTTGTTTTCATCAAAATCTGTAATTTTTAAGGGCAATTGTGCATTTTTTATTATTTGCATGAATTAAAACGAAAAATAATAGCCAAGTCACAGGTCAAGATGGAGATTTTAATGGAATTTTTGGTGCCTTTTTTATTTTCTTTAATAGGAGCAGAGATTTCAACATTAATAGCAAAACGAAATTAAGTATGTGTAAAACGCAGGTGTGTATTTCTGAAAATATTAAACCAAAACAACAATTAAGAGTTTAAAAAATAGTACAATCTATTAAATTTAACTTCACTCAATGATATATTAAATATAATAATTTTTTTTTTTAATTTTTAAATTAAAAAATATAATAGCAATTGAAATTAAAATAATATAATTGCACTTGAAAGAGCCACGCCCATTTCAATTCCAACATTGATAAATAAATAACAAGACTTCCGCGCATCAGTGCCGCGAGTGCTGCAATTTAGGAAGAAGCAAAATAATAATTTTCGCGGCGGCGGCAGCGCAACCTTGGCTGCCTCGGTTGTTGGTTCACGCGAATTTCGTCAAGGTCGCGAGCGCGCCTCCTAAGGAACCGCGCACCGACCCAAGAGTGCCGCCCGAATAATGTCATTTTGGAACTGTTCAAAAAAGCTGAATGCGTTCCGAACAGGGGTGGTGCGGTCGCGAGACCGGCAAAGTGGACGGGCGAAAAGAAGTATTTCGGGCGCGATCCCGCCGCGAGTGCGCAGCCAGCGCGCGGCCCTTGCTTGCTTTCTGCGGCCAGACAAATACTAAACATGCATGCTCGGCCCCGACCGAATCGGCCCGCCGACGAAACGCACCTCGATCGCGCCGAGTCGCCAATGTCCGCGTCCTCCGGCACCGTCTGTCCCGTCTCGGACGCGCTGCAACACGAACGAGATACGCTGTTTCTCGCGCACTCTTGAATCTCGCTCCGTCCTACGAGTCTTTCTTCTTCTTCCACTTCTTCCGAGACTTGCTTTGCTTTTGCTTCCACCCAACACCAGTGCCAAATTTGACCCTGGGCGGGCACTGCTTGGTCGGAAAATATCGACATCGATGGCCGAGTTTCTTTTTCATTTGAAAATGAAACTTGTTTCAAATTTATTCCCAAATTTCATTTATTCAAGCGGCATCGTAGTCTTGATTATTAATTAGCCACGGGTTTTTCGCCAAAATGGGTTTTCGAAGTTTCAGGGCTGAATTTCAAATTGTGAGATCGATATTCGGTTGTTCGTTGATGGCCCATTTCGAGCCGACAACTGCGCATTTTGCCGCACTTCGCGCTGCCACAAATGGGAGGGAGAGCGCCAGGCGTAGTTCCAAATCAATGATATAGGGGGCGCCGAGTTATACGGGGGGAGGGGGGGGTGGAGGGAAAACAGCCGTTTTTATTCATTGATGAGAAAATTGCATAATAATTATGTTAGTTGTATTTTTTGCTATTTATTTTTTTTAAAAATATATAATTATATTTTAACATTTAAAAATGTATGTGAATTATTACTTTTTACTTTGGGGGCCACAAGCTTTCTAATCTCAGATGTGCAGACTCGGGGATCCATTGCTTGAACGCTTGCAGCAAATCTGCGCAAAAATTAGAATAAAAATTAGCACACAATTACGAAGTAATTTTAAATATTACATTTCGGGTCCTCTTTCCAAACGACTCTGATTTTCTCTGCGCTATCAGCTTCTTTCACAATCAGTTGATTTACAAAGTTGGCATTTTTAGGTGCAAGGCTGAAGAAAATTATTTTAATTAAATTTAAAATCAGATTTTAATAAAGAAGTTACCTGGTAGCACTCTTGATGAGAGTGTTTGTGTTTAAAATGAGAGTGTGCTTGAACTCGGCCAGGGTGGGAAACACTTCGCCCTCCAAAATAAAGTAAGCCAGGTACTTGTACCTCTCGTGTCCCTTTGGAATTTCCATCTCCATCCGAGGCAATTCCCAGCCTACTTTTCCTTTGAAAAGTACAAAATTAGAACAACTATTAAGGGTACCTTTTTGATTTTACCATAAGTTCCTGTGACCCAACACATGATCTTCTGATTGCGCGTGTCGTACTTTGGAGGCGGATCGGCCAACGGTGCAGACAAACTGCACAAGCTCGGAGCAAAAACAGGAAGCCACTCGGGCTCAATAGAAGTGACACCTACAAATTTAAGAAATTTTAAATTCAGTCTGAGATCCCTTTAAATGTTCTGTACCTCTCATAAGGACGTTGGTGGTTTCGAAAAGCTCCTGGAAGATAACCCACTGTGGTTTGACCTTGGCTAGACTGCAGTTTGCTGGCATCAGCACTGGCTCCTCGAGCAATTCTGTTTTGTAAGCGCGCTTCCACTTGCTCTTGCCATCCTTCAGGTCGGACTCCTCCACCCTGAGCGCCACCTGATCCACACTGCCAGCTAGCAGGACCTGCCTCAATAGCCGACACTGCAATTGTGAAATATATAATAGAAAATAATCAAAAATGTTAATAATTTTCCTACTTGGGCATCTGAAGGAGGTTGAAGCAGAGGATCCATCGAGAGGTTAAGCTCAGGGTGGGCCATGTTGATTTCAGAGGTGAGCTGCGCCCTGAGCTTGGAAACTTCCCGAACACCCTTAAGCCGCAAACTGTGCTTTTCGCAAAACTGGGACAGAGCGTCCTCTCCCTGAATGGCAGCTTTGCTGGCTGCGTACAGGAGCCACAGGACAATTGCAGGGTCACCCAGCTCCTTTGCCTGCCCACTCAGGGCGCACTCCTTCACAGCCTTGCCTGCAATCCACAATTAGCTTACCTAAAAAACCATTTCCATTTAACCAAACCTGGGTCTAAAAGAAGCTGCTCAACAGAGAGGGTAGCCACCAGGTTGACAGCGTGTGGAATCAGCCCCTGATGCTGCAGACACAGCGTTAGAACTTTCCCAAATCTCGGTGTAACTGGAAACCGAGAAATTGCCTTTCCCAGCTCGGTCAGACCTCCAGAAGTCTTTCCTTCTGAAATTTTGGTTTGATAAATTTTTATAACAGAAAAATTCCCATTTTTGTACCTTTTGACGGTGGCTCCAGGGCTCCGAGCAGGGTCAACTTCACCTCTGCTGCCTTCAACTGCTCCATACTTGGTGGTGAGGGGAACGGGAAGTTGATCACCTTTTAATTTGGAATTTGATAATTTTTTTAAAAAAAAATCTTTAATATCTCACTTTATCAATGCCCATGGCCTTCATCTGGAGGAAGAGGTCATCCACAGGTCTGTTGAGGATGTCAGGGATGGAAAACTGCGGGAACTTATCATTAAAGACCGCTGAGGAGTAGAGACGGTAACAGTGTCCAGGTGCCACACGCCCTGCTCGTCCAGTACGTTGCTCTGCTGAGGCCTATGAGAATTTTTACAATGACGTAAATTGATTTTGGGAAGTTTATTTCAGACAGACCTTGGAAGTCCAATCCACCTCAAAGGTAGAGACGCCAGTGAGTTTGTCAGTTCGACGGTGCTTGGTGCGTCCAGTGTCCACAACATACTTGACACCAGGGATGGTGAGAGACGTCTCGGCAATATTAGTTGCAACCACACAAAGACGAGCACCAGTTGGTGGCGGGCGAAAAACAAGAGCCTGTTTGTGGCTTGGCAGTAATGAGTATAAAGGCAACACCCACAGCGGCTGACGGATTGCTGGCAACTCACAGTCAGCAATTTCGAGGTCATCATCTCCCTCCAATTCATCTGAAATTATCAGTCATTTAAAAATTTAATAACTCTGGTTGCTGTAAGTTGTGCACATTCACCATAAAATCAATTTTTTTTTTATAATTGAACCATTAAGTTAAAATAATTATGGCTCTTTAGCTTTTGTGTGAAATAAAAAATACCTGCGAGTTCATCCTCGGGCACAGTTTCAGCAAAAGAGTCGAGGCTGACAACGTTCAGCCCCATGCCTTTCTTCTTTTTCTTCTTCTTTCCACCCTTTTTCCTTAGAGAAGAGTCGAATTCTGCCTCCAACTGGTCCTCCTCTTTCTGCTCCTCCATAGGCTCTTTTTCCTCCTCATTTATCTTTTCCTCGTCCTTTTTATCCACATTTTGATTCAGAGGAAAGGCACTTCTCAACTTGTGCACCAAGAACTTGACCTGCAAAAGAGAAGTGTCCTGAGTTGAACATTATTGGATGGTTTAAATAACCTCCTTCTGCCCAGTCAGGAAGACGAGGATGCCACCGTCTGGAAGTTGAGTGTGAATTTTGCAAGTCTTCCTGTAGGCCTCACTCACATAGTCGTCAACAGTTTTGCGGGCAAAATGCACAGTAACTGGGAACTGTCTCGAGTCAACCTTGATGACAGGCGGGACAGTTCTGAAGAGTCGCGTGTTCTCAGTGAAGTCCTCCAGCCGCAGTGTGGCTGACATCACAATTAACTGTAAATTGGTTAAATTAGGAGCTACAGAGAGTTTTAAACAATTAAAAAAAATACAGAAAGAATAACAATTAAATAATCTGATAGAAGGGAAAAATTTAATCCTACAAGTATGATTTAAAAAATTAATAAAATGACACGAGTTCCCATTATAAATAACAAAAAATCAGCTAAATTGGATAGCACAATAATTAAATATTAAGTTTTTTTTTTAATTTTCAACATTCCACCGCAGATTTAAATTTCATACAAAGAAGGGAAAAAATAGGATTAATTTTAAATTTTACCTTAAGAGGGTCACCCCTTTGTTGCCTAAGACGGACAACTCTGGAGAGGAGACCAACAAGGATGTCAGTAAAGACACTGCGCTCGTGGGCCTCGTCAACAACCACCACTGAATACTTGGAAAGTAAAAGATCACGACGCGCCTCCCGCAGCAGCACACCGTCCGTCATGAAGAGAATTCGCGTGCTCGGAGTTGCATTGCCCTCAAAGCGGATCAGGTACGACACCTCACGCCCACTCAGGTTCATCTCCGAGGCCACGCGTGATGACATCGAAATTGCTGCCACTCGACGAGGCTCCGTCACGCAAATCATTTTCCCATTCCTGTTTGAATTTTGATTTTATCAATTGTTCACTGCAAATAAAAAACAAAAAAAATATCAACCTTGCATATCCCGCTTCGTACAAGAACTGAGGCACTTGAGTGGTCTTGCCAGAGCCCGTTTCTCCAGCCAGCACAACTATAGGGTTTTCGTTAATGGTCTCCATGATGACCTGCTCCTCAGCCAGGATGGGCAGCTTCATCCTTGCCTCCTGCACACTTGCAGACCTGTTCACCGACACAAAAACTGTCGGCCTCCCTTTTTCCGATGGCACCGTCCTCTGCTTTATCACATCAGGTGTGACCTTTTGCTCCTTGGGTTGCAAATCATTTAGCTTCGGTGTAAATTTAGGATTCAGAACAACAGGAGCTGGGGCCACTGATTTAATTATATCAACTAAAACTGTCGGTGCATCGTCCTCAGCAGTATCCTCGTCCTCCTCGTCATATTGAGCTAGAATTGAAATTAAAATTTTTGTCTGAAGGAAAATTTTAATTCTTACGCTTTATGACCTTTTCCTTCTTGAAAGTGTTTTCTTTAATCTTTTTGTGGTTAACGATGGAGGCAAAGTTGATGTCTTGCGGTGCTTGCACACTGGACAGCTCATCCAAAAGGGCACTTCTCTGTTAAGCATTATCATTAAATGTTCAAGAGACAAATTTTTAATTTTCCTCACTTTCTTTTTCTTCTCTTTCTTGGCCACGAGTCTTTCCAACTCCCGCCGCCGCTTCTTTGAGAGGAAGGGTCGACCCTGCTCCGCACCTTTTCTCCTTGCAGGCTGCACTTTGACCTTCTTTGAAGGCAGCGCCAGAGTGTTGCAAGCGTCATACGACGGCCGGTGTTTCTTACCCTCCGGTTGAAGCTGTTAAAACAAATTATTACATATTTTAAATTATACCAAAATGGATAATAATTTTAAAAATTAAAAAACCTCAATTTCGCATGGCAGTTCCACCAAAGTCTGGCTGACGGCGATTTTTTCTTCGCAGCGTTTTCGTTTCCTCTGCCGAGGCGCTTTGAAGCCTGCCTTGTTCATTTTACGAGATTTTGGAATAATTCTAAGTCAGAGATAGTTCGAAATCAATTTTAAATTAAACAATTCCTCGCTTGCCAAAAATCAAGTAAATAAGGCACGTGTTTTTTAAGCAATCAGGTGTTTACCCCCACTCCGGAGGTCACTGGACACACCCCTATTTAGATCCCCAGTTCCCCACTGATCCTCACAAAACATTTTGCAAATATTTTTATTCTGGTCTACATTTTTTCTTAATATATTCACATGCAATTCATTTTTTTTTTTCAAAATTGTGCTCTAGCAGAGTGAATTACATAAATTTCTAAATTTATTAAATTTTTACAAACAACAGAAAAATGTAAAATTCGAGGTTTTTGTGTCAACAAGGTTTGTGTTTACATACATATTAATTATGTATTTTATGTGCATTTTGTAGATTCTGTACATTACACTTTATTTTCTGTTTGGATTCAAGGGATGATTATGTATTTTTTATTAATTAATTTTGTTTTTTCATTTCCAGTCTCCAATCGTTCTTCTAAGATAAAAATTTGGACATAAAATTTGTCAAAAAAGGAAAACAAAATGAAGATTTTGAATATTTTGAAGACTATTCGAAACAACTGGAAGAAGAGCACCGTGGCCGCTTGCCTGGTGGCCTACGGAGTTGATTATGCGAGGGAGAGGCAGCGTGTCCAGGACATGATGAGGGTCTTTTGCAGAGACGCAGTGGCCCTTGGCCAGCAGTCGTCCTCGGCCTCTCGCAGAGTCACCGTCATCCTCAACCCTGCCGCCAACGGAAGGTTCAATATTTACTTTATTTTTTTTATTTCCTAAAAATATTAATTTATCTCAACACAGAAAAGCGGCAAAAGACTTTGAAAAGTACTGCGCCCCACTGCTGCATCTGGCTGGGCTGACAGTGAGTGTGGTGCACTCGGACAATGAGGGCCAGATCAAGGGTCTGCTGGACGTGATGGACAACACCGACTGTGTGGTGGTGGCTGGTGGCGACGGTTCGCTCTCAGAAGCGGTCACTGGTCTTCTGCGCCGGCCTGACGCTTCCTCGGCTGCCCAGCGATTGCCCATCGGCGTTGTCCCCCTCGGTGCCACCAACCAGGTGGCTCGGTCCATCTTTGGCACAAACTACCCTGCCAGGGAGGACTTCATTGCAGACGCCACCAACAGCATCCTCCAAAACAACACCAAGAAAATTGATGTCATGCGCATCCAACCCAAGAGTGTATGTTCTTTTTTATTATATTTTTTGAAATCATGTTATGTGTTGAAAGCAAATCATGTTACTAAACTGCAGGAATATTTTTCCGATATATTTGTAATATGTTATTTCAATTTATAACTGAAAAAGCTAAGTTCCAAATGATTCCAAAGTTTGCGAGTTCTGTTGAATTAAAAAATAATATATATACTTAAAATGGAGAATTTATAGAACGATTATTGAAATTATTTTAAAATCTTTAATATACTTTATATTTTATATTTAAATTTTGTTAAGGATCAGCATTTTAAACTTGGATCAGTTATTAGATCTCTAATTTTGAAACATGATATACAACAAGTTGCGGAAATTTCTTATTAAAAGTTTTTTTGCATCAAACATTTTTATTTATTTTTGAAATGTTTCTTTGCAGGAAAGCGGTGAAGGGAAGCCGGTGTTTGCGTTGGGTGAGGTGCAGTGGGGCGCCTACAGGGACGCTTATGTGCGCAGAAACAGGTACTGGCTGTACGGCCCTTGGCGGAGCTACGCCTCGATGGTGTTTTCCTGGCCAAAGCAGGAGCTTGGCTGGGAGTGCAAGGCGCGCGTCAAGTATGTCAAACCGTGCGCCGGGTGCAGCAAGTGCGGCGCCCAACACCTGGTAGCCCCCCAGCAGGAGCCACCAGCCAATCGACGATGGTGGCACTCCTTCTCTGTTAAGCCGGCGACCACCATTGAGAGTAATTAGTTGAAAATCAAAATAACTTGCAATAACTGAATTTGTTTTACAGAAAGGGCAGATTACAGCAAGGTGATCAACGAGGAGTGTGGCATGGAGCACGAGGTTGAGATCAATGTTGTCGACCTAAGCATTGCCACCCCCAACGCAACCCCCACCTTCCAAAGCTCCGAATCGGCACTTCAGGTTGCAATAGGTTTGGAGCTTAATTTCATTTTTAAAGTAGACACTTCAGGTTGTAATTTAACAGGACCTAAAGAAGTGGGTTTCACTGACTTTGTGAAGGAGGGTTGGAGCAGACTGCAGGGAAACCCTCCTACGTTCAATGAGGTCTTCTTGGCAAGGGAGCTTTGGTTCAAACCAGAAATCAAAGACAAAGAAGCAACAGAAGAGAAAAAAGAGGTAAACTTTTGTAATCAAGGTCTACTTAAATTTAAATACAAAAATTAAGGAGGAGGTGAAGACAGAGACGTACATGAGGTGGTTGTCAATTGACCACGAGAACTACGAACTGAACCCGATGCACATCACTCTGCAGCCGAATCGACTCAATATTTTCTGCCCCACAAGAACTTCCACTGTCCCAGCCTAAAATGATTTTCTGTGATGCGTTGAAATGATTAAAGAGACAGTTTAACAAAAACAGAACATTTATTTAATTACGGAATTCAATGAGAAGCTACATACTAAGACTTGGCAATTTTTTTTTATCTCGCCAGACATTTAGAATCGCGACCAGTTTTTCTAAAAAAGGTAAATGCCCCGTTGTTGCTGAATTGGAAATAAAAACATACACGAATCAAGTCATACATAACTGTAGGTTTACACGTCAAAGCATCACACAAACTAGTCCTTCTTCTTGTCTTCGATGGGCTTGACCTCTTCAGCTGGCCCCTTGGCCTTGGCCTCTTGCTCCATCTCGGCAGAGAAGCCAAATTCGTTCAGACGGGAAGGATCAGTCTTATAGATCCATCTTTGGTACAGGAATATGAAGAACACAATATCTGGAATAAATTCAATAATAAATATCCAGTTAAGAAATATAATAAATTGTAAATCAATTTCAACAAAGGTTCGCCGCAAATTAAATAAAAAGGGTAGTTTTTCATAGGACCCGAAATGGGGAATTTAGCAACTTAATAAGTTGGAGATTTAATTAATGTTGAAAAAGAACTATTGAAAAATTTTATAATTTTGGATATCGTCGGCTACGCGGCCAAATGGCCGATCTGGTAAATACCCCTGTGGGGAAAATGGCTAGTGGCCACTTTCCCCGTTGGGGAAAATGGCAGATGAGCATTTCCGGACAAATTTTTTTTAATGTTCCAATGCATTCAGTGTACAAATCTGCATCAGAAATAACCATAAAAGTATCAACTTTCTCAGTAGATGTCTCACTATCGCGAGTTAGGGGAGCAAAAGTAAGGCAGTGCCACGCCCCCTATACCAAGATCCACAGCATTCCCGCTTGCTGAATAATGCCAAAATTGTTTTAAATGCAATAAATGTTAAAAATAATGAAAATATCGAAAATAAAAAAAATATAAAAATAAAATTTTAATAAATTTAATAAAATACCTAACATAAATTAAGAAGTAAAATATCAGAATAAGCTGTAGTTTCGTCAATATTGTATTCCAAAGTGACAGCTTTTTCATGCATTTTGCATGGTAATGCAAAAAATTCTTTAAAATAGATATAATTTTAAAATCAAATAAATAGTAAAATATAGATTTTTTTATTAAAATATTTAACATGCAACCAGAAGCTTAATGTTGTATCCGAGCTAGATTTTACTTTAATAATTATTGCAATTTATAGTAAGTATTAGTAAAACTATTCATGAGATTATAATTAGAAGTGACGTCGGGGCATGTGAAATAAGAAAAAAATGCTTTTAATGCCAAAATTGTTTACTATTGTTCAAATAAAAGAATATAATTTAAATTAATTTAAATAAAATAAAATAATAAAAATATTGTAAAATACGATGAATTAATATAAAATTGTATTATAAAATATTATTATCAAGTTAAATTGAACAAAGAAAAGCAGGAAATAATTGCATAAGAGGTTTAATTTCGATTGTATTGTACGTTTTACTCTTTCAGTGCGGAATTAATTCCCTTTAAATTTCTTACGACAGTTGTATATTAAGGTTTAAAAGAAAATTAAGCCTACCAAATTATCTGCAATAACATGCTGAACTTTGGTTCAAATTTTGAAATCTGAACATAGAAAATTAGAGCAGATAATCAGTTTTTTGCTTCTCCTGTAAAATTTAAAAAAAGGCTCATCTGCCATTTTCCCCAACGGGGAAAGTGGCCACTAGCCATTTTCCCCACAGGGGTAATTACCAGATCGGCCATTTGGCCGCGTAGCCGACGATATGTGAAATAATTATTTTTCATTGAACTGAAATAAACACTATAAAATTTTAATGGCTTAAAAATTGAGCATTACCGTCTCTGAAGCATCCAAGTCTGTACATAGTAGGCATTTTGATGACAAAGGCAAAGATGTCGTCGATGAAGGTGTTGAGGAATTTGTAGCTCATCATGCGCCAGGGCAGATGTGCGACGGACTTGAGCTTGTAGTTGATGAAGAGTTGAGGTGTCATCATGATGAAACCGAAGGTGAGCAGGAAGCCGTACAGCATCGACAGCACCCAGGAGTACCAGCCCTTGTGTTCCTCGTAAAGTAGAGAGTAGACACAGTAGCCGCCCAGCAGCGGGAAAAGCGCCCAGGACAGATACTTGTAGGCCATCATGTCGTACTGGCGAGTACTTGAGTTCACATAGGACCCCTTGTCCTTAAACTCTATTCTTGGGATGAAGCCTAAGATCTTTTGCTCACCCACTTTCACATCCATCACCTGAAAAGCAGAAAAATATTTAATGCTACTAACTTTCCTAACTTATTTTTACTGAAATTCAATGTTTTTTATATTTAAGAGCCTGGTGTACATTCCTTAATAAGTAATATAGATAGAACCTCCTACCAATTTATTTAATTCATCGAAAGGGAACCAACTCAAACAACCCATCTCCGTGGGCCATCAACCCAACCTTGAGGCTCTTTTGGTTAAAAATATATTAAATTTAAAATTGCATGAAGTCAAAGAATCCATTATCATATATTAAGCTAAACAGATGCAAATTTTCTATTAAAAAAATAAATAAAACGTTTAATTGCAGAAATTAAAGACTAATATTGCTTACCTTATGAATTTTCCATATCTCTATGCCAAGTCCAACAAAGCAAGAAATGCGCACAACGGTGTTGGTGTCGTTGTCCAGGACATAGAGGAGAACCACCGTGGACTGAAAGACGTTGAAGAATACGGATCGCACCGAGAGTCCTTCCAACGACTTTCGATTGTTCCAGAATTGGATGTCTGCAAGTTTTCAAATCAGCACCGTCCAGGTACAAAAATTTCAAAATTGACTTGCCATTTTTGAAAGCAAGGATCTCAAAGATGGAGTGGAGGATGGAGATGGCAAAGGTGAGACCCAGAAGGTAGGGTGACGTCTCGAGCAGGGCCTCCTTGAGTGAGTCCTGGTCGACATCTTCGTCGTCGGCAAATGTGTCCCCAAATACACCGGACGTCCACTTGTTACGCATGGATTGGGCAGCGTACAACTGCCAACGCAGCAGAGACAAAGGCTGGAAAGTCACCTGCAGTTTTAGCTCCCTGCGAAACAAATAGAGAGTGATTTAATTAATGCTCCTTTTGGATCCCAATTTAAACAGATTAAGATTTAGACTGCCTGACAAAGTTTTGTTTTTCTATTTTCAATAGTAAACAATTTTTCAACAAAAGGAAGAAGTCCATTTTCTTCACTTCTTTATTTTTGTTTTTATTTAAAACCCAAAATAGGACCTTTCTCTTATTTTAAATCAGTGATTTCGTTTTTAAGATTGCAGATAAATTTGCTTACAAGGTGGTGTCGTTAATGGGCTGGTAGTCGCGCTGCATGTTCCAATAGTCATTCATGTAAACCACTGGCTTGTAGAAGTTTCCTCCAGGAAGAAACACAACATCTGAAACGAAAAATTTAAAAATTATTATAGAAGTGAATTTTATTTTGAATAAGACAATTTAAAATAATAATTATAATCTCCAAAATCTGCCAATTATAATTTATTTTTCTTTCAAAAATAAACTGAGTTTACTATTAGACAAAATCTGACAATTGAGAAAAGGTACTGACACTCGTCAAGAGGCGGTGGGACAGATCCCTGAACCCAGTTGGTGAAGTCAGTGATGATGTTAACGGTGATGTTGGGGTGCCAGTGGGAGACGACCTCTTTCTTGGTTGTCTCTGCTTTCTTCTGGTGCTCTTCGGAGGCGGCGGTCTCGCCAGTCAGCAGGTTGTGCGTTTTGACGTAGTGTCTTTTCTTGAAGCGATTCATCATCCTTTGTGCGTAGGCAACATCTTTGCCCACATACTTCGGAGACTTTGGGTCAGGGCTGCGTCCCGCCTTGGTGACATAAACATGCAAAAAGATGGAGCCGTTGTTGCGCAGCTTCTGTGAGGTTGGAAAGGAAAAGGACGTTGAATAGGATCCGTCCTGCTCAGGCCCGCTTGTCCAGTCTCCGTACATCAGATTTTGTTTGCTCCACACCAACGCCTTCTCATCCCCGAATTCGCTGAAGTGCTCATTCTCGGACAGAAACATGTACAAGTCCTGAAAAACGGAGACGTGTTGCAAAAAAGAAGACATTTTACATGAAATGAATACCATCAGGGTTCCGTTTTCAAAGATGTTGACCGCCGGGCTGGCTACAACACTTGGCTGCGAAGAGGGGCCGACGGGTGCCTGTGGCTTTTTAAAGAAGGACATGACAAAATATATGACCAGTCCGCGCATCACCATCGACTTAACCACGGACATAAAAGACTCTCGTGCGGAGCCCTGTTGTTGCTCGCCCTGCGGGTCAGTGAAAATAAGAAATATTAAAAAAAACAAAATATTTTGCGTCAAAAAATATACTTCTGCGGCAGGTTGGTCTGTGGCTGCTGCGGCATTATCTGTCGTGGCCACCTGATCGTCGCCGGAGCTCATCTTCTCTATTATTTTGATTTCACCCTTGAAGCGCTGGTTCCTCGAACCTGAGAAACGTGCGTCCTCGTCCCCGATTCGATAGATTTTCCAAAAGATCTCTCACTGCGAAAGATTCAGGATTTTTATCGTCGTGAAAAAGTCACCATGACCACAAGCACAGTATAAATGGGCGGGGCCGATTAGGGCGGAGGGGGTCGGGAGTCATTAAGGAAAACTTGTTAATTACAAGTTACAAGTAAAACCCGCGAAAGCCGTCAATTCTTTCCATTATTTCCATACATACATAATTGGCATTTAATTGAACCGCAGGCTTTAAAATTATAAGACAAATTAAGTTTGATATTGTTCATCAAGGGCCGGGTGAAGCATTTTTTCACCTAGTCAAACTTAAATCTGTATAGGATATTTAATTTCTCATTACTTAGTCTTTTGATTTAATTGCTTTTTAACTCTCAAAATATGATGAAAAAAAATTATTTAAACCTCATTATACAGGAATAATTTTTTTTCTTGCTAAAATTCATTCCATTTATAGCTTTTAAAAGCACAGAGCCCATGATGCAAATTTTATAACCCAATATAGTATCTTTGCTGCGAATCAAAGTTCAGTATTTAATACAAAGTTCCATTTTATATGTACATATATTTAGCTCCAATGCACTAAATTAGTTATTAAGCCATCGCCTCCCTCTCTTCATCATCTGACGGAGGACCCATGTCTTCGTCATCATCGACATCGTGCATTTGGTTGTAGTCATTTCCTTCGTCCATTTCCTCGTCAGCACTCTCAGAACCTCTTGAATCGTCAGAATCTCTTGCCTCCTCCTCATCAGAGCTGCCAGCATTTGATTCTCCTTCCTGCAAATTTTTTAGATGAAATTTTTGATTTCATCAACCATCATTTACACAAACCGCTTCTAGATCGCTATTTTCCGCAGCGATTGACTCTCGCTTTGCCAGTTCTTCGAGGTGTTTGCTAATGTCAACAGCGCTGCCTCTCTTTGTCTTCTTTCGTGACTTTTTCTTCTTTTTATCCAGTTCCAGAGGGTAAGCCAAACATGGTGTGAATTTACCCGATTCCATTCTGCACTTAATATCCTAGAAAAATAATACACAGAATAAAAATATAATGAAAGCCTTCACTGATTTTTAAAATTAAATTTACCTCCTTCATCGAGAGACCCACATCCAGCATGTTTTTCACAGTTACTGTGATTTTTTCAGGGGGAATTGTAGGTTGTCTTGAGGGAAAGTCCTCGGGAAGGGCTTTATTGTTGAGCAGATCCTCCTTGGACAGTCCGAATTGCTCAGCTTTGAGCCGGGGGGCCTGCCCTCGACCTCTGCCTCCCATTTCTTTGCTGAAATTCTCTCAAGCAGTAACTTTGGCCGGAGGACACTTTTTCACAGCAGCGTTCTCAGACTCGGAGGGTTTGAACTTTTCCTCATCATACACAATTTTCACGACAAGACTGCAGCTTGGACAAGTTGCCTCTGTTTTACCCTGTTGGAGATCCTCCTGAAAGTTAAAATTTAATTTAAGAAAATTAACTCTCTGATTGAAGACAATTACTTTACTTTTGAAACTTCAAATCGATCACCGCAAGGACACGGATAGTGATAAATTTCTAATTCTTCGTCATATTCAAAATCTTCGATTTCTATTTCGTCGTAGTATACACTCATTTGATTAAATAATTAATCCTGGACACGAATATTCAATTAAAAAGTTCGTAAAAATACTTCCTGCATTCTCCTGAACGCACGTGTTTACATTTCTTGGGAGGCGGGGCGGGATCAAATTCTACTTTTCTGCTTTTGATGTTTTGATTGGCCTGCAAGTTGTCGATTTCATTTTGGCCGTGGGCGCGAAAATTGAAAATCGACAAGGACAAGGGGTGGTTCGCCGTTAAAACAACAAAAGTCTCTGGGGTTTAATCAAGTTCATTGATCTTGAAGGAAATTATGTAAAATTGTTGACGTATCGAAGAAGCATGGAGCCAGACTTAGAAGCCGCCGCTAAACTCTTTACACCGCCTGTTCGGAGGCGGAAAAAGAAGAAAAGGTCCGAAAAAGAAGGTTTGTTTTTTGTTTTGAATTTTTGTTTTTATCTTTACCCCGGACACCCCGGTAGTTTATTTGCATTCCATATATGTGTATTTTATAATTTTTTGTACATTTTTATTCATTTGAAATGCGATTATGTAAATATTCATCATTTTCAAAGAAATTATAATCGGAAAAATTATCAAAATTTCGAAATTATAATCTGTATTTGATTGTTTTGTTAATATAATTATCATAATTATATTAACCTTTGCATGCATTTTTCAGAACCGGGAATTTTATCCTTGAAGCGGCAAACGCAGAGAATCAGGGAACCAAAAAACCCATTCATGTCTTCAGACGAGTCAGAGGAGCCGGTTGTCAACAACAGAGACTTGAACGAGTGGTTTACCGAAGATGAGGATGGTCCGCCTGGTCCAGTCATCAATCGTCCTAAGTCAACCGCCACCAGCAAAACGTCAAACACCTACGTGACCTGCCTGACCGAGGTGCAACAGGTTGTCGTCCAGCAAACTGAGCGGTTTGAAATTTCAGAAGACGACGACGACATAGCTGTTCTGAGCCACCAATTCCAGGATGCGGAGATCACGGACGACGAAGACGAGCCTGAGGTTACAGTGGTGGCCACCAAAGTCCTGTCGCCGGCCAACACTTCCAAGCTGCAGGAGGTCACGAGCAATGAAAAGGTGCACACTTGGCTTCGAGAGATCGTACCTGCCGGACACACGTCTCGAAAGCTTGAAATGATTCCATCTGACGCACCGTCTGAACCAGGATCTCAGGGCTCCACTGGCTACCCTATCACCCTTGCTTCTCAAAATAGGTAAATTTTGCATTATTTTTTTTTTTAATTTATGAATCAAATTTTAAATTAATTTGAAATAATTAAGAGGATAGAAAACACAATAAATCATTCTTAAATTTCAAATGTAAAGTTTATCAAATTTTGATTATTTCAATTTTTTCGTCTGTTAAAAAAAATCCTAACAGACTAGTTATGAACCTAAATTGATTGGCATTTTAATTAAATGTAACAGTTTTTAATAACTTTGTACTCTATTATTACAGGAGTTCATTTTGTGCCACATCTAGGCAAGAATCGAGCCCGGAGTCGTTGTCGCATTCTTTCTCCACTGTCCCCAAGCAGTCCTTTGGTCCAACTGTGCAAAGCCAGGCTTCCAGCACATCCCGAAGCTCTTCCTTCTACTTCAAGACTGGTCCATCCAATCGAAAACCCCAGAGTCAGAAGAAGCTGTCAAATCGCTCGACCCTGACAATCTGGAGCGACGCCAAGTCGACTCTTGAATCCATCCATCTGCACGTGGACACCTTGAATGAAGATGAGGACGAGGAGAACTCATTCTCTGCCTTTCTACCTGTAGAGAGGAATTACTCACTTCCTAAGCGAAAGTCGAGCACTTCGGCTGGATCTGACTCGCTTCCTGATACAGTACTTAAGGACTCATTTGTCTTTGCTTCTTCGAACAACTTTCGGTTACACCCTGAACCGCTAGCCAACGTGACTAACTTTAATCCTGTCCATTCCTCCACACACCGAGACTCCGACTTTCAATTTTCGAGCAATGACACATTGTACAAAGACACACTCAACCAAACCAGGCAAAAGGCAAGGAGTCTGGAAAAAGTAAATGAAGAGCAACCTGAGAGGAAACACCGCCAGAGTCAGGTCATCATCCTGTCCTCGGATGAAGAGTACAACGCTGAGTATGATGAGGATGACGTCATTTCTGAGTCGAGTGATGAGGGAATAAATCTGACCCAGCGTGAAAAGGCTCCAAAAATTATGCCAGTGGTGAGAATTCCGGACACCGACGAAGAGTCCTGCAGTCCGGAGCAACAACCCCGAAGTGATCTTGTGGTGCCTGAGACTGAAGATGAGAACGAGGCGGAAGAACCCTCTGATCAGTCAACCCATTTCGCAGAGGAGAGCCAGGAGGAGAGTTCACACGCTGTTCAGGAAGAGACCCCAAACGTCAATTCGCGACAGAGAAGGCGAAAACCTCGTGATGATTTTGATAATGAGAAGCCGTCGCCTCAAAGAGCCGTGACTAAAGTTGTGTCTCCAACTGTGTTCAGGCGGAGAGAATTATCGGAAGAGTCGGAGGATGATGAGGAACTCTTAGGCAAATGTAAGATTTATCTGAAGTTGCAATTTGAAGTTGCTTATTTTTTTTTTTTGTAGTTTTCAAAAAGCTGAAAGAAAAGACAATCCCAAAGACTCCTATTAAAGAAGTTCTGCAGGATGATTCTTTCATTGTACCTGATGATGTCGTCCACGTCGAGAGTGACTTATCGGAGAATGAGCAGGAAATCAGCATATTTGACCCATCAATTTACCGTAAATTGATTAACGAAAGAAGAAAGTAAATGCATCAAGTTTAAATCATGCACAAATTTTAAATAAATGCTTTAATTTCAGAGCCGACACAGGAATAGATGTGTCAATAAAAGAGGCAAATTGGAATGTTGTGCGAAAGCAATTCACCCAAACGCCTACAAATGAAGGTAGTAAATTGAAATGAAATACTATAATTTAATTACATATAATTAATTTCACAGGGAGAAAGAAAAACTTTGCTACACCAGGAAAAATTTCTCATAAGGAAAAGCAAGAGCCAGTTAAACGGACTCTCAGCTTTTTGGCATCACTTTCATGTAAATATTCAGTGCTAAAAATACTACATAAAATACTCCATAATATTTCAACTTGACTTTTCTGAAAATTTTTATTCTAATTATATTTTAAAATTTGTACTAAACTTATATTCTAGGCGTTGATAAGACGTCTTGCCACCCTGATGCCTTGCCGTACCTAAAAAATTTCAAGTCGACTAAAGATGATCTCGTAGACACTCTTTTTGCCCTTTTCAACAAAACCGTTTTTGACAAAAAGGTAGGTCAAAATGTAATGAATAAATAAAATAATTAACAAATAATTCAATTTTTAGCTGGACCCCAACATGTCCATAACATGGAACAACAGGTTGAGAAGCACAGCAGGCTACTGTTACAATCAAAGAAAGAAGGTTGATAACGGCACAACACGTATTTCAAGAATTGAACTCTCTGGAAAGGTGCGAATTAAAAAGCCATCTTTTCAATTTTTTACTCAACAACCTATTAAAATATTTTCAGATACTGCAAAATCCTGGCCAGTTGAGAGACACTTTGGTTCATGAAATGTGTCACGCCGCCACATGGGTGATTGACGATACCCTCGGAGGGCATGGTCCTGTGTGGAAAAAGTGGACAAGAAGGGCAATGAGGGTGCACCCTGAACTGCCAGAAATCAAACGGTGCCATGGCTACACCGTGGAGACCACTTACACATACAAATGCACTGTTTGCTACTACAGGTAAAAATATTTATATTCATATTATAAGCAACCTTTTTGATAAAAAAAATTGTTTAGCTTTGGAAGATTTTCCAAGTCTCTGGACCTTGAGCGGAAGGTGTGTGGAATGTGCAGGGGAAAGTTTGAGTTGATAGTGAACAATGCCAAAGGGAAAAGCGGAACCCCGCGACCACTAAACAAGTTTGCTTGTTTCGTGAAGGAAAACTATAGTGTTGTGAAGCAGCAGAACATGAAGCACAAAGATGTGATGCAGCAGCTTGGCAAAATGTTCAAAGAGACCAAACTGCAGTCGAACAACGCCTCTGAAGACAAAGACTAAAACGCGCTTAGGTTCAAGAGCACAAGTGATAGTTGAGAAATTATAGCCAGAATATTTTTCTGATAAATTTGGGAAAATAAATTTTAAAAATTAAAAATTACAGGAAAAATGGCACGTTGAGTGCAATTACTCCAAATGAATTCAAGGCGTCATTTTTTCCTGGAGAATATTGTTCCAAGCTCAATGCCAAGAGCATGACAAAATGTAATAATTTTAAAATATTTTGTGGATTCAGAGTATTTTTTTTATTATACATGGATAGGATTTTAAAATTTTTCTGTTAATGAAACAAAAATTTCAAAAGATGATTTGATGTGGGGAAAAAATTATAAAAATGATCTGATGCCTTACATGCAAGCTCAATGGGGGTTATGGCAAGTAAGACTAAAAGAAATCAAATTCAAAGTATGTAGTTGGATTTGTGAAGTTTTTATTTTTTTATTTTTAAATTTTCTCAGAATGAGAATTTAAAACTCAAAGAAACCACTCAAAACGGAAAATTAATTATTAAATTATTAGTTTTGACTAATCGCCCTGACGTGGAATTACTTTCCGAGACGCGAGATATTTGAGACAAAGCCCGTGAAAAAAGTAAGAAAATTCCTGTTGTGTGATAATAAAAAATACTAATTGAGGGCGAAAATTTCCCAAAATTAATATTTTTTAAAACCACCCAAATCTGTCCGTATACGTTTCACAAGAAGTACTAATTTAATTTTCTCAGGATGCCTGATTTGTTAAAATAAGAAACATGTATGCGCATGTATGTAGAGGAAAAATGTAATATTTTTTTAATTGATATTCCTAAATTCTAAGAAAGGGGCCAGATCAGTATTGCAAAGTATGATTAATTTGAATTAATTTTTTTCAGATATCATTATTCATGATTAAAAATTAAGCGCCTCATCTGACACAAGAACTATGTTCTTGAGAATCGGTGTACTAAATTTTATAAAATTTATAAACAATAATTATAATCATTTAATGAACCTGCTTTGTGTGAAGTTAAAACTTTTAACTTTAAGTTTACCAAAAATTTCCGCAAGCTCAAAAATAGCATTTTTAATGTCCCAAAAAGATAAACAAAGTGCTGTTTTAGCTCTTGTTTTGCTTCACATGTGCGCGAAATGAATAGATGTGCGGAAAACAAGGTCGTTAACTCTCGCGAAGAGAATTTCGCGAAGGCGTTTAAAAGACTTGTTGTGTCTAAGTACCCTCAGCTTCCTTTGACGGACAGAAAAGGAAAACAAAGTATAAATAAAAGTACCAGCCACTGTAATATTTTCAATAAATTAAAATGGTAAAAAAAAAATTATGATATTTATAAAAAAGAAAATACCCGCTTTTGTGTAAATATTTTTATTTCATAAAAAGATTTTATCTTAATCAAAAATTATCTTATGCGCATGCGAATTGATACGAGATAAAGACGAACGAGCGCGTTTAAAAAATTGGACAATTGACAATAATTAGCGGTTCCCCCTCCTGCGATCGAGAGAAAAATTTATAGGCTTGGGCTTTGGGCTGTCCAGCCCCACCATATTCTGAGAGCGCGATGCGGCGGCGGCGGCGACTGGCCCAAGGAGGAAAGAGTGACTCTCCCAGTCATCAGTGTTCACTTTGCGTCGTGTCAGTCAAAATGTTTGGCGAATGAACGTGCCAGTTTGGCGTTCTTAACTCAAAACACGCACTTTTTAGTTCGGTGGAGTGCAGTTTTTTTAGTGAGTGTCGGAAGCGTAAGATTCTTTTCTGCGATGGACACAATGTCAGTGTCGCGAGGCAGTCCAGCACCTTTATCTTATCGCGTGGTAAGTGTGTGAATTTTTTGCTAGAGCACAAAAAAAAAATAAATACTTCGTGATTCGTGAGCCGAGTTGGAGTTCCGCTTCACGCAGTTTTTATACTCGAACAAACAAAGTGTTTCATTCATTTAACTTACTTAAGTGAAGGGAGAGTTTAAAAAATCAAATCGAGAATAAAAAAATTATTTCTTTTCTATACGCGTCTCTATTTTCTATGTCGTTGTGTACACAAGGTTGATAAGGCGCTCAGCACAATCGGCGTTTTTTTATTTGAGGGACGAAACAGGAACTCGATTGAAATTTCTCTCGTTTACTTAGGCTTTTGATAAAATCAATTGTCGAGCGCCAACAATGATGAAGCGCGCGTGTGAGTGCCATTATAACCTTGATACATATGTATTTGAGCACGCCTGTACATACTTGGGCGCACAATAATAAAATTCCCGATATGTCGCCGCTCATCGTTCCGAGGTTCGGCGCATTGCTGGTGAAAATTTAAGATAATATTCATAGGAACGGCCGAGGTCGATTTTCTTGCTCCAGGATCCGAGAACGTGATCGTTTCTAATTAACGCGCAAACTGCGCTTACGTGCGTTCAATAAACATGCTCTTGCGAGGACGAGAGAGAAAGAAGAAAGTGTTCTCGGCGTGCGTTATAATGGAAAGGCGAGAAATTCGACGGAATTTGCATGATTTTCTGCTTTCTCAAATTAAAAATTTTTCACGATCGAAAATGCATTAAATAATCAATCGGATTATTAATAAAACCTAAAATTTAGAAAATTACGGCAGCGATTAGAGAAAAATTTTCTCATAATCAGCAAAAGTGGACTAATCGTTACTAACAAGAGAGCCTCAATAAAAAATAATTAGATTTTTCAGTGTTTAGATTTAATTCAAATAATGGAAAATTGGCATCGGAATTTCATAAGAAATATCTGCAAAATAATTTAATGGTACAATCATGACAGTTTAATTTACATTGAAAGCTAAATAATAATTGATGTGGATTTCATGAAACAGCTGTCCTGACCAGTAGTGCGGCAGATTATTGTGAATTTTCTCAAAAAATGTTTGTGTTTATTGAGCAGAAAATTTCTGGCAAAAATCACAGTATGAAGCTGTTCAGACGAAGTTGCTTAATTTATTAATCTGCATTTTTATGCTCAGAATTTTGTCGTCTTTTTTATTTTTTCAGCTATGTTTCAATCTTTCAGTTTAATTTACTTTGGAGTAATCCTTGAAGTAATGAAGCCATAAGACATTGAACTTTTTGCTTCTGCTTTTTTCCAGATTTTATCATACAAGCCGGAATGAATTTTAAACTGGACCGTGAGAGTTTTCTTTCTTTACATTATATTTAATTAGTGTAAGCCGCTGGCAGGCAGATGCACTTAAAAGTGACGAATCCTTGCAAATTTTGCCGAGTTTCTCCTGCTCCCCGTGTCAGGTGCAAAAGGGTGAGTGTATGCAACCTGTCGGGCATCTGCAGCGCTTCCCCCCGCCGAGCCGACCGTGCATTAGTCACCTTTGTGGCGCGTGATTAATTCCACAAGCAAAAAACCAAGAGCAATGAGTGTCTCGCTCACTTCTGGTATGATTTCAGATCCCGGGGCGGTCATCCGGCGCGTTATTCATCTCGCTTGTCCCATTCATGATTATATTTTGTTAACAACAAATTCCATCACTGGAAGGAAAGTGAGAGAAAGTCGAAGGAGGATATCCACTTTGTCGCTAATTTTATTTTTCTTCTCTAATTGTCCCGCCGCGGTGCGGTTTGGTATTATTTGTTTGCGTTCGGCGGCGAAATTTGTTTTAAAGAAACTCCGAGTTGCTTTCGTGGCCGCGCGCGGATAGGCAAGATCCCGTGTGCACGTAATGGAGCTTACGTCAACGCAAAGCCCTCGAAATAACAGTAAAATCCATCTCTCGCTCGCCGCTTCATTGGCATCATTCCATTATTTTCTCTCCCGACTTTTTATCTGCTGGAAACGGGACGAGCGCTTCGTTCCCGCCGCCGCGCCGTGATAATATAAAGCTTTGATAAAAAAGGTTTACGACGCGAGGGAAAGCCGAAAAATTATGACCTTCGTCTCGACAAATGACATACGTTTATTGATTCTGCTCGGCATGCTTACCACTTGCTGGTGCGTGATGTGTGATGTCAAATGTTGACACAACACAAATGTATATAATGCGCGCTATTTATTTGACTGCATTTTATTTTCCAATTTTAATTTGAGAATTAAATTGAAAATTGAAATATTTTGATAAGTTATTTTACAATCTAATGTTGATTGAAATTGCAGTTTTATTCATCTATATTTTCTTCTAATTCAGCATGCACGGTGTGTGAAATGACTCAATTACGAAGCAAATTCGTTCTAACCACATTCTCGCCGAAAGTAAATTTGCTCAGAAGGTCACCGACCTCCAGCTGTTGTCTCTCACGCGCGGGTGATATTTTTTAGTCTCTCTTATTATAATGGCAAAGGTTTGCGGCGGCGCGACTCGAGTAGTGTATCCTATTCAGGGGCAAAACAATTGCAACAGTGTCTTGCGGTATTTGTGTGAGGAATTATTGCCCTATTCCCTGGCTGCCTCGTTACGGAAAGCTGCAATAAAAACAAACCCGAGAACTCGACGAAAATAACATTGCCGGCCTCTCGCAGCAAACATTGTAACGCGAGTGATACCTGCTGAATGGACTAATTTTTGTTTGGCCGACTGCACTCTCTAGTTAAAACTGACACTCTTGGAATGAGCCGATGTTGCATGATATGAGTGAGGATTAAACTTACAGAGGCGGAAAAAATGCTACAAAAAAATACATTCACGGAGTTGTTAGGCAAAGTGCTGCTGGTCGTCGAGCAGCAAAAAGAATGCTCCAATTAACAAAACCTTTATTTGGATGAAGAATTTTTTTCTTTCAAAATTAATGATGTAGCTATTAAAATAAGATATTTAGCTGTTCAACAGATAATAAATTAACTGAATTACAAAATTAAAATATTAAGCCTCTCTCAATGTTAATATAAATTATAAAAAATGAAAAATATTAATTTATTGCATAAACTGAAAAAAAATATTGTTTAATTTGTTAATTGGATAAATGTATGTAATGCTTTTTTTAATTTTTCTAATTATTCTGCTAAAAATTTAGTAAAAATAACGATTTGATTGCAGCTTTTATATGAACGAATGAATAACAGACAGAATTTAAAAACTAAAAATCTACCTCCAAACTCCTGATTTTGCAATTGAACTTTGATTATCAATTATTTTTACTTACAAAAACTATCCTTAAAAATTCAAAAATTAATTGTGTTCTCAAAAATCATGCAAAAATATCCAATTATATAAAATAATTGAACTTTTTGCTCACGTCAGCAAAATCTTGTCTTGATAATCAACAAGCAAATATATTTTCTTCTATTGACCACTTTAATTAATTAATTGCGACAATTCTCTTGTGCTTTCAGGATGTGTAAGGGTCGGTCGGAGCGATGCAGGTGGCGAGGCATTCCCACGACAGCGGCAGCAGTTCGCCCCTGGAGCGACTGTCGCCGCGCAAGCAGGCGAGTTTTAGGGTGCGCGGCGGCCCGTCGAGTCGGCGCCGCAACTCGCGTGCCCTCCGCGCCACGACCGTCTCCGCCCTCACCTCAAAGTTCAACAATCTGTCGGCCGAGGCAGCCAAAGGCAAGGACGAGGCCAAGGGCGGCCGCCCCGTCACCGGCCACCCCCACCGACTGAACTCGCCGAGCAAACGCAAACCCCCGCCCGCGACCACCAATACGGCTGCGCCCAATTTGAATGACGACCTGCGACTTTGTCACGGCACCGTCAAACACACCATCAAGCTATTTGAGAAGATCGAAACTCACAAAAGCGCAGTAAGCAAAAAATTCGTACACCCCAAAATACATTTAATTTTGTTTCCCGAAAAGATTTAAAAATTTGAAAGCCCATTAATTTAATGCAATGTTTAATTATATCTTGATTTACTTGTTTCTTTTGAAGAAAAATCGATTACAAAATTTATGAAAATCATTATTGTATTTATTTATTTAATTTCTTTATTCTCCATTCAGTTAAATCGTATTTCATCAAAATCAAATTGAAAACAAAATTGAAAATACACTGTTATTTTTTTAGTTAATATTCCAAAATGATTGCTTTTGAAACTTTCTTACAATTAGACTGGCCTTTTCATTGGTGCTATTAAAATGCATTGAAAGAACAAATAATAGATAGAAAACCAAGAATGTTCCTAACCGCATTAAGATCGAAAAAATTCAGCTTGTGCTCCACATCATGAGCACTTTTCTGCCTGGTCGGACGAGAAAATGAGATGGTGTATATATTTGAAACAAGAATTTCAAGGCACGACGAGCGTGTCTTCTCTGCAGTTTTACTTATTGGGCCATGAAGGGGAACAAATAGATTATTATTGAGGCGGCCGGCCGGACCTCGCTTACTTATTTCAATTGCGCGTTTCCCCGCGCCGTCGTTACTAACAACAAACTTTCGCCTAAAATCGTTAGCTGGCATGCAAACCCCTTCACCGAAGAACGCTCCACTAAATCGCGAAATTTTCATTCGCAGGTGCCAAAAGAACAAGTCGCTGCCAACGATGCCGAGCAACAACAAAAGTTGCAAGAAGCGCCTTCGACACCGCCGTCGATCCCAAAGCCCAAAGTGATGCTCAAGCCGACCGCCTCGTTCATCAGTCGCAAAGTGTCCGAACTGAAGTTTTCCGGCCGAAAGACCAACCAGGTCCAGCCGATGCCACAACAAGTGCCACAAAAAACTGCCCTCTTCAAGCTCAGCAAACCGCAGGACGAGAAACGTACAAAAAAGGAAGAGGAGAATATAAAGATTATAAGTGCCGAAAAAGTGCCAAACATGAAAAACCGCTCCTACATCCATTCCTTTGATACAGGTAAATTTACCAAATTTACTATATTTATTAATTGTGGAAAAATATTTTTCGATAAAAGTATTTAATTAGTATTTAATAAAATATACACAATAATTATTTATGCCTAAGTTTAAAAAGGATTAAAAAGGAAATGTTCATTTTGGATGATATTTAAATGAGGAAATAAATTTTCGATTTTCTAATAATGAATTTTGTGTTCATATAAAAATTTTAATTCTTGTTTCTAAACAACTAAAGCTGAATTTTGTTAAATATCCCATTTTTATTATTCTAATTTCAGAGAATCTCAGCTCTAGAGTGGAGCCGTTGTTGCCAAGCATCAGCGAGACAAGCGTCGGCACCGAATTTTTCGAATGTGATAATGCGCCGTCGCCTCCGATGAGCAACGACATTTCTCTGGTCGACGAAGTGTTGAAGGAATTGGAAAGCAACAAGCTCATCGCTGAATGCAAAGTGCAGCTGGACGAGCTGACTGCGGCGGCGGCCAAGGCGCAGCCCAATGTGTCATTCCTCTTCAGCAGCTCTGCCATACAGCAAGCCAAACAGGTTCGAGAGATTCTATTGAATTTTTCTCCTGCATTCAAAAATCGACACACAAATAAGAAAAGAAAAGAGAGATCGGGTATTGTCACATTCAATGAAGCTATTTTCTGTAGTTAAAATCTAAACCAGTAATTAGTTGATTGGATTAAAGAAGGAAAAAAATAACACATTTAAGTGGAGACTTCGTAAAAGAAAAAAAAATCAAAAAGAAATGATTGTTCAGCAATTTATCATTTGAAATTTATACATTTATTTCTTTTCTTTAAAACAAATAAAAATTCATAAATTTAATTTGACACTAAGTAATTATGATATTTTCCCTCTATTGATTTGCATTAATTATTATAAAATCTTTTTATTAATATTTTAATTCAATTGATTCAGGAGCCCCTTCCAGAGACTGATGAGAATCAATTGATATGGAACCCAGAGGACTATGACGATGTTTACGCGTCATCCACTTTGAGGCCCACAAGCAAAGTGGTTGGGCCTGGTGAAGAGGTCTACGACTACCCCCTGCCAAAGAACAGCCTAGACGAGTACACATATGACGACTGCGGCCCTTCGGAGGGAATTTACGAAGACACCGCCACCGTTTACGAGTCCATTGGCTCGTGCGCCCCCAGCTATTTTGAGAAAAACAGTTTGTACGGCGGCATCGAGATGCTCAGGGCGCTGCCCCAGGCCAACTTTTTGAGCAGCTCCTCCTCAAGAAGCCCCTCTCTCAGCTCCAGAGCTGAAAGTATGAAATTTCATTTTTGAAGACTTTTCAATTATAATTCATTTTTCTATAGTTAACTGTGATGGAGGCAGATCTGAAAGCGAAAGACAAAGTGAAACTGGCAGCGACGAGTGGATGGATTTGGAGATTTCAGAGCCAGAAGAAAAACCATCTAGGTTGGAGTTGCCACCAATTCCAACAATGTGAGAAAAGTTTTCATTTAAATTCTCTTAAAAAATAATTAAAATTTTCGTAAACGAATCAACTATTATTTTAAGAATTTAATATTTTGATCTGTTAATTAATCAATTTTATTCTGTTAATCTTTGTGCAGCGTTTAAATTTAAAATAACATATAAAATTTACAGGAGAACTAATTTCATCTGCATTATTGAAGTAAATTTGAAATTTTCAATATAATTATTTTGCATAAATTTAATTTAATGTTTTTAATTGGGCTTATATTTTTATTTAAATTTTGAAAAACGATTTTTTAAATTTAAATTGTTTTGTTCCAGTCACAAAGAGAAAACAAAGAACAGGCGGAGTCCCAGTTGGTCCCTCAAAGTTCGCCAGCAGTGGACGCACTCGCTGAAGAGGAGACCCCTCAATTACAGTAAGTGAAAATTATTTATTTCTTCCTCTCAATACCTCCATTATGTTGTACATTGTTGTACATTTAAATAATTTTATGCTTCACTTGCTTGAAAGAAAACAATTTCACAATCTGCTATTTATATACAAGTCGCTGTTAGCATAAATATCAACAGGATTAATTTACAATTGGAGAGGTTCTTTGCGAATTGTAAAAGTATCCGGCGGCGCCTAATACGCTTTCTTGCCCAAACACAAAGAGAAAACTCGGGTTTACAAAAGCAAGTAAAGAGAAGAGATTTTCCTGTTTGAATAGAAGTTTTAATTTCAAGCTTAAACTGTTTATAAAAAATTTTGTCTCTAAACTCGTCAGTAATAAAAATGCAAGAATCTGCGAAAAGAGAGCCCAGCCCTAGTTTCACAACAATTCGACCTTGGAAATCACGAATTTGCCAACTTCGGCGCGAAAAAATACGCGCAAACCCTTTTTAAAGCTCGGGCGGCCACGTTCATTCAAAACAGCCGGCGTTTAATGGCAAAGTGGATGGTTTTATCGCTAAAAGCATCGTCAGGTGCTCGCTCGGAAATGAATGTAGTGGAGTTTCCTCCTCCACAGGGAATGACCCACATAAGCAAGCACTTGAGTCAGTCGACTTTCAGCTCGCGAGCCAGCGACGTCAAGGTTGTAGCAGCAGTGCGGTGAAAGTTTTTCAAACGCGCCGAGAGCTGCTGCGATTGTTGCGTTTCGTGCGCGGCCGAAAAATGGAAGAGGCAGTCGTCGGCCGACAACTCGTGTTCCGATCGAACGGGTGAAAATTCGGGCCGAAATGCGGCACGTCAGCGTCAACAATCTGCTGGCGCGCAAGGTGTCGTCCGCCTCGTCGTCGTCGGGCAGCACCGCCTACAGACGGCCTCGGCCCACGGTCGTCGACAAAGGTTTCGTAATCTAAAAGCTTTCCTCAAGTCTAAAGTTGGGTCCCTTTTGGCTTCCATTTCCATTTTTATGCTTCTCTAAATTAAAAGTTCTAGAATTTTTTTGAAAATTTGCAAGCAAGTTTCACATAATTATGTAAAATTTTGAGCAACTTTTTGCAGACGAAAACAATGCGTAAAAAATGAACTTTCACTGGGGTAATCACTAGTGGTCTTGAATTAATGCGGTTTTGGTGGAAAACAAAGCGAACGTGTGTGGGCGTATTAAAAAATCTCCCTATCATTACCGACGAGACCACATTTTGGCGCTCGCGGCGCGATGAGACGAAAGGTGCGGCATTCGAGATCGTGCGGTTTTGTAGCAAATGATTGCTGTGTGGCGGTTTCTTTTTAATTGCACGGCATTGCAGTAATTAAAAGATCGGTTTCGTGGGACAAATCGTGTGAAGACGCCTGATTTTCGGCTCACACAATTAATTTCACGTGCGACCGCGTTAAATTGCTAATCACGAGAGACTTTCTTAAGTCGTTATTATTATACGAGCTTTGTTTTCCACTAATTCAGAGCAAATAACAAAACAGTTGAGTAATGAAATGTAAAAAATAAATATTTCAATTATCAATTAAATGATTAAAGCTTTAAAAAATATTTTTTTATAAGTATTTCAATTTAACGAGGGAAATAATTTGTTAAGAAAAAATTGAGGAAGCAATAAAAATCTGAATTGGTCACGAAGGACACCAACTTTAGCATTTTTATTGAGGAACAGAGATATTAAAAGCAGCGGTATGAAATTTTAGTCTTCATTAACACACGCACTTCGATCCTTTGTCTGGTGGGCCCTGATGAGCCGGTGGAGGAAAAACCACGGCGACCGGCGAGAAAAAGGCCACCGATGGTGACCATGAGGGTTCGATTGCTCGATGAACACCGAGAAACGCAGGAAATCTCAGCGTTTTTCAAAGAAGGTACCAAAACACGGGAAAAGAGCCTCTCTCATAAAAGCTTAGCTTGATTAATTTAATTGGGATCTTCCCATGGCGCGCTTGGGAACGCATTCCTTATGCAAGTCGCGGAAACACGTTCAGGTTTCAGCTCACACTTGACGGCGCTTCCTGAAGAGCCAGCGAGAGATATCTCTCGAGTTGCATTTCCCTCTCTCGAGTTGCATAAAAAGTCTCTTTGCAACTCGGTTCACGAGGAAAATAATAATGCTTTTGGCGAGCAAAATAATACAAAAAGGGAGACGAAGGGGAATTCCTCTGTCGGTGGTGATTAATTGAAGCCCCACATTCTCCTTTGCAGCTTTGCAAGTAACTTTTTCGCCCCAACCCTCACTCGGTACATTGAGATTATAGTGAGCGTATTGCTTGCTTAATTCTAAAATCAATTGTTTTGCAGAGAGTATTAATTTGCTTGGAAAAATTGTTTGTTAGGAATTGAAGTGGAATAATGACTTTAGCGCAATACGTGGAATAACAAAGATGAAATTTCGAATTTTGAATTAAATAAAAAAAAAAATCAGTCTGCTATAGAATTGAAATCCTCTACAACCCCCGAACGCCTGGTTGTATTTAAGTTATGCAACTCGCTTTACACATGTGTTAAGCTGGGTGCATTTCTTTAAAATTCACTCTCAATATCGCTTGGTGGTATTTTAATTTAATATTTAGGTTCTTTCAACTTTTAATTGATGACTTTCTTGACGTTATAATATTTATTTTAATTTAAAAAAATTATTCCTTTTTGCCAGGCAATTCAAACAGTGCAAGTGATGACAACCACTATGAGTCCCTGTATGAAATGCTTCCTGGAGACAGGACGGGCAGGTCACCCTTGGCCGTTCCAACCTCTCCGCCACCTCCACCGCCTATTGATGAAACGTACGACAGTGACATCACCGATTCCAGTTTTGATTCCGATTCAGACACTGAGTTTGAAACTGTCACTCTGCGGGTAAGCTGCAAGATTTCATTTTTTTTTTTTAGTTTTACTTCATTTCTGCTTTCAGCGTAATGAGGTGCTGCTGCCTGAATTGCCACCACCGCCAGCCAGTCAAACAGGTGGCATGACCAAATTCGCGGAGGCCGCCTCCAAAAAGATGAAAGACTTCAAAAAGACGTGGAAAAGGGGGATAGGAGATAAATTGAGGAGGCTCAGCACGCCAAATCCGGTCGCGATTTTTGAAGCTCAAAATGCAGTCATGAAAGAACAAGGTTTGAAATTTTTGCGTAAAAATTGTATTTTTTTAAAAATTTAAAAAAAAATAGCTCAAAACAATCAGCCGACAAACAGCGCCACAACGCCAACCAAAGAGCCGTCGAAAAAGTATTGGACGTTTAGGAAAAACAGCAAGGCAAGTCGGTCTCCGAATCTCTCCACGCAAAAGAGCACAGATTCAGCAAGTAGTATTTTCTACGTCGGAACAGACGATCTTGAAATCGGCGAGAAAGATGATTACATGAGGTAATAATACACAAATCAATGAAAAATTATTTTGACATTTTGATTTTCAGGCATTCCGTGACTGAAGCCGCTTTGTTTAGTGGCCCGTCGAGTAGTTCGGCAAGTCTGGAGAGTGAAAATGTACCGCGCCGGCACAGCAGCAGCGTTATTCGGCCCAAAACGCCACCCCCGCCGCCTCCAACAGACGCCGCCAGGAACGGCAAATCCATGGAGTGGTACGCAGAAATCGAATTATCTAGTCTTCAACACCATCAAAACACCAGTCTCTCAGAAATCGGTAAGTGGATTTTTTTGATGGCATGGCATGCGCCTATATTTATGAGAGATGAGATAATATAATGGCTGCCCGCATGGCGGTGACATAACTTGCTACTTGTGTCACACACAACCTTCTGGTGTTGCCAAATACGGGCGGTGATTTTATATTTAATGAGGCCAATGAAGCATAAAAAATTTAAAATTTTTCTTTAATAAACCACTTTCGTTTTATATTTAAAAAACACAACATGTATAAACAGTATAATCATCAGTTAATCTTAGTATATTTCTTATTATTGCTATTTTTTCCATTGAATTTTAAAGAGTGTAAAATAAATTTAAATTTTATTATTTATAAATTCTTGCATTTTTATCAAAAATAATAAATTTAAATAAATTTTTTGTTCTCAAAGTAACAAATTTTATTTATTTTTCAAATATAAATAAATAGTATATTTTTTATAAAATTTTTTTAAATTACAAAGTTTAATGTAATTTTTTAAGTAATTTTTTTACTTTCATTTGATATTTAAAACCGGATTATCTATTATAACATTTTGTATTTTCATGTTTTTCATTTAAAAAAATTTTGCAACATTTTAGATACCCAAAGTCAACGAACTGAATCAAGCGATGACGTCGCCAGCAACAACAATGGCTCTGAGGCGAGTTTCACTCCAGCCTGCTTTGAGGACGAACCGCTGTACCAATTTTACGCAGAATCGGTATTGCAGGTGAGAAACGACATTAAAACTTTTCGCTTGAGCCAAAAATAAATTTCATAATTTTACAGCAAGCTCAACGGGAGCTGAACGAGGAGTCTGATTCGGACGGTTATGAAGAGATTGGCGAGAAAATGATTTCAAGGCCGAGCGCGATGGAGCTCATCAAGCCGCAATCGCCGTCGGGTCAGAGGTCGCTGTGGTGCGAAATCCCTGATGTCATCAACAGCGGCGTGCTCGGTGCGTTGAACCAACAATCGCCTCTTTTGCAATTGTTTGTATGTTATTGAACGTCGCACTTTTTTTTCCAGACCGGCTAAATCAACAACAACGGAAGCTGCAGGAGGCCAAGTTTGAAATCATCACGTCCGAAGCGTCATACATCAAGTCACTGAACGTTTTGGTCATGCACTTTGTACTTTGCCCAGAACTTCAGGACGAGCTTGTTCTTTCCAAGACTGATAGGGATATTCTTTTCTCAGGCATTCGGCCAGGTGAAGAATTAATAAAATTTTTATTTAATATTTAATAAATGATTGATTTTCAGTAAAATCCTGTTCAGAGCGATTTTTGGCCGATTTGGAGAAATGCTGGCAAGAGAGCATTCTCCTTACAAACATTTGCAATGTGATGGAGAGGCACGCGGCCAAAAACCTGAACGTTTACATCAAATATTGCTCACAACAAATTTACCTTGACCGAACTTTGAAACATCTGAGGTAATAAAAGAAACGGATTTTTTTACCTTTTAAGTAATTTGATGAGTTATTAAAAATTATAATGTTTTTAAGTTATTTTCATTTTTTTTTTTTTATTAAAATCGTCTTCTCAGGCAAACCAACTCGGCTTTTTCGGATGTGCTAACCCGCCTTGAAAGTGACCCTGAATGCCAGGCGCTGTCCCTCCATTCCTTCCTCATGCTGCCCATGCAAAGGGTCACGCGGCTGCCTCTTTTGTTTGACGCCGTGCTTCGCAGACTGAACGCCAACACTGACGAGTACAACTCGTGCAAGAACGCCCTGATGATGGTCAATAAGGTATTGCTTAATTCGATTTTCACCCTGAATCAATTTCAACTGACGTGAATTGTCAACAGTTGGTGCAAGACTGCAATGAGGAGGCGCGGAAGATGGAGCGAATGAAGGACATGATCGAGTTGTCACGGCAGCTCGAGTTCAAGAGCGACATGCGCGCCATTCCTTTGATTTCCACCTCAAGGTGGCTCGTCAGGTCAGGCGAAATGACGCAGCTGCTCATGAAGGACGAGGCCAAACTCACCTTTGGAAGGAAATTCGCCAAACAAACCGTTTTCGTCTTCCTTTTCACGGACTATGTTATAGTGGCAAAACGAAAAGGGTATTTATAAAAATTAGGTTTTGTTTCAAAAATACTAAAAAAGAAAAAAACATTTCAGAGAGGAGGGCTATCAAGTGTTGGACTACTGTGCCAGAAACATGGTGGAGGTTGTGAACCCTGAGGACTACGCAGAGGGGACTATCAGTCTGCCGTGGAGGATCAGTGATATGTCGTCCAAGAACATGCTATTGCTGACCCTTTTACAAAACCATGAGAAGAAAATGAATGAAATGGTAAAAAAATAAATCTTCAAACTTATTTTTATTTTAAAAAAATAAATAAATTTTTTCATCGTAGGTGTTGTCTTGTCAACTGGAGTCTGACAAGCAGAGGTGGCTGGCCGCCTTCACCACTCCTCAAACTTCTCAGGAAAACCCCGAAGAAAGGGTGTACGAGTCGTGGGACTGCCCTCAGGTGCAAGCCATCCACGCCTACGTCGCTCAGCAGCCAGACGAGCTCTCGTTGGAGGTTGCCGATGTGGTCAACGTCCTCAGAAAACTCCCCGATGGTGAGACTTTTCTTTATGGAAATATTTTAAAATTTGAAATTCTTTCCTCTCAGGTTGGTATCAGGGAGAGCGAATCAGAGACGGCGAGTGCGGCTGGTTCCCAGAAAACTACTGCAAGGAAATCCTTTCGAGTCACGTTCGGGCACGCAACCTGAGGCAAAGGTACCGCTTGTTGGCCCTGACCAGCGAGTTCATTGACGGCCAGAGGAAGGCGCGCCTCGGCACCCCCAACAACTCCAAAATCAAACTCACCTCGAGCGAGAAGCTTGAGATCCTTTAACTGAATTTAAATTGCTAATTTAAAAAACAAAGAACACAAGCGCTGTACATTTCCTTCACTTTTGTATATTTATAAAAATGTATTTTCTTCTCGTCAACACATTTTGCTAAACGGATTAAATTTAATGAGAACAAAAATGATTGCCATTGTAATTGTTAATTTACGTTAACCATCGTTTTGTGCAGACTCTGCTCTGCCTCAAACGAAACAAAGTTTCAAGCTGAAAGTTATTTATATTGAAATAAAATTGTGATCTTACACAAGATAATTTTTGAAATCTGAAGTTTTATTTTCTGCTCTGCATATGAAATGCAAAAATTATTTATTTATCAATGAAAATTGAAAATAACTTCCTTATTTTCTAGATGATGCACATTTATTTGCATTTTTCCGATTAATGTGCAAGAACCATGCACAATGGGGCACAAAAGGTCAAGAATAACAACTAGAGATAGTGCAGTTTTCCGCACAGCAAAACGCATAAGAAGACGCATCCGCCTTTCAAAGCACTTTCGCTCTTCGACGGTCCCTGATCTCCACATCCGATGGCGCACCGAATTCCCAAAACACTTTTATACGCGGTTCCTGCACCGCGGCAAAATTTTTCGTGCGCCCTTTCGTCTACCCTGGCAACAACGACCGACGCAGATTTCATCAAGGACCACGCGAAACCATTCTCCAGCATTCCTCAGCCACCAAAAATTCCACTTTTTGGACACACGCTTCTCTACCATGCCCTCGGTGAGTGTCAAAACAGTACCAATTTTTTTATATTATTTAAAAAAAACTTTACTTTTTATTGAAAGATTTGAAAGTGGAAAGTTTACTTAAATCAATCAAAAAATTGATATTTAACGAAATACCAATTATAAAAATATTATGGTAAATTAGCCGCAATTAATAAAAAATAAAACTAAAATAAATTTTATTTGTCCAACAGGACCGTACAAAATTGAAAAGTATCATGAAGCCTTACGAGATTTATACAAAAAGTACGGCCCAGTTGTGCGCCAGCAACTGCAAGGAGGCGCTCAGGGCGAGGTGGTGCACGTGTTTGAACTGGAGGACATAGCAAAGGTCATGGCTGCTGGTGGAGCAGCTCCTGTGGTGCCCCCAATTCAGGAAGGTTCACGACTTTACCGATTGATGAGAGGGCACGCCGTTGGACTTGGAAACATGTAGTTTCTATTTTTTTTTTTATAAATAATGTTAAAATGATGGAAATATTAATGGAATAATAATAATTAATTTAATAACTGCTACATTAATTTTGAATCAAACAATTTTTTAATTTATAGTAAAAAAGACGATTGATTAAAATTTTTGAAATTTTTAAAATTTCATTATATTTTTCCAATTCAAATAATTTTTTTCAGGAATGGTGAACAATGGAAGACTCTGAGAAAAGCGTCTCAACAGCAACTTTTGAAGCCCAATCACATAAATCAATTTTTACCGAGCGTGGAAAAAGTTTCGCAAATTCTCATTGATGAGTTGAGAGCACGAAGAGATAAAGACGGCGCCGTTGAAAACTTCTACACCTTGATCGCCAAGTGGTATTTGGAGAGTGAGTTTGAAAGAAAATCCTTTGACCGATTTCTTTTTTCAAATATTTGCATTCTGAAACTTTGAATAGTCTCTGGAGCGATTATGTTTGAAAAACCACTGGGCGCCTTGAACGGCAACTTGAGAGAGCAAGACGAGGCGCGCGAATGGGTCCAGGCCAACATTGACATTTTCAGACTCAATTCAAAATTGAAAGTGGCGTCGCCGCTTTTCAAAGTTTTCCCCATCAAGCCATGGCGCCAGTTAGTCCGCGCTGAAGAGAAATTCCACCAGTATATTTAAATTATAGTCGATTTTTTAAAACCAATTTTGCAACTTACGAATAAATTTGCGCAGTTTTGTCGAAAAATACCTGGTTGATGCATTGGGCAAAATAGAACAATTGGCGAATGCCGGAGGACTTGATGGAAAGTTTAACTTTTTGACGACGATGCTGTCGAAAGAACAGATTTCCCGGAAGGACATGGTCTTTTTCATCCATTCTATGTTTTCAGAGGGACTTGCTACGGTAGACAGAAATTTTGCTAAAAAAATCCCAAATTTTTCAAATTTAATTAAAAAGGTGCCATCGACCATGCAGAGCTGTATCTACAGTCTGATGAAACATCCCGTTGTGCAGGAAAAATTGTATGATGAAATTAGGCAAAATGTTGATTTGCTGCAGGAAATTACCCCAGAAATTTTGGACAAACTGAGCTACACAAAAGCCGTGATCAAGGAAACCTTCAGGTGAGAATTTACAATAATTACTAAGAAGAAAAATTACATGAGTAAATAATTTTTAGGATGTTTCCGTTGGGCACAGAATTATCTAGGGTCGCCCAAAAAACTTTGGTGCTTGGAGGATACGAAATTCCACCTGGAGTAATCAAATAATTTTTTATAAATTATATATAATATAATTATTTTTATTTTCATCTACAGACGGTGATCGATTTAAACCATTCTTCGCTGCTGAGGTCTGAAAAGTATTTTCCCGAGCCAAACAAATTTATCCCTGAACGTTGGCTTCGAGGGGACGAGCAGGCAACGCAGAACGCGATCTTGCTGACCCCCTTTGGCCACGGGGCCAGAATGTGTGTTGGTGAGTTTTAGATAAGAAATGGAGATAAAAGAAAAGAATAAACCCTTTAATTTCAGGTCGCCGATTTTCGCAGCAGGCGATGCACGCTGGCTTGGCCCGACTTGTGCAGAGGTTTAAATTCGTGGACGAAAAGAAGGAACACGATTTGCCTTACAATCAAGTGTACCAAACGCTGCTTTTCCCGAACAGGGAACTCAAAGTAAAGATCGAGTACAGGCCCCAAAATTAATAATGCTAAAAATCGATAATCAAAAATTGATTTTGACATTGCTTATAACTTATAAATTATTAACTGATGTGTAAAATTGTATTGTTTTTGCAAAAAATTAAATTAATGATGCTTAGAATTAAATTTAAGAAGCATTACAGCAATACCGCAGTTTCATGAACTTATAAATTGTCAATAAAATATAATAATTTAATAAATTAAAAGAATATTGATTTTTTCCTTCCCTATGCAAAACGAAAAAGAGGTTGCAGTTTTTATATAGACTCTGTAAAAATAAATTTATGTATACCGGCTGCGGCTTTATGTATCTTACGATATCTAAAATAAGGATGAATGCAAATATTTTCTTAGAAAGAAGAAATAATTAAAATCCGAAAAACGTTGTACTTACACAATCACGAAACACACTCTTCTGCAAAATTAGTTTTGACGATCCAACGCAAAAGTCCATGGAAAATTCATTTGGCATCAAGGAAATATGTTGATCGTCTCGGCCCGATGAAAAGGTAAAATTGTTGCAAAAATCTTTCGGTCCCGCATTTAAGCCCACTTGACTTGCAATCTACATGCGACCTGAGAACAGTGCAAACTAAAATTCAAGCATGCGAATTGTCAGGGGGAAAATATCCAAAATTATAAACACAAAACGTGTTTTACTTTCTCGTCCATCATAAATACATCCCTATCCAACTTCCCTATGTGAAAACTGTGTGGTATTAACGCCATTAACGGTAATAATAAAACGCAGATTATGAAAATGAAAATTAGGTATTTGCAGATTGATGAATCCGGCGCGATGATGAATTATTTGAATTAATTTAAATTCAATTTACATACATACAAGTATAAAAAAAATTTGATCATTAATGTGGTTAATTGTTATAAACAGCAGGCAACATTTTTTTTGTAACGAAATTCCTTTTTCGGGATAAAAAAAAGTTTATATTTTGTGCATATGTATATTATATAACGTATAACGATGCAAACAAATTTAAACCCGCAATAAGCCAGCACTGGTTTTTTGCGCCCAGAAAACCCCCACATTCTTGGTTTTTTTTAAAGCACCATTGCTTGATTCACCGTTTCATGATTTTGAATATAAAAGTAATTTACAAATGTCAAGAAGTGCTGTTTTTAATGTTGAGTTTTATGCACGTGAAAATAATGGGACATTTTCAATGCCTGCAAAAACCGCACATAAGTGCAAAAAAAGTGCAGTGCATTGTGCAACGCATTTTTCTGCAAAACCCCGGTTTTTTCCGAACAACAAGATTAAACCTCAACTTACAATGTAACCTGAAATGCGATCACACCAGGTAAATCCATCGCACGACACTCGTCTCTATTGCGTCTCTGCTTGTTTGTGCCGGCATGAAACACGATGAAACGAAAAATCCACAAACCGTGCGTGCGCAATGCGCAAACTCGCAAAGCGATTCTTCGATTGGCCAATGGCCAGGCGGATGAAAACAAGAAAACATGTGGAAGTGACACCTCGACCGGCTCAACCTCAACCTAAATTTTTGTTTATATATATATAACACGACTCTGAGTTTACGTGCAATCAGATTTATCAAAGGATGATTAGGTCGGCTTCCTCATCAGTTTAATTAGATTCAGAAAGGCCTAAAGATGACACAGTCGGCGTTGGCGACCTTCGCGTGCATCGTCTTCAACATCGCCTGCAGCATCCTGATCGTGTTGCTGAACAAATGGGTCTACGTGAACGTCGGCTTTCCGAACATCACCCTGACGCTGGTGCACTTCGTGGTCACGGGCATCGGCCTCAAGGCGTGCAACCTGTGCGGCGTCTTCAAGGTCAAGAGCGCACCACTGCGAGAGATGATGCCCATCGCGGTCACCTTCTGCGGCTTCGTCGTCTTCACCAACCTGAGTTTGCAGAGCAACACCATCGGCACGTACCAAGTGGCCAAGGTGATGACCACCCCGGTCATCGTCGTCATCCAGCACATTTTCTACGGCAAGAGATTCTCCACTCCCGTCACCCTCACATTGGTTGGACAAATTTTTAAAAATTGTTAAAAAGTTAAAATAATATTTTTACTTTATTTTTAGATTCCAATTACGCTGGGGGTGATTGTCGTATTTTTCTACGACATCCAGCTGAACTTGATCGGAACCATCTACGCAACCCTTGGTGTCCTTGTCACCTCACTTTATCAAATCGTAATTATTTTCAACTCGAATTCTACATTAAATTTAATATTTTCTTTTGTCAATCTCACAGTGGGTCAGTGAGAAGCAGCACACGCTTCAGATGGACGCAATGCAGCTCCTGTATTACCAGGCGCCCTTGTCTGCCCTTATCCTTGTTGTGGTGGTGCCTTTCTTCGAGCCAGTGGTGGACACCCTTAATAAAACTTGGGCGCCGTCCGACCTGGGAGTGGTGCTCGGATCAGCCTTCGTTGCCTTTTTTGTCAACCTGTCCATCTACTGGCTCCTGGGCAACACGTCTCCCCTAACGTAAATTCTTTCACTTTTGAGCTCTTGAATAATTTAAAATCAAATAATTTCCTTTGTTAGGTACAACATGGTTGGCCACCTGAAATTTTGCCTTACGCTCCTTGGAGGCTACCTGCTGTTCCGAGAGCCACTTACTTTCAACCAGTCGATGGGCATCCTCTTGACAATTCTCGGAGTGTCAACTTACGCTCACTTTAAGGTAAAATTCAGTGATTTTTATATGAATAAAATGGTGAAGATTCTTGAAAAATATAATTTTTTCCTATCTTATTTTCTAAAATTGAAAATTTTACTAAGATGAAGGATCAGAAACCACCTGAAACTGAAGGGTATCAGATATTTTTTGTTTTGAATATTATATCTTTGCTTGTTTAACTCAAATTGCTAAACTTCAAATTTTTAACATTTCAGATCACAGAAGAAAAGCGCTCCAGAAGAGGGTTGATCAGCTAGAGCACAAAATAATGCTCCTCTTCGGCAAGCTAGTCATGGTCCCCTGTTGACTTTTCCTACGCACTTTTTTTGTATTAGCACAGGATTCTTGTTGTTACACAGCCTGGTCTCTTGTTTTTTAGGAATTTTTTTTTGTGCGGCACAAATTTTTTGAAGCTACACAATACTAGAGAGCATGGACAATAATGACAGTATTTCCAGAATATATAAAATGTACTTTGCATGCTTCTGTGCTTGCTCATAATTGATAAGCAAAAAATGTGATCTGTATAGGTACGGCAGCAGTGTTTGACTGGCACCCATTTTTATGTATCGGTGATCATGTCCTTTATTCTCATTCTCTTGATTTCTTAAGTGATGTAGTTGAACATTTGGAATTTGTATTATTTCCTTTTTTGCTTCTTCTTTTTTTATCAAATTTATTCTGAAATAAGTTCTGTGTACGTAATTTTTTTAATTGAAGCAATAAATTTTAAAAGACAACTATTATATTATTTTATATAATAATCTCATTTATTTATTAATAATATTGTTTAAGGGTTTTAACTATTTGCAATTAAAAAAATCCAATTGTTTATCTTTAGAGGAGACTTTAATTCAATCTAGTTTCAATAATAGTTGCACAATCACAATAAGATGAAGAAGAACTTCCACATATGACAAAAATATCAATTAATCACAGAAGATTCAAACCACTGCAAACAAAAAATTGTGACACTTGGGCACAGCACACCTTGTGATGTATACCACCAAAATACTATTATGCATTGCTTACGTAATTTAAAAGAAAAATAGTGGCCTCAAAATCTACATAGACAAAGTATTTAAATCACAACTATGGCATAATGGGGAGAACCACCAATAAAATTTCCCTAATTTCCAACGATTTGTACTATGGGAATTATTATGACTTTGTGCCACTCACTCTCCACGCAAATTTAGGCACAATAATTTGTGAATATTCGGTACATAGTGAATTTGAAAAACAGCACAATAACAAGGAACATAAGTAGCAGCTACAACATATAAAACATAATATCTGTTAGCAGAAATGATATGAATAAAATTCAAACATAAATCCGTGCTCTGTGCACACAAAAAACAAATTATATAAGATTTGATATTGTACGGAGATATCACTTGGGTAATCGGTCTCGCAGGTAGGACAGAATCGAAGGGGTGCCTTTGCAGAGGATATTTTGTCTCGGTACTTTAAACGAGTTCCCAGCCAACTCCAGACAGCTGAAATTATTGAAACATTAGAGTCGAAAGCATTCTCAAAACTATTCTGGCGTTTACTGTAGTTTTAGAAGTCCAAGCTGCGGAGGAACCGAGCCAATGTCATTATTGCTGAGATCTAGAGTAGCTAAACGCGGGATGCTTGCCAATCCAGCAGTATCAATTTCCTTTATCTTATTGTCCCTGGCAATCAAAATCTCCATCGCGGGCAGGCCAAAAAGACAAGATGGAATAGACTCAAATCTAATTAAGTAGATCAAGTAATAAAAATTATTAAAATTTATAAAATTAATGAACCTATTAAAAGACAAGTTGATCTCTCTCAGTTGCTCAAAGGCGTCAAATGAGGCTGGCAAATCGGTCAATGCGTTTTGACTGACCTCCAAGTACTGAAGTTTCTTGCAAGTGATCAGTGAATCGGGTAGAGCGGTTAGTTTGTTATTCGATAGATTTAGCTCGGTCAGAAAATCAGCCACCAATGATATCCTAAAAAAAAAATATTAAACCACATTGTTATCAAAGGTCACATATAAATACCCTTGCGGCACTTGAGTGAACAGGTTCTTGCAAAGATCAACACAAGTTACTTCAGCTTTCACTGCTTCTTCAAACACACTGTCTGGGACTGTAGTCAGCTCCCTGAGACCCAACTTTAATGCCCTGCTTGAATTCATATTATATCTATTAAATAAAAATAAAATTAATTAGTTTAGAAAATACTTAGAAATAATTATAATTTTACTTGTTGGGCCATGGCTGAGAATTGAGGCCAGGCAGAGAAGGACTGGAGTTATTCATGCTGGGCTTTTGGTCACTGCTCAGCTGCCCTCGAAGGACTTTGAGAACCCTCGTTGTACCTCCTTTCACAACATCTGTTCTGAGCGTTTTGAGCGGGTTGCCGTCCAGAGTGAGAGTGCTGAGGTGTGGCAGCAGAGACAAGCAAGGAGGCAATCTGAAAAGACATAAAACTTAAAAACAAATCAAAAAGTAAAATTTAACGTACTCTCTAATTCCGTTGTTGCCGATGTCAAGTCGAATAAGATTTTTCAGATAACTGACTTCCTCCGGAATGTTTTCCAATTTGTTGTCCCTCAGCGAGAGCACTCGGACTTGCTCCAAGGCCTCCAGAGCGCTTTCTGAAAGCTCCTGAATTGCAAAGTGAAGAAGTGAAAACTTTTGCCGATAAATTCACTGATAAAAAAAAAATACGTACCGAGATGCAATTTCCAGACAGATGAATTTCGCGCAACGAGCTGCATCCCATGAAGTCTGGTATGTCGGTTATATTGTTATGTTCTGCTCTGAAAATCTCAAGCTTCTTCAGCTCTCCCATTGGCGGCAACAGTGGAATTGCATTGTGGGACAAGTCAAGCTCACGTAATACTAAGTAAAAACAAACAATTAAATTAAAATGCTATGAGTAAGAAAGAGGGATGGAAAAAGAGGGTTAATTGTGTACACAGTGTACGAGAAATTTTCTATAATGTGGCGCACACAAATCAAGATGAAGAGTTTTGTAATTTAAATAAAATTTCAAAACATAAAAACTATAAAAAAAATACATTATAATCAAAGAAAACCAAACAAAAAAAGTAGATAAAATAATTTATTTTAATGCGGATGTTAACTTGTAATTACATAAAACACTCTTGCAAAGGATTACGAGAACTGATAAGGTGTGCAGTCACTTAAGAACATCAAGGAGTAACATTCGAGTGAGCACGACTACCAGAGTAGAAAGTCGAGTGTGATAATCACATAATCAAGACAAACTCTCAGTTTCCACAATGGGATTCATTTTCATGATATAATAAGGAGAAATTTTTTTAAGAAACACAAAATTAGATAAGCAGGCAAAGTAGTATTTTAGTCACATTAATATTATTTATTTCTTGTCGGTTCTAAACTATGATGTAGAAAAGCTAGTTGGTACTGACCCCTGAGATTTCCCACGTCAGGAGGCACATCTGTAATTGCGTTGTGCATGGCCAAGAGGTGAGTGAGATGTGTTAAGAAGCCAACACCAGGCGACAGGACCGTCAATCGATTATGTGACAAGTCCTATCAGCACATTTAAATTAATACCCAACATTCGTACTGTTAAGACAAATAATAAGAAAATGAAGTTTTTTCTATAAATATTACAATCAAGAGTTCACAGCAAATTTTGTAATTAATTTTATAATTAATAAGAATTTTACATTATTTTTTAGGTTTAGAGTTTTCTATTTTTTTATGACGAATCAAATATAAAATCTGCTGTCAATGTATGATTAGGAATTAGTGATTTTTTGAATTATTTTCTAGTAAATTATACACAGGTCTGCTGCTGAAATCCAGAATTGATAATATAAAATTTGCGGTGCTCACAAGTTTCTCCAGCATGTTGAGGTCTCCGATGGAGTCTGTGGTGTCTTCGATCAAATTGAAGGAAATGTTCAGCTGCCGTAATTCTTTCAACTCGAAAATTCCCTCAGGAAAAGTGCTTAACTTGTTGTGACTCAGGTTTAAAATTTTCAATCTTCGCAGTTGCCCAATTTCTTTTGGCAAACTAATAAAACTGTTGTGTTGCAACTATAAGGACAAGTTGGAATATATTTATTTGGTAAAATTTTGTAATTTATACCAGCAAATTTGTGAGCGAGGCGAGGTATTTGATCTTAGGGGACAAAGTGGCTATGCAGTTGTTGCTGAGGTCCAGCAGGGTTAGGGGCTCATGTTCCCACCACTTGGAGTCTTCGTCTTCCCGCACCGAGTCGGACAAGTGGACGTCTATCGACTTAATTTCGTTCTCGTCCAGAGTGTCCAGCGTCCAAATGCGTTCCGGGACTAAATTATGATATTTTCATTGAAAATGGAATTCGATCAGGTTATATATAATAATATTTGCGGTATAATTCAAGGTTAAGGCATTTAATTTCTTTTTAACTGCCGCAAACCTTGAAACTTTATTTTTATTGCGCCTGTACGTAATTTTAGGAGTTCTATTTCAGCACCGGCTAATAAATCTTTGCCGCAGCAGCGCGTTGCTTACACTTCGAAACTCATAACATAAACAAAATAAAATCTTTAATCTTTTATGACGGACAGGCTTTTAAATTTTAAAATTCTAACTTCATCAAATAATAAATAAATATATTAATTAAATTCTTAAAAAGATTGATTATTATAAATTAAGTTATAATAAATCAATCTTTTTAAGAAACTCGGGAAACATAAATATGTATTATGCAACCTGCGCTACATTTTTTTCCATCCCGCCGAACTCGTTCAAATTTTTTTTTTGTGTCGCAATTTCTGCATGCGAAGCTATTTTATATAACATCCTGGGCAAGAATTAGTTCTTATGAGGCTGAGAATGTAATGTGTGTACCTGTGGAGAGATTCTTGCCGGACAGGTTTACTTTTCCGCTCTTGCGGGCCTGCTTGACGACCAGGGGCGAGATTTGTGAGGCTTCCATCGCAGCCGTCTGCTTTTGGAACAAGGGGTTCAAATTGCCCAGACGCCCGCTGGGCCCCTTGCTCGGCTGCACCCGCGGAATCCTGCTCTTGACCCCTGCCATTCTGCCAAAAATGTGTGAACGAACCGTTTAGCACCGGAGCTCGAGATTAAAAGCTAAAATATCACCTGTGCAACCACTGCTATTTACATAATCAAGAGAAAAACACGCAAGTGGACTTTCTCCACTCGTCGCAGCTGCGTTCTTTTGTTATGGTGACTGCAGCGCTGCGCGAAATTCGCGACCGTTTTTATAACTAAAATTTTATGTGCCAAAAAAATTTCAATAAAAAAGCACAATTAAATTTTTAATAAAATTGGTCCCTTCTTTTTTTTGTAATATCGCAAGGATTTTTTTAACTGTCATATCATTACTTTTTTATAAATAATTAATTAAACATAATTATGTATATTCAATTTTGTGCTTTTAATTTTTATAACTCTTGATGATTTATAATAAATTAAACTAGGTAGATACACAAGCAGACACCTTCAGACTTTATATGTACATTGATAACTCAGTGGGTTATGATCATAATAATAAGAGCCTGATATGGACATTAAATATTTATTTGATGACATTAACAAGATATTTTCATTTTTTTTTTCAATATATATGCTGCCGTCCAAGCTCATATCAGGAGGGTTTGTTTTAGATTACAATAATATGTATGTGTCTGTGTATTATTTAAATTTGTATATATTTAGACAAAAAATTGATTGTGTGGTTTCACCACTAAATAGATAATTATTTTCTCTTTATTAGATAAGACATGAGCATTATTTGGTAACGACAAGCTCACGCTTACATAGATTACAATTTTTAATGTGATTTTTTCCATAATTATTGAAACACCAAGAAAAATAGTTGCGCGGCAGCTCGATTAAATTCCAAAACTAGACGATCAAATTCGTCTCGATCGCACTCACATTCAACATTTACACAGCAACACAAAAGTTTTCCATCCATATTGAACTTCAATTTTTCACATGTAATAACACTTTGATAAGACATTTTATAATTATTAAAAAAAAATCTGCGTCGAAATTCAAACTGAACTCAGTCCATCGACCTCTGTGTCAGAGACAGTAATTTTCAATTCCTGGCTCATCAAGTCGTCTTTCTTGGTTCGCTTTGACAGCTTCCAGCAGAGGAGGTTCGAGTGCGTGCCCGCCCCAGAGGGGTTCTTCAGTTCGAAGAGCAGACCAGAGCTCTCCGCGAGATCAGGGGGCGAGTTGAGTTTGCAGTCGCTGCGGCTGCCGCTAAACAAACTGGTGCGGTTGGCGCTGCCAAAGATCGAGGAAGACTCCTGCGCGCTCCCTGGAGAACTGGAAGTCTGCTAAAAGCAAATTAATTTATATCCAAAATTAGATTTATTCGTTTTTTTTATAATTAAAAAGTAAAAATATAAATCAGATTTAAAAAAAAAATTACTAACTAAAGCACCTCTGTCAAAATGATGACTGACCCTCCTGGTATTCCCTAAGAAATATGCAAACATCTAGTATCTGGAAATTTTACCAAAACTTTAACTCTTGAAAATTTGGTTATTTTTATATTAAATGGTGCTCACAAAAAACATAACATTTGTGCAAGTTAAAATATCTTACAATTCAAACCGATTTATCCATATTTTTTCCTGGATAATTTTAATTTTTTCCTTTATTTTCATAATATAATAATTTTTTTATGAAAATACCTGTCGGTCTCTTGGTATGTACGCTGACTGGTGCCGACGGAGTCCGGCGCCGGCGCCTGTCCTGCTGCCGTTGAGGGGCACCTGCAGGTACTCCGTCTTGGCAGGGCTCGGAGGGTCCCTGTAAAGACTGGCGCTCCTTGAAAAGCGGCGCGGCGACTCGACGCAGCTAGTGGCGCCGAGGACTGTGTTGGTGCGGAGGTCCCTGCGCGCCCAACACCTCCTGGGCAAGAAGGTCATGGCGAAGGTGCGGCGGTACTTGTCGCTGAGGGCGCAGTACAGCAGGAAGTTGCACGCCGCGTTCACGGCCACCAGCAGGTTGAAGATGTTGCCGAGACCACGCAGCAGACGGTCTTTGTCCGAGTTGGGCTCAGGGTCGTCGGTCAGCGACGTGTAGATGAGCGTGACTGCCGTCGGGCTTTGGCAGATCAGGAAAAGCACCACCACAGCGATCAGAGTCACCGTGATTTTGTTCTCCTGCTGGGCGTTGTTCTGACTTCCATCAGGCCGGTGCCGTTCCGACTGCAGGTATCAGAATTACATTTATTTTTCATTTGGTAATTCCAGATTTTTATAATTTAATCAAAAATTATTTAAACGCAAAATTGTATGGAGACATTTATATAGCTACTTATTATAATAAACACAAAAATTTAAAATTTGGATTCATTTTCTCTAGATTTACACAAGAATTTAATAATTCAAATTTTTAATGAAAACATTATGAAATTTATAAATTCTGCGGTTTCTGCAGAAGATTGAAAAATGACTATATAAATATGTCTAATCAAACCAGCAGCAAAAAAAGAAACCTAGTCTGAATTATTTTAACTTCATAGAAAAAAATCTAAATTTTAACTGAATAACTAAACAAACAAAAATTTGCAAAATAAAAAATATTTTATTAAATTGATAAAGAAAATTTAAAAAAAATATCAGTATTTTCGCTCATTAAAATAATAAATATATAAAGTTTTTTTCCATTAAATTTTTGCATTTATATTTTTCAGAATTTGCTTTAAGATTTATTCAGAAATTTAATTATATATTATCAGATTGTTTGGTTTATAATTGTTATTAAATTTAGTTTACTTATTTTTATTGAAAAATGACTATTTTTAATGCAACCGGGAGCAAAAGAAGAGCAATTTAAAAAAAAAATCCTTAACCAAGTATTTCTAATAATAAATACTTTATTAGGATTTTTTTTTAAATTGCTAATAAAGATACAATATTTTCGCTGTAAAAGTTGTACATTATATTTTGCGCTTCATGAATTGAGTAAAAAAAATATTACCTGAGTGAGGTGTCTTCTTTGACGTTGTGACTTGTGGACAGCGAGAATGAGGAAAGAGTTGAACACAACGAGGAGGAGCAGCGGCAGAAAAACGAACACCAGACTGGAGAACCAGTAGAATATTGTGCGGTACGAGTGCAATTTTCCAAGCTCGGTCAACTCCACTGTCACCCGGGTCGCCTGCGAGAGGTCAGAAAAGCTTTTATTGCAAATGGGCCGTCGGCGGTGTGACAAAGGGCTGCTCTCTTACCACATCCGAGATGGTTACGTTGCTTTGAGTATCATTTATTTCTTCGATGGGCTTCCGCACCGTCTGCCATTCAAAGGGAGTGGAGAAAGTGCTCAAGAAGCAGAGGACGTAGACGAGCATGGTGACTTTGCGCGCCCTGGACTCGGTGCACAGCATTTTGCCGCGCATCGGATGGCACACGGCGATGTATCGCTCCACGGTGAACGACACAGTGAGCCATATCGAAGTGCTGCCTGCGGCGCGTAAAATTTTATGTTATTGTCTCGCTCTTGAGAATAGAAATAGATAGGGTTGAAATGGCTTATCGAGGAACGGAACGGGACACAATTAGAAAATATGATACGGTCGCTTTGAGACCAAAAGGAATCTTTGTGGAATCTCTGGAGAACGCTCTTGAGGGTTGCAAAATCTCAAAGACGCTCTCAGAAAGCAGTTCGGTCCTCTCAGAAATGGGAATTCAAAAATCAAACTAAATTTTGCACGGAAGTAAAGTGATCGGGCTTTTCCTATTTGTAAAAATTGTTTTTATTCAAAAACAAATGGCTCTATACCAGTTTTGGTCACGGTCTGCGACCCTATTTCATGATCAAGAAAAATACAAAAATTGAAAAAACCGTATTTTAACTAAAAATGCAAAATTGTAAAAATAACAAATTCAAGTACTAGTAAGTTTATTGTTTAAATGTGGTCTTTAAATTTTTGTATTTTTCTTGCTCATGACATAGGGTCGCAGACCGTGACCAAAACTGGTAGAGCCATTTTTTTTTTTTTTTAATAAAAACAATTTTTACGATGAGGGAAAAGCCCGATCTCTTTACTTCTCTCATCAACTCCTCGAGTGTCAATTTCTTCAAATAAATTTTTCACTCTGTAAGAGTTTACTTTCGTAAATTTTGATTTTATAGAATGAAAAAAAATGTACAAAAAATAAAAATCATTATCAATTCTCAGAGATAATGCTTGAATAATACAATTTACCAGAGACTGTAAAAAAAGTTAAGATGAGATTTTGATGAAATAGGGTTTGATTTGTTCAACCCTTGGATTCACTAGAATGCCATTTTTCCATTTGCACTCAATAAGAGGCGAAAAAGAATAAAAATTATCTGCAAAGAAATTACTTTTGTTGTAAATTTATTTACGCTTTTTCTTTGCGACTTTTAAAATATTAATGTCATTTAATTTAAACTTGGGTCGTTCCAGAACAATGCAAAAAGTTGCGAAAGTTTCATACCGATTTTCATCAAAAATCTGGTTTTCTCTCTTCAAAAAATGATTTTCTCTACAGCAAATTTAACAAATCTAGAGCGTGAAATAATAAATTATGGAATTTTTATGATTTTTTTTTATGTTTTAATTGTTCTTCAACTTTCTTATTATTATATAATAATAGTTGTATGAAATTGCTTATTTAAATTTTAAATTAAATTATTTTAGTCTTTTTTTATTATACTATGCCAAATAATAATAAATATTATATTTTTTTAATGCCTACTAATTAATTAGGGCTGACTCACTTGTGGAGTCTGTGAGCCAAAGGCCGAAGCGCCAGTAGGTCCAATAGGCGTCTGCAGTGGCGCCCGTGAGGCCATAGTGGGCCAGCGACAGCGAAAAAAGGAAGAGCAGGTAGAGAAGATCGGAGGCCGCCAACGCCGTCAAGTAGACGTTGGTCGAGCTGCGCATCCGCCGCCGCGTGAGCACAATCGCCGTCACTATGTTACCGACGACGCCGACGAAAACCTGCAATTACCGCCAGAAATAATTACACGCACGTTTCCCGAGCCGAGCCGCTCTGATTGTTCGGGCGCTGGACGAGGGAGAACTTTTAATTGCAGCCGCAGTGCTCCTCTCAACTCACCACGATTGGAACCAGCACTCTCTGGATCCAAAAGCGCGACCCCTCCATGAAATCGAGATACACCGACGTTGGAGCCGCATCTTGGAGCGTGGCCGTATCATTCATGGATGATCACGACAAACTAATCCCTCAAACTGGCCGATTTGCCTCAGCTGCCATCGGCACTCCTCCTTACCCCACATCCATCTGCAAAAAGATAATCAGAGACACTTAGAATCATATTAATTGTTTTTTAACAGATATGAAACAAGAAAATTTTGATGGAAATGCATGGTGCAGAATAATTGTAGTTAACATTTAGGGATATTAATTAATGGTGATCTCATATATATTATTATCTTAAGTTGAAATTAATATTTTCAATCAACTAAAATCACCTTTGCGATGAAAAATCACCCATTTCTAAAAAAAAGTTCCTATAAAAAAAAATATCTTAATTTCCACCTAAAATAACAAATTTTGAGTTCTTTCACCTTCAATTTTGAATTTAATTTTTAAAACTTTTTCTAAAATCACCTATTTTCATTCTCTTTTTGTAAGAACTAACTATGGCTGCGCGGCTAAATTTTATTTATTTTAAATAACTGAATTATTTTCTCCTAGAATAAACATCTATTTCAGCTGATAAAACATTATCAATTTTACAAGTGACATAAAAATTGTTCAAATTTTCAATTGTGCAGCAATTTTAATTTTTGGACAAAAAATGCGCCACTCAGTGTTTAGGTTTGCATACAAAATATGCTGGTTACTCTATATAAGAATGAAATCATGAAACAAATTTAACCAGCACCCAGTGGAGCCGTTTTCCTCTTTTCAAATGAAAAAACTTTTAACAAGGGTGTATTATTATGTACCCTCTTTCTACGATAATTCATTGAATGTCTGCATAATCCACTTTGCGTTAACTGAACTCTCAACTTGCATTGCAATCAGAGAGCGGCAAACTTGCAGCTGCAACGAGATTTTATCAGGACACAGATAATTGGCTTGGGCTATATAATAGTGGACACTACAAACGCTAATTGTATCAAAAGCCTATTCATTAGATGTCCGTCCGGCTGTTGGGCTCTCTCGAGTGTAAGGGACGCTCCATATCTATGCAGAGCGACCGCACGTACGAAACAGCGCTGCAGGTCACGGCGGGTTATCATCGCTTGGAATAATAATAATAACGTTCCAACATTATATTGCGGCAGAGCAGAGAGACGAGCGAGCAGCAAACACCATTTCGCGTTTCTAATTGAGAGAGCCGAAATGAAAATTACGGCATCAAGTTTGGAGTGGCGCCCGCATATTAAGTTTAAGTGCTCTGCCGCATCGTGAATTATTATTCCTCCCACAAATATCGAGAGCAATTCGGCTGCGGTCGAATAAAATTACGCGCGAATTCCACCCCAGACGGACTCGCAGAAATAATTTGTCCGCGCGACGCGCAGAGTTCATGGGGCGCGCACTTGAGCCGAGCAGCTTGAAAGGGCAAACAAGACTGCTGCAGGCCCTTCCATAATGAAACACGTTGCGAGCGACACACTTCAAAGAAGAGTTGAAGAGAGTGAAAAAGTTACACGTGGAAATAAGCACGTCATCTCTCTTCAGGCCGCTTATTAATTAATAATTAAAATACATCACAGAAGGCCGAAACGCAGCCGGCTAAGAACATTAAAGCTTGTTACATGCGCGGCCGGCTGATTTCTGCTCGTGTATTGCAACTTTGAGCCCCCGCGGAGAGACGATAAAACGCTCGCGCCGCTCTTTTATAAATGAAAAGGGTTGGAAAAGAGAGCAAAGCTAAGAAAATTGCGTCTGATGCTGGTGAGGCAAGATCAAGTGAAAAAGATTTCCGCCCGTAGATTACTTCTCGGCGCGCCTCGTGAATTTGATTATGTGCGGTCGATTAAACGCTTGAAAGGGTTCGCTCATGAATGGAGGACGCTTAATTTCGGGCCAGTTTCCGCAAATTAGTCCCACAGTTTTAGGCTGCAACTCAACTTATCACCACCCTACACACTTGCAAACAAGGAAGGTGTGTTTCGCTGCCTTGCAAGTTTCCCAAATGAGCTGGCAACTTTCAATATTGCTTCCAAGGTTTACAATTTTGTAATTATTAAAGTTTGCAAAAGCCTCTTAGCTATATATTATCTACATTTTACAATAAAGCTGAGGGTGTATTTTAGCGGTCGTTGATTGTTATTAAAATTGATTCTGCGTTGAAATTAATGACAGGATAATTAAATTTGAAATTTTAACACAAAATACAAAGGATTTGTTTTGAAAATCTTGTAAGTGGGAGAAAAGGAAAATTATTCTATAAAATTTAAGACACATTTAGGAGAATGCAATTAATTTTAAGCTTCACACATCGCATTAAAAATTGTTAAAAAAAAATTATGAGGGTATTTCCGAGTAAAATTCATATTTTAAGGACGATAAAAATTTTAATTGCTCTAATTTTTAATTTTTTGTGTGTGCTCATTTCCTAAATTGCAATTACAAATTAATTTAAAAATTTTAACTAAATTTTTGAATAAAAAAAAAATATATATATAAAATGAGATATTTAATTTTTACAGTAAGACCAAACGTCGGTTCAATAACAATTTCATTAACTGGTCGTGCAAGATGAAAAAATTGAAGCATAAAGAATAAAACATTCTCTAGGCATAAAAATCCTCTTCAAAATATTCGTGTGGGCATTATTTTTAAAAAGCAATATTTTCCAAATCAGAATCAAACTGGCCAAGTGTGCAATTGCGAGTGAATCTCTTCTTTGATTGATCGCTTTGCAATAATCCTTTCTCAAAATGCCAGAGGGATGTTTGTGATCCCTGCTCTTGAAAAGGAAAAATAGCCGATTGACAACCGCTTTCGGCTTTCGGGGAAACATTTGCCCATCAGCGTACATCAAACGTCAAACACAACCGGTCTGAAAATAATGGGCATCTCGTGGTGGATGGAAATAAATGGGTCGCGGCCATCTGGGCCGTCCGTTCGGCGAACGCAACTTTTGTGAGGCAACGTTGACGGGTTACAATATCGGCGATATTTGCGAGTGCGCCTCGCTCTGCAAACAACCCGCAAAAACCGCGGGGGTTTGAAAGAAGCCGTCGGTCGGTCGGTCGGACCGGCTGAGTGGCCCTGCAGACGATATAAAAAAGTCGTAATACATCCCGCACAGGGGACTTATAATACGGAAAAAAAGTGAGTGAGTGCCTTTATGAAAGAGATTTCGTCGACTGGGTACATACTGCGAAAAATTGATTCTGCTGTCGCCGCGAATCATCGCTCCCCAGCGGCTAACGCATCCCTTTCTGATTCTGCTCGATTCCCATTTGTACGTCAATCAAGTGGATTCGTATTTTTTCTCCTTTTCGCTTAATAAATGCGGATGGACCGAGGGCACGTTTTTTCACCAAAGGACTTTTGATTGCGACAGGCGCTGCTCTGCTGCTTCCGACAGAGAGTGTCACACGCAATATGCGCCCTGCTATCTGCGAGCACGTTATGGCACAAGGAAACGCGGCGCGAAAGTTGCGATAAGCGCTCGGGCCACCCACAATTTTCTCTCCTTTCCCGAGGAAATGAATATATGTGGAGCAGTAGGCTAAGAAAACAACCGTACTCTGTTGAAGCGTAATCACCATTTTCCGGAGAATGAATTTCAACAGAGGGTTTCTGGAAAATTAAGCCGTGCCAAGTCAGCCTGAAGCCTTTTATTTTTATTGCTCGTCTTTTACACTGCGTGGTAAATTTCCGCCCTTGCACAAGTTCTTTCGCAAAGGCTCTTTTGACACAGAGGTCGGCTGTTGATTAAAGTGTTTTAGTTTAAATTTGACCAATTGCAGGGCGTGCGAATTCGTTTGCATCCCATCAAAGGCAAGAGTTTGATGAATTTGATGCATGGTAGTTTTTTTTATGATTTTTCTGGGCAAAAGCTTGAAGTAATAATTTAAGAGGAATGGATATATTTTTCATACGAGAAAAATTTTAGAACATTAAATACTCATCATAATTAATATAATAAAAATTGTAAAAAAAATCTACAGCAAAAATGTAGACAACCTGCATGACGCTTAATAATCAGGTTTTGAAAATTTTGATTAGGGCAACGAATTTTTAAGTATTTAAATATTTATTTATTTTGTGGTAGAATTTCACGTTCGGGGTTTGATTCATGGTGATTTGAATTTAAAGTCAGCTTTTCCACGATGGATTTTTGTGAGTTGTTTATTGTTTAAGAAAAACTCTTGTCAAAATGTTTTCACAGCTCATGAATTATGGCTGCAGCCCGCAGCTGAAACATGTAGAGCAGGATATTGTTTTTTCTTCTTAAACAATAAACAACTCACAAAAATCCATCGAGGAAAAGCCGACTTTAAATTCAAATCGCCAATTATTTATTATCTTCTTTAGTAAATGGGAATTTGAAATCATTCAATCGTTTTTGAATAGAATGATTTTATTAAGAGTTCTTGTTTTAAAATTGTTTTCAGTAATAATAAACAATATTTTTATTTTTAACCTTTTCAAATTTTAATTTATTTATTATTTTTCGTGTGTTGACGTTTATTAAATATAACAGCAAGAATCAATTTCAATCGTATTTGGAATTAATCCATACAACATAATCACACGATGATCAAAGCGATGTCTTAGTAAATCTATCAAAACTTAAAATTAATAATCATACAAGGCTTTTTTTGCGTGTTAAAGATGAAAAGTAAAAAAATTTATCGCTAAGTAATGCGAAATAATTATAAAATAACTTCCCTTGCAATTAAAAACGTATAACCCTTTGGCCTTTACTAATTTCGAATAATCTCTACGGCAAACATTCTGCGGTTGCCAATTAATAAGAACACCAAACGAATTGGCACAGCATCAAAACCTAAGTGAGTAATTCTCCACGAGCTCACGGTGCCGCCATAACTGATTTGAATCGCCCTCGATCTCTCTAATCTTGTTTCTCGTTTAATATTAGTTCAAACAAACCGGCTCAATCGAATCTTGCCGGCTAATGGAAAAATGAACTTTTCTCTCGCATCAGCGAACTTTCTGGCAGCTCTGTCAGCACTGAGTAAATAAATTGAAATATAAGGCGGCGTGAGTGAGTGGTGTGGTGTGTGTGCCGCAGAATTGGCTGCGTAAAACGCGTCGGGGAGGAAAATTATGGGCTTTTGGTGGCG